TGGCAAGTTTCGCAAGGCATTCTAACTCATTGAAATGGTCTGTGGTGGCCCTGTCTCCCATCTTGTATTCTTTGATCTTTTGTTTGTGTACTTCTTGTACAGTGGTATCAATGAATTTGTCATTCAGCATTTGTTTAAATACCAGCCACAAGGGATACTGGTAATGTTCCTGGGTTGTTGATCAGAAGTTCAGGGAGATCAGGATCCACCAGGTTTTCACCTTTTCTTCAAGATAAGAGACAGTGAATATGACTTTATTCATATTGGAGCTGAGGTATCTGATATAAACTTCGAAATACTGTTTGCAATCGACCAGGAACCGGTCAATATCATTTGAGGCTCCTTTGAAGGGGCAGGGCTTTTGAAGTAGGTCAGGTTGACACTGTAAGACAGTAGCATTCTCAGATAGAGCACCCATCAGGTTGGGCCACTCTGAGAATGGAGGTTGACTCTATTCTTGTGGAGGTCCAGGGAAAGAGTGGAGGGAGTGGTCATCAGCGATCAGACTCTCCTTTAGGACAGTATCCCTCTGAATGATCACCCCACCTTGTATGGTAAACCCAAGGCAGATGGCTTTGGGGTCATCTCATACTGGCTCTTTTCTGGCTCCACTAGTCCCTACCTGATCAGAGGGTGGCTGTTCCCCAAGAAGTCAGCTTCCTTTGCTGGTCCAAGGGTTTTGAAACCTTTCATGCTGTCATGCTGAGGGATTTGGCAGTTGTCAGGTTCTGGTGAATTGAGTTGCCATGCTTCAGATTGAGGGGTCTGATGTTTTGGCATGACTATGGATAGATGGTGCTGTGTATATGGCTTGTTTTGGTGGCATGGGTGGAGAGCTCAGCATTGGTCATGGCTGGTCTTTGGATTGATATGGGGGAATCGGCTTGAGTGGGTCTTCTGGATACTGTCAGCTGTATTCCTTCCAGGCATATTCTGTTGCTGCATACTGTAGAATATTTCTTTTTTCAGTATCGTCTGCATGTTTATACTTTAGTCCTAGGGGAGTAACCCTCCAGTGGGTGTCCCTCCATAGAAAGAGTGTCTCCTGCTCATATAACTCTTGATATTCTTTTCCCCTCTCTTGCTCCATTTTCTCCCTTAATGCTTCTTCATCAGTTTCTTCATTGGCATATTCCATAAACTGCTCAGGCCTGAAAGGGCCCTCACTGTCTTCTTTGTCACTCTCATCCCTGCTGTCCTCTTCCTTGAGGAGGGAACTGACAGGCAAGTCATAGATGGATGGGACAGCCAGTCTGAGCATTGCTGGAGAGTCCATTATTTCTAGTGCTGGGCCTGGCAGTGCTTGGGTCAGGTCCTGGGGCCATCTGCTGGATGGGAACATTTCAGAGCTGACTGTATCATGTCCCTCTGCATGCTCTTTCTCTCTCCAGTTCTTGGCTATAGAGACTGAAGTTTCATTGGAACCCAGGATCAAGAAACTGATGAGAAACCCTGCTCTCCAGGAATTGCTGGAGAGCTTGGTTGGAGATGTGGGCATTGTCAGGTATCCAGAGTCCATAGGCTTCAAGGATAGAGTTGGCATCAGAGGAAATGGTATCTGTCCTAGTGAGGTATTGGAGGGAAGAGGGATGATTATCTGCAGTGTGGCCTCTTCTGATGGCTTTGCTCCTAGTGATGGCATTTCCTGATCCTGTCTATGGGTCAGATTCTGAATTGGGCTCCCTGAAAGGGGATCCCAAGGAGTCAGTTCAGAGCCTATACCAGCTGGGAGAGGCTGATCCCAGTCTTTTGGCCTTCTCCTATCATCGTTGTTGTCACCCTTGTCTGTCATACTCTGCTTCTTCATATTCTCACTGAGCCTCCACCTGGACATAGTTGGTGAGCTCTTCCTGGGCTCACTGTATTTCTGCTCAGTGGGCCTGGTTCTGCTGCTGCTGCTGCTGTACAGCTGCATTGTAATCAAAGGGGATCTGTATGTCTCAGTCTGAGAAAACTCATCAAATAATTCTATCCCAGGCAATCCTTCCTCTTGCACTGGCCATTCCCTCTTCTGGCTGACTCCTGACATGAAGGTGGTTATGGGGGTCTTCTGCTGCAGTGATAGTGAGCTCCACATTCACAAAATCCTGGTGGATGGTTTGTCCATGGGGGTCATTGAGCTTCAGCCTGCCAACAGATAGACTTGACTTGGGAGTAGTGTAGAGGGAATGACAGGGGGAGTTGGGGGTTTTTTAGGGTCTTGAAGCCACCTGAGTGGCATCAAGGGAGTCCTGAGCATGGTTTCCAATCCCTGGAGTGATCAGGGAGGTGAGAGGACTGGGGGTGGAGATCAAAGAGATGTTACTGGGGACCTCCTCAGACTCCTGGGTGATGTTCATCATCCAAGGGTTTCAGAATCCTGTGAGAGCAGGGTTGCAGTTTCTGCTGAGTCATCAAGGGGGGTATCAGGATCCTTCTTCTTCCTGAAGGCTCCCCAAAAGCAGGTTGCTAGGCCCAGCTTTGGATACAGGTCATCTTTGCAGCTGGAAGGATGTTCTGATGGAGGCAGGAATGTCATGGAAAGGTAGATCTGGGGTTACATTTCAGAGAATGGTACATATCTGTTGAAATGCTTGATAGTACCTGACTATCCAAGCAGTAACTGATTGTCATCTGCAGCAAAGGTAATGATGGCTAAAAGTTCTAGTAGCATTCCAATGATGGAAGCTATCAATTCAAAGAAGTTGTGGTTAAGGTCTGCAGTGGTTGCTGGTGGCATTTGGTTTCTCAGCACAATTGAGCTTGAGAAAGGGAAGGCAAAGCTTCAAGCTAATTGTTAGGCTCAAGCCACACATGATCAACTAGCACATGGTAAGCTAACATGGCTTCGCATTTGAGCCTTCCATTAGAGTCCACTTTTAGTGTACTGTTTGTTGACTCCCTGTGCTTCAAGGCTTTGTGTGATTTGCTTGAGAGTAGAATGAGAATGTATAAACTTTAGCTTGAAGCTGGGGATTACCAGCAAGAGTGAGCTCCTTAAATACTAAACAGGATTCACTAATAATACTACCTACTTATTGTATCTCTTTCTGTCTCTGTGCTCATTGTCCTAGAGCATCGTTACCATACATAAAAGGCTGATTGTGTGTCATTGAGCAATGCTGTTGTGGTGAAGGACAATGACAGACTTGGCTAGTTGTAATGACTAAGCCTGGTCCCATGGTCCTAAGCACTTGTTCTGGCACCCTGACTAAGCATAAATAAGGGTCAAATAAAGGAGAAGAGTAGAAAATTGTAACAATTAATGTGCTCATCAGCAAATAAATGCTCAAGAATAAACCACAATCTGTGGACTGTCTGAGAGGCAGACGAATTAGCACTCCTCCTCAATGACCCAAATCATAATGGTGCATTGTGTAGTCCAAGATGCAATTGCTATATCTGCAAGGCAATAATAAATAACAGAAATTGTATAAACCCAAACAACTGTCTCCTCTGAGCAAAGGAACTACTTGACACTCTCTCACAAAAATGGGACCCCAAATTCATGCTGCCAGAGGATTCTGAAGATGACCCAAGCCAGCTAGAAGAAGGATATGAATGTGACAGGAGAGTGACAGTATATAGACCAATCATGATTTCCTTCTGAATTTTTACAGAAGACAATATCTGGATGACTTGCCAGACTTAAGACTGAGCAGACAGTCAGGTGAAGGAATCCAAGTGGCCACAAATGGCTCCTGCATCAACAACAGTATCTCTGATATGAGAGCAGGTGCTGGTGTCTTCATTGAAGGAGATAACAACCTTGAAATTTCCCTAAGAGTCCTGACAGATCTGTAACAATTGAATCAGATTAGCAAAGTGATAGCAGCAAATGCACTTGCAGATAGAGTTAATCTCTGCATTGTGCTTATGAAACTGACTTGAAATACATTCTGAAACATCTTAAAACCTCTCTGAGGGCCATGAAAGATGCAGGCTATATAAGCATCCCCAATAAGAAAATCATCCAGGCAATAGTGGTCACCTTGCAAAAAGGAACTTTGGTAATATGGTATTGCCTTTTTATAACCCTCACATTCTGTTGGTGCAATTTTGTTGTGCTCATGGAATAGTGCTTATGGTTTCCACTTTATACTAGAGCTTATCACCCTTATGATAAGTCTTGTTATGATCACAACTATAGGATTTGGCTTCAAGCAGAGGAACAAGATAGTCATTGTTTCTGTTGGGACCATGTTTGCATTCACTCAGTTGCATTCAAGCATGCCTGGAGCCTCAGATGGATTTGGTAGGTCACTTCTGGTTAAGCCAATTCCCAATGCTAATATAATCTAGGTGACATTTTTGGCACTTCAAGTTTAATTCTGTATCAGTTTGCAAAATGACTCCAGACACAGACTTCATAAGTGTACTACCTTTCCTTGTCCTTCTGTCCATATTTGTAGGTACCTGAGGTTTTGAGTCATTCCAGAAATGACATTCAATCTCAAACTATGCAGTTACCATAGTCAGTATCTATATTTTCACAGATCCCACAGAGGATTCTCATGAAAAGTTAACATGACAAGCCATAGGTATACTGCTTCAGGATGACTTCTAATGCCAGCATGTAAACAAAATTTTTCACTGCACATACTCTACTTTGCTCTCAAAATGCAACATCAGAGACACTCAATGTGAAAAATACAGCCCAAGAGTACAACATGCTTCCTTTGTCCAGAGACTAAAGTGCTGTTGACATTGATATGCTTTATCAAACAGAAAAGTGAACTCATTTTATATTGCCATTCTATAGCATTGCTTTGTCAATGAATGGTAGTTTATCAATATGAGCTGATAAAAAGTCTACATACCTCATTCCAAGCTAATATTAATAATATACTAATCTTTATCCTCAAGGCAGAAGAGCAGTCACACTCTTGCCTTCACTCCAGGCCTATACATGCCAACCTCTTTACTAACACAGTATTCATCACCTCCTTTGTGCTAAACAGCTAAACTTTGGGCTGAAATACCATGAGTGAGCCTACTTTAAACACTGTAACAACAGCACAGAGGATATGGAGCACATTATGACAGTATGCTCATCCACAGGTCAGAAAGAAGTATGGAAACTTACAGAAAAACTCTTGGAAAAGCATGGGATCCTCTGCCAGCACACTCTATCCATGACAAATATACTAGCATGTGCCATCCCAGTTTTCAAAGCCCCCAACAGAAATAGAGACAGAAGGAAAGAATGGTTCTACGACATCACAATATCTCTATCAATGCAGGTCATCTGGAATGCTCAATATGAGAGGGTGATCCAAAACCATAACACCCCATTCTCACCAGTGCAGATGCAGAATAGATGGTGGAAAAGAGTACAAAACAGACTGGATTTAGATCGACTAATGATGCACAAATGGTTTGGCAAGAAAGCACTCCAAAAAGCCCTGGTCATCAAGACATGGTCAGGCATGATGGACGATGAGCATCAGCTTCTGGAAGATTGGACGGAAGCAGACAGGGTTTTAGTGGGTAAAGAGTAAAAATGGGCTGGGGAGCACGAGATAAGTATGGGATGGTGTGGAAGATATGGAAAGACCCCGCCCGGTCTACTTACTAGTCACGAGTCCCACACTCATAAGTGCATAATGCATCTCGTGGTGAACCTTCATAAAATTCTCAATTGGTATACTAACTATGTCTGCTTGGTTTTAATTCCTGGCAACTACCATGGCTGCACGCTGGAAGCAACTGTGTCGCTGGACCGCCTCCGCTATAGCCTCCACCAAAAGAAAAACAAAAAAGATCAATGCTTCTTCACATACTCCCCCTTAATCAAATCTGCAGCTCTCTCTGCAAAAGCATACACCGCTGCCTGTGTGTTAGCTGCAGGAACGTATGGCTAGAAAAAACAATCAATACAAATGAGCAATTTTCCCCTACTGAAAAGAGAGCTCTCGTACAAAAACAGACGCGTCCACGATCCTCACACCCTTCGCGTGCTTCATCTTCAAATCCGGGTCTACAACACCCCAGTCAGCGTGGCGGGGAGACATACTTGCCGTGCCAACAGGGTGCCAGATCGTGTCCGCCCCCTCACGAATGGCGGCTTCCGTAGTTTCTGAAGCGAACTCGAGGATGTATCCATCCCATGCAGGGGCGGTGACGAATTTCTGCGATGCATTGATTGCGGCTTGCATTATAGTCAAGTCTTGGGAGTGCCCGAGGAGGTTGGGATTGATCAGCGGAGCGTCGAACGGGTTCGTGCTGTTGATAGTGATGTTGCCACCTGGAATATAACAAATTAGATTAGAGTAAGAGTGGGAGAAAGGGAGACATGCGAGATAGAGGGCAGACTACGATCGCTAGTATTGTGAAGTAGTCACCGCTAGCCGGTATTGGCTCTTGAGGAATACCATTCTGTACCCGGAGCTGTCAACAACGTAATGCACGGAACCTGAGATAATAGACACTCACCGTGAATACCAGTTCGAAGTGTGCCGTCTCGTTGCCTGAACACGGTTCATCATCGAGCAGACCTTCGGTGACCCTCAAGAAACCCAACTGATTCCCCGAAGTGCTGGCGATAAAGCCGGTACGCGTTGCCTCCCATTCAGCCAGTGCCTCCTCTTGGAACGTTTCATTTCGCCAGTAAATGTTCTCGATGGTTTCGGTACTGTTCACGGTCCAGGCTAAAGCGTACCTCGGATGATCAGTGAGGTTTTTCCCGACATCTGGTAGATGCACAGTGGGAGTGATGCCCACGGAAGTCAGCTCATCGGCGTCACCGATACCCGAATAGAGAAGGATATGTGGTGTCCCGATAGATCCAGCACAGAGAAGGATTTCTTTGGCAGGCGAAAGGGTATATATTGTTTCTTATTACGAAAATTATATTTCGGTTAGAAGGGCATAAGCGGTGGGTGCTTACCTCCAGCATCCTGGGTGAATTCCACAGTATCGAAGGTCTTCGCACCTTTATTGGTACTCGAGGATTCGAGGATTCGGGTGACATAAGTGCGAATGAGGACATGCAAGTTTGGCCGACGAAGGTACTTCGGGGCAAGAAACGCAGTTTCGGAGCTGCTTCGAGTGCCGTTGTGAACTGTCGATTGTTCCCAACCTGGAGAGCTCACAAATTGAGAGAAAGACGCGTTGAAGTGAAAACGAACACCCACCAATACCCAGATGATGGCCAGAGTTATAATCCCCGTTATAGGGAAATTCGTCGGGGAAATCCGCCGTAGCCTGGATCATACGCGAGTCTGTAAAACGAGGGTATCCGGGAAGGGTAACTGAGAGCAGCCCATCAAAGCCATGATCCTCTGGGATAAACTCCCCGGTAATGTTGTGGTGATCGACCGGAGTGGTAAATGCTTCCGACTATGATATTACGAAGTCAATCATCAACAGACATTACGCGTAAAAGTGGACTGACCTTGAGAATATATGGCTCCATCGCGTCCCAGCTCCACCCATCGTCTCCAGTAACCCGTGCATATCGATCATAATCCTGAAAAGAACCGCGCGTGTATAACATATAATCTTAGGCAAGTTAGCGTGTTCATTAATCAATTTGAAATCGAACGTACTGATGGCGCTACTACCTCCCAATCCGAAGCCTCGCGCATATGCAATGGAGCGTCCGCCGAGCCCCGTCTGTGCAGTCGTAGTGAAGTTCCAGTCTATTGAAGTATTCCCCGCAGAGGCCAGAGGACTGTAAAAGGGGACTTGGGAGATGAGAACACCGGCCGTGCTTAATACAAAAATTAGCTTTATGGCGGGACTGAATGGATAAAAATTCCACTTACGATGCTCCGGCTTCGAGGACCAGCACAGAAATATGGGGATCTTCGGTCAGACGATTGGCGAGAACGTTACCCGCTGTCCCGCCTATACGGCCTCGGTCAGGAATTCAGAATATACGAGTAGGGGCGAAACGCGTACCCCCAATGATGATGAAATCGAAATCCAAGGTCGGGAGATCATCAAACGTCTCATAGAGCGCGCCTAGAGCGGTCGTGCATCCTGCGAGGAGGAAGAAGAGGGCGGAACGCATGATGAGGATCGCGAGAGGCCCAGCCCGATGTACTGTCGTTTAAATAACGGCGAGCATCGAAATTAATCTCAGTTACCGGATAACTGCTGCGATAGAAATATTCAAATACGTCATGCCCATGTGTTCCTGGTTCCTCGAAGGAAGTTCTGATGATGAGTTGAACGCCGGTTGAGATATACTTGACCCAGGGTTGCGAACTAAGATGCCCGAGGCGCAGACTAGGAAGAGAAGAGAAGAGCGGCAAATTCCTGAATTAAAATTGCCGCCATTAAGTAGGAAAAACCTATATAATCTTCGACCACCCTGGGCAGTTAGGAGGAACGGAACTTAAATAATGAGAAAAATAGGGTCCTGCTGCGATATCTAACCGATGGGGAAGGGGGAAGAACACGATTTGTCGCATCATAGTACGGCCGAGTCTCTTGTATACATAAGTTAGGACACTGTTAGCAAACAATAACAATCAAATTCGGAAGCTATGTTCGTCTAGAAAGGAGTTCACATGCTGAGCATCATGATGTAAGCTTCCGCTGCGTGCTGCCGAACGGGATATCGGGCGGATTTCCGTATTCATCAAGGAAAACTCATTTTTTCCCTCATGGTACGTCGCCATCACGTCTTCTTCGATCTGAAGCCTGATTAGAAACCAAAAGTTACCTCATGAATACGACATGAGTTCTCGGTTAGCACTGAGTAGTACAACCTTGTCGTTGTAGAGAGCGAGAGGTGCATTGCCATCGTGACTAGAAGAATGTGATATCGTTGTTCATGCCTTTCACTTCGGCCTTCACTCTCGAGTCGACAATGAGCAGAAATACGGGCAGGATCTTCGTATCCATCTGAAATACTTCTCCAAGTATGGGACAGATGTCGGCTTTCGGTACGATTGTTTCCTTGTGCGGCATAGTCCTTGCTTCTCGGCCTTATGCTGCTATACTCTTGCCAAAAGCAAGTAGACGATTTGGCGAGGTGGAGAAATTATGGGAAATTCTGAGCGTCCATTGTGGTAAGGAAGGGTTTGTTGTGACATACTTCCAAGTTTACATCTGACTATAACGTATACAGACACCTTTCAAGAAATTAGTCACGACTCTTTTCTGGTTCTGATGCCGTAGCAACGCGTCAGCGAGTTATTCTTGCGTCAAGCTATCATCGTCGCAGTAACTGTATCTTCATCAAGCTTTCTTTCAACTTTATGACCAGACAAGTGTAATGATTTGCCTATTAAAGTCTTCTTGTCAAAAGATTGTGAATAGTACAAACGCCAGAAAGGAGGATGCCAATAGACACTCAGTTGTTCCTCGATGCCAGTTTCACCAAATCAGGAACCGGTAACTGCGGAATTTATCCGGCCGCCCGATGATAAATCATACACTCGGCAGAACAAACGGCATGCGGCTGACAGTAGTATATGAGGACGTGATTACCGAGATCTCTCTCATGATGGTGATAACCAACGACCAGTACAAGCGCGTTATCTTTGTTACCGGGTCCAACAATGGGATCAGCTACAAGCATGTCCGACTCCTAGCTGAGAAAGGCCACACCGTTCATCTAGCGTCCAGGAATGAAACGTCTGGAAGGGCAGCACAGTAAGCAGGTTTCATTCACTTTGACAGATCCGCAGTCAACTTCCTCTGATAGGGCCAACTTGAAGGACCAATACAACCTCAACGTCAAATCGGTCCAGCTCGATGTAACAGATGTTGCCTCGATCCAAGCAGCAAATGATACCATTGAGAAAGCAGAAGGAAGATTAGATACACTCATAAACAACATAGGTATGCTTTGTACCTCTTCCAGACTATCTATGCTTATCAATTCTGGACAGGTATGAGCTATACATCAGAACCCCAAAGATCCTGCACTGTCTCAGTCAATATGCTTTGAAAGACTTTTGAGTCCAACTTTTTCAGACTCATCCAGGCATTCAGCCCTCCCTTCCAGTGGTGTGCAGTGTATGCATCTAGCTCTAAAATTTGCAGATTTTATATAATACATTCACATAAGCTGAGGTTTGTATGGCTAGCCATTCAAGGGCTATAGCTGAGGCTCTGAGCTAATAGCCATGCTAGCTGGAAATTCTAAGTCCAGTTTGGACTTAGAGTGCTAACTTCACACTGGAGTGACAATCTTAAATTAAATGGAACTTAGAGGAATTACATCACCTTGATAAAATACTAAGTCTGATTGGACTTAGAAATAGTATCACATTTGGGCCAATTCTAAATGCCATAAGGCTTAGTACATCATAGTCTAGTTCAGGATATATTCCTATGACTAGTAGTGAAGCACTAAAGACAGCTAGCATCCAAACCAAAAGTAGAAGCAAAGCAGAACTCATTGGCCCATGGCTAGCATCTCAGATTTGGCTTAGAATGCACAAGTCAGGATTTCTCAGGCACCAAGTATTGCATGGGACTTAGGAATAGGGAAAGTGACAGCTGCAGTGCTTGGCTAGTGCCTCTGATCATCTATGATCAGCACTAAACAGCCTAAATTACTGATTGACAGTAACTCCAAGCTTAGTGAGTGGAACTGTGGAACAATAAGTGTATAGCTGGTATTTGTGGACTGAGAAAGCAGAGCATCATGGAGCTCCAGAACCATCTAAAAAGAGTTAGATTAGATGTTCAAAGATGGAATAATGGCCTGATTCTGTGCTAGCCAATACAAAATATTGATAAGACTGTCATGATTTTTGTCTCTAAATTATGACCTGACACTTAGTAAGTAGATGCTTACCAATCCTGACCCCAGGCTGACCTTACAAAAGATGATGAAGATATGATGACACCATGGCTATGCCTTATTCATTGATGCACAATAAGATAACAAGGAACAATGCAGTAACCATCACCATCCCACATCTTGAATACAATAGGAACTGTGGCATATGAAAAACTCACCATAGTGATGGTATTGCAGAGTGACAATAATGAACAAAAGCAAGAGCACAGTCATTGTTATCCCAGACAATGAACACAATGAGCAGAGGGCATGGAAAGCAGACAATAGTTGCCTGTAGGGCACAGGGTTCTTTAGACAGTATTTAAGGCAGTAGTACACACTGATGTACTCCAGTCTTGAGCTAAGGTTTAATACACCTGCTAAACTCTCTGACTACCTGGTGTGAATACTCTTTCTACAACAGCAGACTATATCTATCAGCCACAACCCTTTATTCCTATCCACAAAATCCTTATTGCCTACCTCACCATCCTCATTATACTTTTATACCAAAACCAGACCCAGACTCAGAACTTAGAATTGGACCCCAGCAGAAGCAGTGCTAGACATTTGTGAGTGTTTAGTAGAGGCCTAACAAAGACTATATTATTTATAGATTCTGTATCTTTTTCTCTTCTATAGAAGAATGAGAGAGAGTAAATCATGAGAAAGATGACCCACCCCCACAATTAGACCTTCTAGCTCACTGTAGTTACTCCCTGATCAAAGGCTTTATGTCTAACCTCAACTTAAGTAGCTTTTATTGCTAAGTTATCTTGTATTGAATAGAATTGAAGTCTTAGTTAAACTTTGGATTTTGGCATAATTTGGGTTCTGGCTTAATAATGGTTTCAGCATCAGAATACAGGTTCTTCAGTTTTGAGAGCTGTTAGTTTTCCACAAGTGCAGCTAGTCAATCCTAAGTGCTTGAGAGACTTAGTATTAATTTTTGGTGTTTATTGAGTTTCAGAGTATTCTAAGTTAAGCTGAGCACAGTAGCTTATAACTTTAAGTCCCAAGTCCCAATTCACATATTGCATCCCAGGAAGCAAACTAACATCAAATTAACAGCCTTTATATAATTGTTCTTCATTTATTTGAGTCTGCAGAGTTCTTCTATTGTACTTGACATATCTGAACTCAACAATATTAGTGATAATGCATAGAGTGATTAAGCTTCAGTAACTGAGAGCTCATTTCTCTTTCATTTGACTTAATTTTTCAGCCATTTCTGAGCACATTATCTGAAGCACACCACAAGGAAGTTTCAGACTTGATAATTCTCATTGAATAAATACTTTACTTGATGCTAAGTCATGTTGAATAAGATTATATTTGCATTTATAGCTTGTACACAATCTGTCTAACTCAGCCTCAGCAAAAGTGAAGGGAAAAGCTAAAGCAACAGAGCCTACAGAAGCCTTGACTTCAAGACTAGCACCCATATATACTATTTCTAAGCCACCTGGAAGATCAATGGCCAATTCCTGAGCAGCTGGTATTGTATCTCTCTGAGAACAGAGCATTTATCATGGTCATGGCAGAGTTGAATACATGAAAGGAGCACATAGAGACAATAATATGTGAAGAGTGGGTGGAGTACAGGCAAAGAGGAATGTCATTTCAGCCTGGGATGCCGACTTCTTGTTCCTGAACTGCCATGGTCAAATCAGGATATGTGCATCCGTATTCCTCCTTCTCACATCACTGTTCAGTCTTGTTCCGTTGAACCAGCGAATTTCATCTCAGGGACTCAAATCTTGGTGCTGAGAACAACCTTTGCAAGATAGAGAATCAAGAGAGAGAGAGAAAGAGAGGGACTCTGGTGAAGGCAATGGCATGAACCATGGATATCTGAATTCTTGTGTCCCTTTCTCATTGATACATAAATTTTTTCTAATCTTTCTCATAGGTCACTGTTGATGTGAAAATAAGTTATACACTTCCTGAATTCGGGGACCACGCTCCCCCAATAATGATAAAATCGTCGGTGAGGACGAGAAACCATGGCGGTTGTGCCAAATGGAGCATAGGGTAACACCAAGGTTGTCAAACATGCTCCTGAGATCATTTTAAGGTGTGTGCGTGGCGATGTTTGGTAGGCTCCACTGTGCTGGTGGTTCCTCAGGGGGAAGAACGAAATGATCAAGGGCTTTCGCGGTCATTAGCACAGGTGTTCTGGATATCATGATACTGTCTAGAACCGCACGAATAGATCGTCTGATGGCTTCTTCATCCTGAACGGCTTCGGATACTACTGAAAAAAGGATAGTTCTATACAGACTTGGCATAGGGTTCGCATCGCTCTCTGGATCTTTCAGATGCAACAACGCTAAGAGTCTGAATGTACTGGGGAAGTTGTTAATGAATCTTCATGCAGTAGCAGCTGAGATAAAGCGAGCCACTCGCCCGATTCCTAAGCATTACATTCGCATGAAGTGCGTCGCACATTTTTCCCAATGCATCGTATCATTACGGGTAGACAGTTCAGCAAATAAATGGGACATATGAATGACAATGTAAATTCGAATATCACGAATAGAATCTTCCGATGCTATGCCCAAAGTGACTATTATTGCCATCCTTTGTTCTGGTATTGGAGTGGGGGGATCCACATGATGGGACAAAATGATTGGTAGCATGAAAGGGGGACTCGTTCCAAATCCATTGTCAAGAACAGGTAGCATCTCTTCCGACGGATTACAGTCATCCAAACCGTCGATAATAATGACAAGAGGACCCTCATCTGCCAAAGAGGGGACATTCTACATTGCTGCTCGAGAAGCAGCTGGATATGCTCCTTCGGGGATAGTTCAAGCAATCCCGACACTGATACACCGTCCCCAGCAGAAATTTCGGTGCCAATTCGACTAACGGTCATGCCTAGAGAGGAGCCCCGAAGAATCTGAGTTTTTCGATACGATCGTAACGAACGAAAGTACCAAGACGGTTGACACTGCCATCGCACCTCGCAATTCAAGCCGTCAGCTTGCTGATGGTTTTCACACGCGTCCCTCGTAAGCATATTGACAGGGGACTGAGCTCAACAGAGAGTCGAAGATCGTGAAGCAGTTCTTGCATACCTAAGGCCAAGTGGTTAGTAATCTGCTCCAGGGTCAACAGAACGTACGTAGAGGATCAACTACCTTTTGGTCGCCTTACGTCACGACCACAGCTTCCTGTGCAGGGAACAATGCAATAAACGAAAGCCTTCCTGGAATTCGACGGCCTTGTTCAGGAGCTTTGTGCTCAAAGGTCACTCTAAAGCAAGAGTCACCTCGGTGCTTCAGGCCATATTTGTAGGGATACATAGCCGCATCATTCTTTGCTACATATCCTTCAATAAAAAAGGTGCATCCAACTGTTTGCATAAACAGGAATTGATAAAAGGGCTGTAGGTGTTGGAGGTTCTTAAACACTTCGTCGCGGCTTGCTGAGACATGCTCTGAAAATATGATGCTGTAGTTGTTGTCGACAGTTCTATCCGAATAGTTTCTTTCTCAACACCTGTGAAATGTTGAATGATTTCAAAAGGACTCCGCAAAGGATAGCCTACCCAGATGTCCCTTAACAAAAAACTCCAGGCGATATCGGCAGCACAGACAACCCAGTGTTTGGTCTAGGTGACACGAAAAGTCACTCGTCATAACACGTACCTCTGCGAGGGTTTTCATCGGTACTTTAACCGACGCCACGGGGATGTCTTCGAAGATCCAAAAACTACTCAAATCACTATATGCACCAATCCTACGGTGACATTCCGACTCGAGAATAACACAATCAATGGCCGGCCACTGCCTTCTAACATGGGAGTCCATTACACTGTAACCTAATAGCATTTCAAGGCCCCTTCCTACCATCATGCTCATGATCACTGTATGGGTTGATTGAGGCCAGTCATGCCACCGAAGACTGTTGTAAGTAGAGAGCAGAGTAATGTACAGAGGATTATAATTAGCCTCTCGAGAGAGAGATGTTCTACTTAAATACATTTTGTATTACTTCGAGATCTTTCTATGAGATACTAAATAAGTCCGGATCACGATCCAAGTCAGCTGCTGCTGACTGGCATTGTATCTTCGAGTATGTTCTCGTACTCGCTCAGGATTGCTATCCCAACAAAGATGAACTCATCATGTTCATTGTGCTCAGTTAATGTTGGGATAGCAATCCTGAGTGAATACAAGAATGTACTCAAAGATGCTACATTGGTCAGTGGCAGCTGACTTGGACTGTGATCCATACTTATTTAGTATTTCATAGAAAGATCTCAAAGTAGTACAAAATGTATTTAAGTAGAATGTCTCTCTCTCGAGAGGCTAATCTAATCCTCTGTACTGCTATCTCCTCTATACTTACAACAGTTAATATGCAGTGATGCAAGTGGAGTCCTGTGATATCTTCTATTTGATTCTTTGATCCTTTGGGACACCAGAAACCAAGAACACACAAATCTTCCTTATCTCAACTCTGCAAACTTCTTCAGCAAAAGATGAAGATCAAACCCTAAGAGACGAGGCTTGCTCCAGAGCCAGAAGATAAAGAAGAAGGAGGGGAGTGGTGGGAAGAAGATGAGGGTGACATGGAAGACAAGCATGGGTAACCACTGCACACCTGTCACACCATAGACCATATCCACAGCCAGCATCCAAGACATGCTCACAAAACACCTCAGGCTTTAGCCAATTGCAGAATCAAATGAATCAACTAGCCCACCATGAGGGTGCAAAATACCATACATGTCCATTACTCTACTCCACATTACATGCCAAAACACCCAGGGAACTCAAAAGGAAGAGCAGAGGGACCGGAACAAGAGGGAATGAGGATCCTAAGGCCCTGTACCTCCACTGCATCTTAGTAGTTAGCTTACTTGTTGTGGTTAATCAAATGCTGAGTACAAAAAAAAACCCTAAGAGACTTCTTGGTTGCCGAAAACGTTGATCCCCGGCGTTTTCGAGTCATAGATCAGCGGTACCGACGTTCTTCTCACGGCCTTCCTGAATCAGCATCACAAGCCACCGCGTAACCTCACCTCTGGTTTCCCTTTTAGAAGTTTCTTGGCTCTTTCCATGGTGAAATATGTTCGTTTACAAGATCCTTGCTCCCGCAGAAACGTGTAATTCTACATCGCTGCTGTATTTCCTTCTAGTCGATCTTCATTCTTAATCTTGAGTCGGGTCTGGATGTCAAATATCATTACCGGATCTTGTGGCTCACAGTGCTAAGTATTTTATTGATCTTGGAGCTTTATCATGACGTTGTCTCATGGTACGAGGGAAACCTAGGCCATAGGAGTCTCAAATGACCGCGGTGTTCCGTAATTCCCATTATTCTTCCTGCCAATTCTATCGCAAAAATCTGATCGTTTAACGAGAAGTGCGTCTAATTCCCTATCTAGTTTTTAAGGGTTTCATCTCGGTAATTCGGGAACCAGCTCACAACTTTCCAACGATAAGGAGCAAATGCCCGTGTATGCTCTTCTGGAGTTGAGGCTAATGTTGGTCTGAACCAAACCGCAAAGCCATAGAGACACCCCCCCCCTCGTCTTTGCCTATGAAGATCGTCTCTTTACTTATCACGAATCAAACATGTCACCGGCTACTAAATGTCGACTCGCTTCGGCCTTGACACCGGCCCATTCCCTGACGAAACTGTATTACATGAATTTCACCTTTCCATCCCATACTTGGTTCCTCCTTCTAACTCGCAGTCTAGAAGTACCGAGGTAGTTGTCTGATGGTGCGACACGCTTCCCTGGGTAGGCGAAGTCCTACCAAATTCAAGTTTCTCCTATGAACCAGAAATGAGCCACAATGCAGATGTAATCAATGGTGTATCAGTGACTACAATTATAAGCACCTTGATATTGGTCGCTTAGTAACAATAATGGTTCAATTGACCCATTGCGTTCATACTGAATTTGAGATACTGAGTTACAAGTAGAGATCTGTGTACTTGAAGATAAATGTTTGACAGCGTCGAGAGCAGTACGACAACAAACGAACAACACGAATAGTCTATTCTGATTCAAAAGTACGGTAACAGAGAGGGAAATTTCTGCCAAAGAAACTGCACCAAGCGAGACGGTGGCTTGTGTAATCAGTCATGAGGCCAATGCGGCTACGCATCCATATGACATCCTTTGTGGCCATGAACGCATCAAATTCCTCGAGCGATGGCGTCGTTGTCGGTCGCAGTAACGGATCTTCCGCCATCATGGTCAGAAAGAACGGCTTGAAATCATCTAGACCGTGATATCTCTTTCGAATGTACATGAGCTTGTGATGATACAGCGGAAAGAAAGATAAGATGAAATACCTCACAAATTCAGAAGAATGTAGCACCAACGTTGTATACATCCAGACAGAAAGGGTTGTGCAGAGGAGGGGAGCAGAGAAACTCCGGAGAATTCTTGATCTGGCACTTCATGGCCGTAGCGCGCGCGTCGTTTCTCCCGGCAGGGAAGTGCCGGGTTGTTTCAAAATCGATGATATAGTAAGACACCGGAGCCACGAGGCAGCGAGGTCGCTCATGAAGGACGTGGTAGACGCCATTGTAGCTATGCGGGTATGGGATATGAAAACTCCTTGGACATACACCGGTGGCGTCCATCATGAAATTGCTTGTGCATGCATCTCTACCAATCGATGAGAATGATATTTCGGTATACAAGAGAACGACTTACCCGTGCACGATATTATGTTCGTGCATAAAATGTATTCCCTATCACCGGTGTAGGTATCTTGGTGACAAAAATGGACTAGCCGCCTGCCTCCAAGATCTGTTGAAATGCATCGGCGAACTCACGTCGACAGTGAAATGGGGGGGAGTTGAAGGCACGTAGCATAGGCAAGACTACAAAAACTCGTTGTTTCTCTTCACCTGGAATAGGTATTATTCCAAGGATAGGAATAGTGCGGTTTCGCGGGCCACGAACCATGTCGGCAGATGATAAGTGCTTCATCATGGCAAGTTTCTGTGAGCCTGCCGGTACAATTCGAAGGACGACCTTGACACCATCCTTTATCAGAGTTGCGTCGAGAAGGACAGATACATGCTGCAAATGCATATAATACTTTTTGAGAAACAAAGTTTCAATAAGCACCTACCAGAAAAATATTATCGTCCTCGACTTTGAAGCCATACTTTGCTTTCAGGTCCGTGCCATCCTTCAGAATCCACGATGGGTCCCACTCTGGATGGCCTTGGTCGGAGCATAAATCCTTGGGTTTCCGAGAATGGCAGATGCTTCACCCAAAATAATTCTGCAGCGGTTCGGACATCTTTGAACGCAGGTACGGGTGGCTGGGTTCTGGCCATAATGAAGGAAAAAATGGAAGTTTTCAGTGGGAACTGCCGATCTGTCGGCTTCGGGGACTGGGGACCAGCAGCAGTCAACTATTTGGATCCCGCGAAAGGTACAGTCCCCAGTGAGTCAGAGAATTAATGCGCCATGACCACATCTACAGAGGTCTGGACATTCTTGTCCGCTCGTAAATCGAACCTAATCAGTTGGCTGGTTCGTTTGCGAAAATGGCAGTCCATTTATGATTACTTACTGTCATTGATATCAAATACTCATTTTTTTAATCCCCCCGTCAACTCTGCATTGGTCTAAAATGGTATTTACGTCAACATTTCATGAATCAAGGGAGTCACCGGCGTCTAACTGCTGATTTCATTCTCCACCTGGCATCAAGCCTCGACCCCACTACCCTGCATATTCCCCCGCTCCTTGAAATTGACCTTGCAATCTCATACGGAAGTCCTGGTTTGCCCTTCCGCCTCACCATCTGAACCTACCCAGGTACGCCTCTAATGATGTTCCATGGGCCGTCACCAATCGGGCTGGGGAAATGACGATACGTCGAGTTTATCCCATTGTGTCTATCGTTCATCGACGGTGTGTCAGTGATTGAATCAGTGATAAAGATTCTTTGACTAATAAGTCTGAATGATTCATCGTCGCATTGTATGTCTGTTGAATGTCAGATATGGAGATCAGTGTACCGCAGGTTCAATATAGATAGATCATCATAGACGTTTGACAGCTCTGATAGCAATGTGATAGCAAATGAAAAATACGAAACGGTCTAATCTGAATCAGAAGTACGGTAAAAGAATAGGGAATTTCCGCCACAGAAATTGAACAAATCGAGACGGGGGCTTACACCATGCGTAATCCAGCTAAATGCGACTGCGAAGCCATATCTGATCCTTCGACCCAATGAACATGTCAAATTTCCGGAGCATCTCCTTCGTGGTCGGTCATTTAGATGGATCTTTAGCCATCATCTCAACACAGAACGGCTTGAACTCATCCACACCAGCATACTTCTTTACAGCAACGTTAATTTAAAATAGAAAAAGAGGGCTGAGAACTGAATACCTCACAAAAGCTGAGAAATGTCGCACGGACGTTGTAGACGTCCAGTCGAAATGGATTGTACGGCACTGGGGCACTGAGAAATTCTGGCGAAGTCTTTATCTGACACTTTAGCTCTATGGTCCGTGCAGCATCCTTGCCCTCGGGAAAGTGCTTTGTGGTCTCGAAATCAATGATGTAGTGAAATCAATGATGTAGTATTTGACGGGGGGTACAAGGCACCGTGGTCTTGCATGAAGTCCATGGCCAAGTTCGTCTATGCTGTCTGTATCGGCCATGTGAAAGCCTTTCGGGCAGACATTGGTGGCGTCCATCAGGAAGTTGAGCGTACATGCATCTCTAGAGCAACGTTACTGAAACCCATTTATGTAGAGAGCATCGATGGACTCACCCGTGCGCGATGTTGTTTTCATGCATGAAATCTATACCCTGGTTTGACGTAAGACGAGCCTGAATACGAAGGATTCAGTAGCACACCTCTAATATTTGTCGAAATGCATCGGCAAACTGGCGTCGGCAGTGAAAGTCCGGAGGGTGAAACCATCGAAGGACAGGCAAGATTACAAACACCCTGTCATTCTCCTCGCCAGGTATCGGTATAGTTCCCAGAACAGGAACGGTATGGTTGCGTGGGTCGGAGCGCATTTGGGGCGAGGAGAGGTGCATCATCATAGCTAGTTCCTGTGAACCTACTGGTACGATACGAAGGGCGACCTTGACACCATCCTCGATCCGAATTGCATCTAAGACAACGGACGTATACTAGAAGCAAAGATTTCTCTTAACAAAGAATAACGAAGTAATATAAATCTCACAATCGACCGATGTTGGTCCTCGAAGAGCAGAAAAGAATTCTTTTCTCTCAAGTTGGTGCCATCCTTTTGGATCCATGAAGGGCACCAGTCTGGATGGTACCGAGGGCGGAGCAGGTAACCTTGGTTTTCCAAATACGGTTGATGCTTAACCCAAAAGAGTTCACTAGGTGAGCGATGATCTTTAAACGGGAGCGAGGATAGCTGGGTTCGAAGCATCGTCGTGGCGAAAAGAAAAGGTGACGGACGGTGCCGAATTACTGGCCGTTGTCCCTTGAAGGTTTACTCGAATTGCAAATTTTACTCAGTCGAGTTGGTATTTGATCTGTTCCAAACAGCACCGGTTTCGACCCCATACGCCGATGAACCAACTCTGTCAAAATAGCCAACAGCAATCTCCAGAATGGTAGACCGACTCAGCTCTGGGCAATCTAGTATCTAAGTACGAGGTGTATTGTGAGTGAATTTACCGTTTGTCTCTGCACCAGCTTTCCCTCTTCTCGATATGCCTGTTACCTCAGAAGAAATAAACTCTATAAAGAACCAGGTGAATATACTGCTAAACGACGCTAACCAGGACAGCGTTCGGCCCAAGCCTCTAAGAGACGATCTCATTGAAGATATAAACACGTATGACCACTACGTCTCAATCTTCAACCGTCGTGTATCTGATTTTCTGCTCTTAGGGCTCTTCTCCGACTCAAAGATCTGTCTTTGATTAGCGAAATTCGGGCAAAATTTTATTTCTGGATTCGGAAAGCTCTTTCCAAAGCTCCCGAAGCAGTGCCAACTGTGGCTTCAGTATGCAAAATGATAAATAAAATTCAGACTTCATACGAAGTGAACCGTTTCACTACGACAGTCAGAAATGGTATGATGTGTTGACCGTGAAGACTTACCAGTACATAGGATGTTGGCAACCAGTGTCATGATGCCGAAGTGTCTGTGTTGGGAAACAAGCCGACGACTCGGTCACGGATATGATCCGGACCTTTTAGTCATCGACACCTCGACGCGTACTTACACGTCTGTTCTAGTTGTTTCTCTTTCCTCTCCTTATGGACTATTTTAGTTTACTCTTAGAATATACTAGAACACTTGGAGAGGTATAAAAGCCTCGCAATTGTACCGTAGTTTATACAGAATATCCACCTTACTTCTACTCTTACAACTACCAGCTGCCAACATGAGCACCTGGCGAGACGGTAATATCAGTTTTTCCAGAATGGTTAGCAGGTAAATGTCAGTTCTTTGTCAAGGAGCTTTGGTTTGGGTGAATATACCACGAGACGATATTCCTCACCAGCGTCTGCAGCGGAGAGCAATAAAAGAACCAAAACTACAATATAGCTGTTCATCCAGATGATGAACGTGCGATAAATCTATGTCCATGAGCATCCTAGTCAGCCTCCCGAACAAGTCAGACTGACGAGGGTCTTACAAGGAACGCATCAGCCACGAGGATCGGAAGAACCCATGCCGAATTGTCAATGAGGCTCTAGCGGGACCACCACGGATGTAGACTGATAGTATCATCCGAAACTATGTGGAATACGCTGTACAGAGTGAGTACAATAGTTGTCATGCAGCACTGAAACTCCGGTTAGTCGTCGACAGAAGATTAGACAGAGAACAAACCAAATTGATGAGAAGAAACAGTGCAATATGAGTAACCAGGAGTTACATGTGCACTCGTTTCATTTTGTAGCGGTGATACATGACAAGGCTGCGTTGATACGTGATCATAATATAGGCGCTTGGAGAATATGTCCAACGCAATATCTAGAGCGACAATAAACAGGCGCACCATACAGAAAAGTCGAAAGGTAGGCTCCAACGAAGGCCGATTTGACGGCGTTAGATAGTATTCATATTCATCTGGGAACTAGACATGGAGGTATAAGTAGCCTATGTCTCAAGGAATTTTTTCCGCGGAAGCATATTCATGGGTCAAGATCTTCGATCGCCTCTAAGAGCTTACCTGCAGAGTAAGTATACCATGCCAGAGGGGTCTTCAAGCAGTTTTTCGTACCGAAATGAGATTGGTCAGACATCTGACGCTCAGGTCTAGACCCAGGTAGTGCGGCGGAGATAGCAAGGATTCCCGTAGAGTTTATAGAATTTGGAAAACCGGCCTATCTGTTTCGGCAACGTAAGTGTGAGAACCAGTTACAAGACTGATGAGTAATTATGAATTGATTGCTACTGGGTACATTCTCTACCAAGGTAACTGCTCGTTGCCTCGCCAAAATTGACCTGCAAAACATGGACGTCAGCGCATCTTCCGGAAGATTCGATCCAAAAAAAATATATATATATTTACAGGTCTTTCCAATATCGTCTGGTCCCAACAGTGCCCATGGAACAAGCACCGAAGCACCCTCTGCAGTCGTCTTCCCCCCTGGCGCATACATGTTCAACTTCGTCGATATAAACCCGGGGCTAATCACGTTGACCTTGATTCCCTCGTGTTCGAGCTCCTTCGCCAGCGCAATTGAGTAAGAGTTCATCGCGACTTTGCTGGTGTTGTATGCAACGACATGCATACCGGAACCTGGGGCAGCCTGGGTAGCGTTCGAAGCCATCAGCGTTGACACATTCAAGATGCACGCGTGGCCTTGTGGCAAAGCTCTGAGTAGAGGAAGGAAGGCCTGCGTCGTTTGGATAAGGCCAAAAAAGTTGGGCTCGAAGGCATTGCGGATGACGTCGAGCGAGATGGTAGTAGCCTGCTGCGGCTCGGACATGTAGCTCATTCCTGATAGTATCGTCAGCACCAAACCAAAACAAGAGAAACAATAATGGGACTTCCCTGCATTATTCACCAGAGTATCCAGCCTGGCTTCGGCCTTCTCGATGGTCTCCTTCGCAGCATGGACTGAAACAGTATCGGTGATGTCTAACTGAACATATTTGACATTGAGACCGTGCTCTTCCTTGAGTCTAGCCCTAAGATCGTGGTCATCAGTATAAGAGTCCCACCGTCGAACGGAACCGTCATTCACTGTGCATGTTTTCCAGCTGCCTCATTCCTCGATGACAGCCAAACCGTATGACCCTTCTCCGCCAAAAGCCTCGCAACATCGTATCCAATACCAGTATTCGAGCCTGTGATGAGGATAACACGCTTGTACGGGTCGCTGGAAGCAGCCATGATGGTGGTCACGATACAATCACGATTTTGGATGCCGTTGCCAGCGTTTAGTTTTTAATAGAACAAGATATCGCATGGTGTTCCGTATGCCGTACAAAATGGGAATCCCAAGGACAGGAATTTGAGGAAAAGAAAAAAAAGGAAGAATAACCGTCTCGGCTGGTAGCTGGGTGCTAAGATGTATTTCAGGCCAAAATTAGCGCTAAAACAGTCAGGTGGAGTTTTGCAGAGATCAGCCCTCCTCCCGAGGCTTCGCATTCGCATTCCATGATGTGCGCCGTCGTCGTTCTTTCGACATCATCCTGCTGCTCGCGTAGAACACCAGCCACTGTGCATACAACACGGGCAAGTCAGCGATGAATTCATATTCAATTGTATTGCTGAAGGACCTGTAGGTGGAGGACATCAAGGTCAATGCGGTAGACCTAGATCTGTGACGAGCGAGTTGAATGGGTGTCTGCCCTTCCACTGTGAAATCGCCATGACATTCAACGACAAAAAGTTCCGAGTTGCTCCTGGTTCTATGTGGTGGCTTACTGCGTTCAGCAAGAGCAAGGAAGCGATGAATACGGTGTTAGCGAAGAGGCAGTGGAGGAGGTTGGCACGTATATGCCTGGAGCGAAGACAAGAATGTGACCGCTCTTCTGCCTTGAGGATAAAGATTAGTGTATCATTAATATTAGCTCGGTATTCTATCGGCTCATATTGATAGACTACCATTCATTGACAAAGCAATGCTACGGAAACGACAATATAAAATGAGTTCGCTTCACTGTTTGATAAAGCATATTAATGTCCGGAAAAAGGAAGCATGTTGCACTCTTGGGCTGTATTCTTCGCGTCGAGTGTCTCCGATGTTGCATTTCGAGAGTGAAGTAGGGCATGTACTGTGAAAATTTTTGTTTACACGCTGGCATTAGAAGTCATCCTTAAGCAGCGTACCTAAGGCTTGCCACGTTAACTTTTCATGAGAATACTCTGCGGGATCTGTGAAAATATAGATACCGACCATGGTAACCACCTAGTTCAAGATTGAATGTCATTTCTGGAATGATTCAAAACCTCAGGTACTTACGGATATGGACAGAAGGACGAGGCAAGGTAGTACACCTACAAAGTCTGTGTCTGGAGTCATTTTGCGAACCGATACAGTATTAAACTTGTACCCAAAATGTCACTTGAATTATATTAGCATCGGGAATTGGCTTAACCAGAAGTGGCCTACCAAATCCATCTGGGGCTCCAGGCATGCTTAAACGCAACTGAGTGAACGCAAACACGATCCCAACAGGAACAACGACTATCTCGTTGGTACACAAGCATCCCGCAAGCCCCAGGCTTAAAGCTGGCTCAAGGCTCACAAGAGTAGGCACTTCCTAAAATTTCACGTGAGATTCTATATGTCCAGATGAACAGTTTTACAGATGGAAGGAAGATAGCAATAAGCTTTTACAGGAATATTTAACAGTACTGATAGAATGCAAATCTCATAGTAGAAGGCCAGTGTGCAGACACAGAGAGAGAGAAAATCAGGAACGGACGCACTTGCATGAAACTGGACACCATCTGCACATGTGCCGAAATGAATGGAAACCATAATGGCATCAATATGAAGACACCCTGTAGAAGCAACCCTCCGAAGGTGTTCAGCTACGCAGTAAGCCAAAAATCGACTGAACCCATCATCCGGATAAAACACTCGAGGGGGACAAACGGGACTGTCAGTATCTGTAATCATCGCTACCGCACGCTGGAATAAAGGCACAAGCGAGTATTCGCCTCGGGGATGTCAGCCAGGGGGAGAGCACTGTCGTAGATGGTATTATGTATAGCGTCAATGGCTGCGGGAACTCGCGCATCGTGAAAAGGCTTCTTTCGGCGTCTTTAGCCACGTTGCGCGTCCAATTGGCTGATAGGGTTTCAAAGTCAGCGCGAAATGTAGATCTGAGGTGTAATAATCGTACTTGAAGGCAGCACAGTTCCCGCCTCCCACCAGGACGGTGATAGATCACGGGAAGATATCCGGGGACGTTAACCGACGCTCAAACGAGTTCAATGCACCGAACAGAGAAACTAGTGCTTGTCTAAAAGAAGCGGGTTGGCGACGGAATATTGATGCACATCGAACAGAAATGATGTCAATCAAAATGCGGAGGTTTCACTGCGGATGAGAACGATGGATGGACCCGCATAGAAGCAGTCGAAGACGGCGTTGATTATGTGACGCTAGCGATACCCAGCAACAAACGAGAACGAAACGCCAGAGAAGGGCCAGATCACATCCATAAGAAAGCGGCCCCGGCCCCGAGACCATGACAGCGAAGAACGAAGCCAAGTAAGGGCATGATGGGGGAAAGGAGGAAAAAAGGTTTTGACCGTCGCTTCGAAGAGCGCAGCGCGCCTTTTGTACCCGTCGGGGTGGTCCGTGCACTTGCTATCAGCGCCGTCGTGATGTCGTCATCGACGGTGAAACAGATATTCTCCCTTGGTTTGCCGCGTCATGCCAACTATCCTGAAGATCGGCGTGCCGGTATGAAAGGGAATAAGGAAAGGCACACACACTGACGTCATCACATGTATCTCCTTTCATACCTGGTGATATTTAAGCAAACGGAGCAAAAGGCGAATCCGCGATCCGTTGTCGTGATATGCATGCATTTTGAGCGGTCCGAACCCCGTTTGCTTGCGATGGATATGCATATCAGGTTATCTCCTCTGAACGTTGATTTGCAAAGTCCCTCGGGCAGACAAGCCTTGTCGCATGCACGAACAGACAAATACCGGACGACCAGGGAGATAAGTCTTGTTGTATAGTACAAAGCGAACAGTCATATAATAGCCTGGTCGCGTCGAGTCAGTACAAGAGAGGAGGACAAAGAGGAACTTTGACGCACGTAGATAAAAAAAAACGATATACTGATACAGTAATGTATGTTTCTACCTTCAAAAATAATCCATCAGTGACAGATCATCAGGGGGGTACATAATAGTTAGGAGCGTACTTCGGACCGCCTAAACCTTACTCTTCGTCTATCCTGGACTCCAGATGATTATCTTTCCCACTAGTCCCGCTCTGATGCTATCATGACAAGGGATTAGCAACCAACCCAAATAGCCACCCAAATAGCCCGCGTACCTGCCGTAGCTTCGCGAGATGAATTTTCAGCGTCTCGGCATAGTTGTCGAAGCCCAGCGTGGACATCGCATACAAGATATCCTCCCCTCCAATCGTCTTCCTCTTCTCCATTTGACATTTCTCCGCCGCCTCGGACGTGATGAAGGAAATAAACTCTGAGACACATTCCTGGACGCATTCTTTCGCGTCCTTGGCTATTTTTGCGGTGGGCGGGACGGAAGACTTCATAATTCGGGACACATTTGCTATCTGCATGGGATAATAAGGTATCGCGCAGGCAGAGACATGGCTCAGTGGCAACGTACAGGTAGGAACCGATCCTGCTCCCTGTACTCTCCAACCTCCTGTTCAGTAATGGGTAACGGTTCCGGGGGATCCTCAGTTGGTGGCTCCAGAGGTGCCCCATCTTCTTGGGCAGCGAGAATTGGGTGAAGTTCCGCCATAAAGGCACTAACGACAGCCGGTCGTCAGTCGGATTATCCCTTCCCTTGACAACGAGTGGGTGGCACACATACCTCCGCAGCCGCGGAATGCTTCGTGAAGTACTGGGTAAGGACCTATCAACGGCGGTGTCTACAAAAAAAGCGCTTAGAGAGAAGGCTATATGATGTGTGCGGACGATGAAGGACGCGATGATTTATGTTGAGAATCTGAGAATCGTCAGGGTAATGACGGGTCTAGGTGCATCTAGGCCCCTACACCATAACTTATCCGAACATCACGTGGTTGGTCCACCTTTTTTTGGCGGCGGGTCGGCTCTCTCCGCGGGGTCTGCCGATCTAGCTATGCACTCCAGAATCATGTCATCTGAAACTCTGGCTCGCCAGTGGATCCTTTTCAATCACGTACATACGCCAGGTAGAGAGCGACGGACCATGTTCAATCCTTAAGTATTATAATGCATCCAATTCATCCTTCAGAGAATGTCACATATAATAATTCCCCGAGCGTAAGATATTCCATCTATCAATACCGTCCGTGTTTGAGACATTTCTCGAAGTGCCAGAATGCTTTGAAGCATTTGGAGAGTATCGGAAGGAAGAAGACTACGACATCTTAGAACCCAAAAGATATTTCACTCTAGAGGTGGGAGAACGCAGCAACACCCCTGCTTGGATATGTCGCTTGAACTCTTACTTTACCGAAGCGTTAGTTTTTTTTTTTTTTCCAAGTCCGTCTGTCTCTGTGCTGTATCGATTCTCCGGAGTGGCCAGAAGATTGACTGACTGGAAAGCAATCGGGGTCGGGGGGGACACCATTCGGTCGGTCCTCTTAGCCCACAGAATCAAATCACACTTCACTTTTTATGAGTTAGTTAATATGAGACGGACGGACAGGCAGAGGCAGGCCTTCTTATATCGATTTCGGAATCGAGGCACTTGGAATCTCATGAAGAAGGACATATCGACTTGCGCGCAGCGCTGGATAAAAAATGGACGGGGGAGCAGGGTTATATTGAAGGCTATGGGCACTTCCCCTCAGGACTCTCACTACAAAAAAACCGAGTAGCAGGTTTACAACAATCGAGGAGATGGATGGTATACTAATTAATCGAGACCCTTTCAGTAAGACTTGCCTGACTGTACTTAAAAAACCCATAAAGGACCTGAAGTGTGCACGAAAAGTGCACTTCAACCTTTCCTCACGCCTGGAGACATATTGCCTAACAACCCACCCATCACCCATGGCACGAGGATGCCACGAGGCGAACCATACACAATGCTCAGCCCTTCCCGTGCTCTAGTCCCCAACGTTAACGTAGCGGCAGACTGAATGAATCTCCAGGCGCCCTGCCCTATATAAAACTCAAGCCCGGATGTATATAACGAACGACATACACGTCCCTCGGCATTATTAGTATTATTACGATTAAGGGTACCCTATAAACTACACGACCCACGGAAACCTCGACTTACAGAGGAGGGGGGGAAGGGGGAAAGGAACCAGCCCAATACGGCAAACAAAACAGACGGGTTATCATGGCAAACGCCAACCCCACCCTTTAATACCCAGGCAACGCAATGACTGCTCCCGCCTTTCGTGGCCCGTCTCTAGGAGCGATATTACATCGGAAAGGTTTAATTCGGCTACGAAAAAAAAAAAAAACATAAATAAATTTAAAAAAAAAAAGAGCGCCAAGGACAAGGAAAAGGAAAAGGAATAAATGATCGGGGGCAATTAAAACTTTAAAAACCACATACCTGACAGGTCCGGGTATAGCCTCAAAGATCGGTAAAATTGGCTTACCGCCCTCAGTTATGGGCGTAATAGTGAACAGGGACAGCACTGTCGCTATCGTAATGAAAAGCGATGCATCAGCCAAGCGAAGACCTGTCAAGGAGGGTTCGTGCTGCCTTTAGATACCGCCACGAGAACAAAGGGAAAAGATCATACCAGGACAGATCCTATGCGAATATTCGTCAATCAAAGTGTTAAATGAAGAGAAAACACACGCATTCTGACCGTCTACCGAATCCAAATATGACGTCACAGGGATTCCTCTCTGGATTGGGACCCAAAAATCGGGAAGGGTTGAATTCATGCGGGCGCTTGTGTGTCGTCGGATCGTGTGTGATGTTCCTGCGGGGTATCTCACGATAATGACGACTTAATCTAAAGACGGGAAAGGGAAACTGACCATATATTGACGACAATCACCGAGCGCTCAGGAATATAGTACCCGTCTTGAATATCGGCTTGCGTCGTACAGTGAGGGAGATCTTTAGAACCAACGTAAAATTAACGATCAACAACCACCAAAGAAAGAGAAATGTCGTAAAAAAAACTTACTCTGGGGAACTGGCGGATGTGTCCGAAGGATCTCTTTCCGTATGGCATCAATGTAAGGAAGTTGCTCCCTGTCCCCGAAAGACGGCAGCCTGTCGCGTCCGATCACGCCGTCTAATTCAGCCTGAGCCCGTTTCTGAATATCGGGATGTAACGTCATCATTAAAAAGAAGACGTGCAACGCTATACTGGTCTAACAAACCCAGGTTGAGCAGCGGACAACGGATAATAAACATTGCGATAGGAGGCTGCTCACTGTCTCTCCTCCAGCTGTGGAGAACAACAACTCAGGTCAGCAAGATAGCGCAAGAAAGAAAGAAAAAAACGCGCTAGTGCGCACACCTCACCTCCCATCATTGCGCCCGACGCGTGTTTCAAGTATTCTTCCTCCTCGGGCGAGATTCCCTTTTGAAGCCATTTAGAGACGAACGACTCTCCGAATCCGCCTGTGGCCTAAAAAAAAAAGTGACAATGAACTACCGAAAGGCGAGAACGGGGTCTGGGGGACTGAGAGAATTAATTACCATATGCTGCTTGACGAGGTTAAAAGGCGCGTCGACCATGACATTGTAATGTTCCCTCCACTCGGCAGCAACTGTCTTGAAGCCGGCTCCTGGGAACCATGACGGCACGTACGACACTAGAGGCACTAAAATCAGAAATTTGGAAGAGAAGGAAACAAACATTACGAGAAGCCACGTACGGATTGGAATTGCATTAACCAAAAACTCCGAGGGTTCGCATCCTTTGCCCATTTCTTCCATGGAACGAGTAGCGTTCTGGATAAAGTCATCGTTGAACGAAACGGCTTCGTGACCGTACGCAATCTTGAGAATAATGGCATCGGCGTGTCTATCAAAGACGTCAGACTTCGTCAGGGGACAGCAGTGTCACTGAGCTATTCACAGAGTGATATGTTCGCTGAAGTGGGTAGGCGCTTCGAGAAGGCGTTTCGCGAAACATCGCGCCATCCTCTCTTCGTGGGGGAAGAAGGCCCTTATGGCGTGATTACTTCCCAGCTCCTTATATACCATCTTCCTCGAACTTCGAAGCCTTCGCCCGTAAGGCATGATTCCCATCGACAGTTTGCACCCCATGAGCTCCCCAGCCATCGGTATGCGCGGCCTGTCAGAGTAGATCTTTCCCTTCTTGTCGAGCATTTCCACAGCCTTTTCGAACGTGTTTATGACGACGATAGTCATTCCGAAGACAGTGGCGGATATGATGTCGCTGCCTATCAGGGTGGGAATGAAAAACACTGCTGGCTTCCCCCGCGAAACAGTCGTAAGTAAACGCACCGTAGACCTTTCCCCACCGTGCATAGACTTCCCCTCCATCACTTTCAGATGGGATATCTGAGAGAGCAAGGTCAGTCGAGTACTACGCGACAGAATCGGCGGCATGAATACCAAACATATTTCCGATGAGAAAACGACCTTTTGGTCCCGGAGGCAAAGGTGGACGCGAACGCCTGCGTGCGAAAAGAATAGTCGAGAAGAAAAGAGCGGCGGCAAGCAGAGCATAGTCCAGCGATGTCCCCGACAGCATGATGTTACTTGCAAGAAAATTAGATCCAAGCACAGCACGCAGATGGGCAGGATTAAATAGGTCGGGGGTGTATGCGGAAGAACGTCTGCGAATTCGTGGCTGACGACCTTCATATCTTGAAGAATCCCGGAATCAGAACGGGCTGATGGAAGCATGGGGGGGGTGACAAATTTTTAATAAGGCCGATTCGATTGCCTGACAATGACAGAACCGCAATACGCATTCAGAACATGGACAAGATTGGGCTGAATAACTAGCCGTCAATCATGGATCTGTACCCATTTGTTAAGCTTGGATCTTTACGCTGACCCCATTCAACTTACGATGTCTTTTTGCCGCGGAGGCTGAACGGCAGCATTGACTGACCAGGCCAGGTAGCTGATAAACAAAGGCGGTATCCCAGCGCGAAACATCGGTACCAATTGGCAAGACATTCAGCTGTTTGGGTCGAAGAAACGATGCTGAGCCGATGTGCGGCGTCGTCAGATGTTCCTTCCACATTTGGGATCAGCAAATGACATTCGGGCCGCGGGTCGCTATGGTTCTACAGTGCGGTATGATGCATTTGGGTTACCACGTAGACTCTGCGCACTGACTTACAAGGTGATCACAGGACTTGGCCTCCTTGATTGAAATTCATTCTTTCCGCGATGAAGTCTCTCCAATTGTGAACGGTACATAAAATGCACACATTAGTGGTGAATAAACGCGTCAAGCGACTCAAGTACGTGAAGCTAATTTGAAAATGAGAAAATAGTGTACGACCAAAAGTGAGGGAGACCACACCTTCCCGAGTCCAGCCCGATTCGACGTCCTCGTTACCGTTACCGCCTTTGCCTGGATATAATTAACTTTTAGCCCTTAGCCCTCAGCCCTCAGGGATCATCCATATACGCCAATCACTGTTGCACTTGAGTACCCGTATACACCGGCGATGACGCGAATCCATGCTGTGCTATTATGGTCCCCGAAATAAGGGTGGCAGGACGTGTCTAAACGTCCGCCAACCGTTCAGAGTCATTGGTCCTAGTGTCTTAGACATGTTGTCACGTCATTGAAGCTCTCTGTTAGATGGATTGTCCAACGCCAGACTGTAGGCGGCACTGGTCGTTTAATTCCTATACCGCAACGTCTCAGGATACGACAAGAGCGGGTGATGAGAATAAACAGACATCGAAGATCGCTGCTTGCCGATAGCCGTGTATGTGCAATACTGTTGTTCTGGCCAGTGGATTTTGGATCGTGCGGCGATGAGATCAACACATATGGTTCAATTCCGTAAAGGGACTATAAATCATCCGAAACGCCGTTAGCCTGGCGCTTGACAACGTCGAACCAACATCGGCGTCGAACCCACCAGCTTGGCGGGTAAATAATACCCATAAACAACTTGCGGGCCAGCCACAGTAACACTATGGTGGAGTACACCTACGACTGAAGCGACATGGATGCATGTGCCCACCGCCCTCATCCCCGGAAGGTTTAAACCCTAACATGTTGACTGTCCCAACTTCGTCTCTTTGACACGTCGTAGACGTCAAAGACGAGACAACAGCGACAGCAATAGCATTGAGTTCTGGGATGTTTAGGGCTTGTTCTTCGTCATTAGACTCGCCAGAAAAACCCACGCTGTGGGATAAGGGTGCGTCGTGACCAGTTAGTGACGGCTAAGAGTCGAGATCTGTCAGTGTGGAATTCACGCGCAACATAGAGAAAAGAAAAGCACACCTTCGCTAACTCTTACAGAATCACAATGAGACTTGTTGCAGAAACGACGAGATTACGAAGACTTTCCACCCTCTTTCTTGAGGAAGAACAGTTTTTTCCCCCTACCCCACGGCGAGATATTCATGACACAAATTAATAGCGTTAAACGAAGCGGCAGCAGTAGCAGGTTTCCTTGAATCTAGACGTTGAGATAAGGAGAATGCCACCAAAGACTAACGTTAGTACGCACCGAAGATTGAAAAGCTCCGACGTCGTATATTGTGCGGTCAAGGAAGGTCCATAGCGTGTGGAAACTAGATGGACATAAATACGAATCAGCCCATCATCATGTATCGCAGAAGAATGAAGCTTACATATTTTGGGCTCAAGCGCTCAATCTTGAGTCTGCCGCTCCTGGGGTGTACCAATCAAACCAATCCAACAATTCGAGATCAGAATAGCAATAGTGTTTCCGCTTGAACTCCAAGGATAAGGCCACTGAGTATGGGAGAAGTACGAGTCGGAACAAGTCGTATCCCTGTTCGGCGAACGAACGCAGGTGGCGAATCAATAGATACCTTCCACAATTCTCGCGACCGCCACGTTCCGGCCCATCGTATCCACGGATTCTGTAAAAGCTCTGGTAAATAATACGTCAAAGGCAGCACAAGGCTTCAGACTGACCTAATCTTCCAAGACAGGCTCCATTCCAGGTCGTGTCTGTATAGAATGTCGGTATATGCGCCCTCTTTGTCCGTGTCGGACGGGTTTTTTCACCCCGCTATGCGAAAGTAAGAGAAAACGTCGGTCCAAAGACATTGAGACTAGACTCCGCCTGGTTCTCGCATGAGAAACTGGTGAGGAATTGGAATAAGACGCGTACCGAGACCGATACTGATATCTGCCATAGATGTCCATACCCGCCAAGCTAACAGGATAGGAACGTAGTGAAATATTACGAAAGGTAATACGGTGCGCGTTGAGAGTGCTGACACGCTGGAAGCGACGGATATCCCACTCAAACGAGAAAAAGGCATTGGTGCAAGTATTCTTCGACATTATCGAGAATTCCGGCAGCCATGGACGTCTCCATCTGTATCTCCTGGGGCTCCATCGAGGCAAAGACCGCCTTTCCAAATAATCCGGCTTGTTGTCCGTGGCTACCCTGTCCCTACGTCAGCCGCGAGGCACCGTGTCATGGCGTCCATCCTCCCGGATACTGCATCTTTGTTAGCCTAACTCGTGAGTCAAAAGAATGGACTGCAACGCACTCGTGTGTGATGCCAAGAAATCCTTCGCTGTGAATCTCTTCCGTCCTCGCTTTGGGAATCCTGCAGCTGTTGGTTGGCTTGAGAATTGAAGACACCGTATGGCCGGTAAATTTGTGGTGAGGGATACATCGAACAGACATACGGTACTTGGCTCGTCGTGGACGTCGATAGCCAAGAGAATCAAGCAAGCGCGAAAAGGTCACGGATGATGTAATCGCAGACTCCTAACCCTATTCTTGGGTTTCCGCAAATCTTGATCGTCAGAGTTTCTGCTTTACACTGCCCAGAGCCCAAGAATACTTTTTCATCAACGGGAATTATATATAATTCTTTTCAGAGTGCTATGGGATAACGCATTCGACCCTCTCAGCCAGTCTCCAGAATGGTAACCCCAGCCTGTGCGTGTGCGTTGCTACAGCGCTGTTATCTGTAGTCTTCCCAAAGTTTCATTTAAGGTCATTTTTCTTCTCGATCCGCATTTACAAGGGACAGGTGTTTTGCTTTCTATCCATCTGCAATTGACTCGAGCACGAGGCCAGCCACAATGGCATCGGATATCACGTCTAGTCCTCGGCGCTCCGCGTTCAATTCAAGTGCTTAAACTTAAGCTTCGAGGCACTTGTATAAAAAACCCTGTGCACCACCCACGTTCCCACATCACAGACGTTTATCCTGTCACCCACCACCAATACGAATGTCAGACCCAATCCTCGGTCTCCTGAAAACCAAAGTGAGTAGAGTAGTCGTTTACAAGTACTCGAAAGATCTCTGAAACTACTAACACGACACTTTAAAAGGCCTCTGAGGCATTCAAACAAGGCGATTTTACCACCGCCCGATCGCTTTATTCGCATTCAGTCGATATCGATCCTCAGGACGATACTCACCCCTTAAATCGCTCTTTGATGAATTTGCGACTCACAAGGTGAGTACCTCTGCCTTCTAATCTCTCGAGGATATTCGCTAACAGATCTCAATCAGATGGTCGGATGCCGAAGAAGACGCAACTAAAGCGCTAGCGCTCTGCCAATGCACGAAGAACGACCACAAACAAAAGGCTTACTACAGGAGATGCCAGGCCAGACGAGAGATGGGCGATATCGTCGGTGCCCAAAATGGTTCGTGTTCGTTTCAGAGACTGGCGCTTCCCCCTCCTTGATTATCTTGAATAGATCTCAAAGCCTTTGCGTCCACGGGAGGCGCCAGAGATCTTGTAGATGCCGAACAAAAGAAGATCGATAGCTCTATCACCACTCCGCAGCTGGTCCCCGCGCATCAGTCTCTTTTACTCGAAAGCAAGTCTGCGCCATCCGAACGAACGTACTTCATCGACGACGCCGGCAACAAAGGTCTCGGGGCATTCGCAGCCAGAGACATCCACCGAGGAGATCTCATCCTCACCGAAAAACCGCTCCTCCCTTTTCCCCACAACTCGCCTTCCAGGACAGAACTCCGCCTCGCCATGGATAACCTCTCCCCAACGGATCTTTTGGTTTTCCTTTCCCTGAAAAACACGCGTCCCGACCGCGGAGACACCATCGACGGCATATACAAAACCAACGCATTCGCCAACGGCGGGATCGTCATCGAAGCATCGCGTTTCAACCATTCGTGCCGGCCAAACGCACGCTACTCGTACCACGAGGCGACCAACCGCCAGCGGATTTTCGCCCTCACGTACATCCCAGAAGGGGAGGAAATATTTGTGTCCTACCTCGCCAGCAGGAACGTATACGGCGCTACGCGTAATCAGAGACAGGCGGCGTTGCGCGCTAAGCAGAACTTTCTATGTTCGTGTGCAGCCTGTGGTCTCGATCGCCAGCTGTCCCTGGAAAGCGACAGGCGCCGGACGGAGATCAGATCCATCTGGGATCGAATGCCGACGTTCAATCCGCGTACCGATGGCCGTGCATATCTCCAAATCGTCGTCAGGGCAATCAACCTGATGAAAGAGGAGGGATATTGGGCGGACGCGGATGATTTCGCCAACGAGGCGGCCGCACTCTGTTCTATGCACGCCGATTGGGAGTCTGCGAAGTATTGGCATGGGATCGTTTATGAGACTAGAGTGGCGGAGTTTGGAAAGGATAGCGCTCACACGTTCAAGGCTCGTAGGGATTTTGAGGATCCCCGTTCGATTGATCATCCCTATGCGGGAGTGTTCCACGGGCAAACGTTCGCTGATATTCGTTTGTAAAAAAACGATGTGTTGTTTTTTTTGCTTGCAGTAGAAGGTCCTTCCGTCGTATGTTTAGCTACCAATTATGCCACAGGATTCCATCAAGGTGGCGATTTGATCTTGAGCGTCAGAATGTGATATCTGAATGATATCAGGACAAATTTAGGTCAGATAAGCGAGCATGTAAAAGTGCAATCCTAAGTTAGTAGAATGCCCTGATCTTGATGCAAGGATTAGCGCTGAATATATTTCTCGATTGAAGGGCAAGTGATAGTTTATAAATGGATTCATGGCTGAAATGCTACTCTTTTATGCAGTCACGAGTACTGCGAATATCTATAAAGCCAGTTCTGCTCGCCAGGCTAGCGACGCGTCGTCTCAGTCACGCATATTCCACGTGACGAATGACAACGGAGATTAAGAGACAGGCGGCGGCTAAGGCGGTTAGAGATGAACATCGAAGCAAGCGTGTGTCCCACGTTAATTTGTGGATACCCATGACGGCCTTGTATAGTTGTAGATGCTTTTCGAATACTTGATTCTAGGGGGGAAAAGCGCCAGGACAACCAAAGCCTTGTTTCCCAGGCTATTTCTGCAGGCTGCACCGCCTCCTATTGGCTTCCTACGTGACTTCGGAGCGAATGTGGATGCTCAAACTGCGACAAGGGCTCCAATGTTGGCTCTGCGTGCCTACTGCGGTAGATACTGTCGTACATTAAGGTAATTTATATTGATATTGAACATCCCCTAGTCACGTCGCATTATATTTCACATTTTTCACTTCGTTCAGGTGCTCAACAGCATCATCGTGAGTAGTGCGTGTTGTTACCCGTTTGACGGATTCAACGTGGTCGTATGTGTATAGCATACAGAGAGCCCATCTGTAATCAATCATTCGTCCATACTGCGAACATTTTCTCTCCCGTTGTAATCCGCGCTTGGGAAATCAGGCGAAAAGTGGTTATGTGCTCGCATTCTGTTTCGCATTAGCACTTGGTCCAGACTACGTTGCACCAAGATCCTTCTCATGTGGGGTACCAAAAATACGACTCTCATGAGATGAGTTAAGGGGATTTTCATATCCACGGTTCTTCGATCATATAGTTTGCCTGACAAACGAATGGTCGTGCCGTAAATGGAGCCTGCGGAGTATGATGAGTCAGTAATTATCGAACCTGAGAGCACTGGAGAACATACACAGACGAACAGATTACATCCCCTCACGGAAGGAAAATCGTTCTCGAATTTCTGGACTTGCTCTTCAAATATATGCTTTCATATGATTAACGGTCCTATTCGACTGGAGGACATCTCGAAGCCCGCCTACCTTGTAATCACTGCAGTTCAACGCTCCCATCCATTCTAAGAACCCTGAATGCTCCTTTCCGCCTTTGGTGCCGCCCATGCTTCGTGCCTTCCATATGACAACTCTTGCGTTTCGGTTAACACGCATATACTCAGCAATGACAGAGGTTACGGGACAGTCCATTGCCCCGCCTATGATCCCATAAGCGACAAAAGCTAGCGAGGAGGGGTGTCCTTCCGGTGGGTCTTCGATTCGTTTCTCGAGATGGACTGACATGGTGGAGCGGAACAGAGGAGTGTTATTCTGACTAAGCATTAGGAAAGAAGAGATAAAGCACTTCTTGAGCGTCTATCCAGGATGACCCGTGCATCAAAAATACTAGTCACACGGTGCGAATAGCGTTTCCATATGTCGTTCTGGGTTCCTAAAATGTCACCAGGGGTGATAAGATAAAACGATTCTATCCACAGTACTTCCATCCGCTCGGAACTTTGATAAAAAAAACATAAACAACGCACCAAACCTAACCACATCCTTCAGATACTCCTCCTCCTCCTCCTCCTCTCTATCTCTCTCCCAAACTCCTTGAGATACTTCCACTCAGACATCAACGATCCCTAACCAGCCATCTATTAAACACGGCGCACCTCCATAGCCCTCCTCACCTTTCCCCAAAACCTTCGTACTGCCTCGACACATGCAACGCCTCCTGCTTGAACTCTTCCCAATTCGGTTCGAGATGTACCTCTTTCAGTTCTATTTTCACCGCGATCTTTCCTGCCGTACGTCGTTTGGGTTTTCGGATTGGATGGGTTGGATGGTCGTTGGTAGTCCGCGCCATGTGCGAATAATGTCGGTGCACATAAGAAGGAAAACAGGGCCCCGCCAAGGAAGAATGGAACACGGAGAATCGTACCAGCAGCGTCGGAGTTCGAGAATGTGATGGGCAATCTGTATCAGAGCCGGCTCCGAGTAGTAGTAGGCGCGAGAGAAAAGCAAAGGACTTCTGAAAACAGCAACGTCAGAATCTCTGTCAGCGAAAAAATGGCGCGACAACGTGATATCTTATTGACTGCTACTCTCACAATTACCGAGGGGTCCTGTTTCCTCTCAAAAATACTTCGTAGCAGTTGATCATATACTTAGTCCACTCTTTCCTGCTCCAACCTACCTCTGTTCTCCTTATTCCACAGCCAGTGTATGAGCATACGTCATTCATAACCTCCAACTAAAGTCCACAAGTCCCAGTGCGCCATTGGGTAGATAAATACTCGAGAACGACGCCATGCACAATAACTACAGAGCTGAGAGAACACATCCCCACCTGGAACTCTTGCCGCTGGAATCCCTACATGATACATTACCACCCTCAGGTCTCGATGTGCATTACTAAAAATGAGGGAGTGCACGCTAACTGGCAAGTGAATGTAAAAACGGGAAAAGTTTCTCGAAACTGCACAATTTGGATAGAGGGAGTTGAACCCTGAGCTAAGCCATAATCCATTACGCTACTTGTATCCAGGTGTTCGCTGTTTACGCCCTGTGAAGAGAAAAGTAAACTGTGCCATAAAATTGGACAATGATCCATCAAGGGGATTCGAACCTAGGCAGCCGTTGCACCATTACATCTGAAGGTCATATAAGAATGGGGGAATGAATTGAAGAAGAGGATTTTGCCGAACCGGTTCCTTTTGTTTCTCGCTTACTCACTAGCATATGTATTTGTCCTCCGATTGGAAAACCACTCTCCATGCATGCAGGGATTTCGTCTGTGTGTATGTTGTTTCCTGATGAAGATAAAACCCCAAGGAGCAGTTCTGGCACTGTCAAGAGAAATAAGGGAATATGAATGTGGAAAAATAAATTGTTCAAATTATACAACGTTGGGGTGGAGGGAATCGGACCTCGAGCTACTAACGAAAGGTGCCATTATACTAAGTATATCTGGAGATTAAATGTGAATCAGGGAAGGAGCAGCTGGAAAAAGATGCATGGTTCATCGAACCTCTCCTAGCATGTGGGATGATGCACTCTCCTCTTCTGCAGTCCATACCCTCTTTGAGGAATAAGTAGGTTTTTTTTCCACACACTCTGTGCCAAAATAACTGACGGAGCACACTGAAACTTAACACATGTCGAGGTTGCGATATACGAGATGAACATACCCTCTGTTACGTCCCAGAGGCGGGCTGGGCCGCATAGCCTGCCTATGGGAACGTTGTGGATCCCTGTGTCTAAGCCGACACTGGATGGCAAGTAGTCTGTGGTGGCTGATACTGGGAACAAGAGGGAGGATGATCAATTACATTGTCAAAAGAGCGTGAGGAAGGGAAATTACGAGAACCGGTCGATTGAGCTAGAGGTGATGGGTGTTCCCCTCAGGTGTCTGTGATATGGGCATTGATTCCTTTGCTTTTTCAGGATCTGCTTGACAAGTTCATTAATTCATTTCCGATATCGACAAACGTTTCGCTGACATGAAGAAGATATTTAGGTTTAGATGTGCGGCAATAGCAGAGGTGATGGGACAGTCCATTTATCCCACCTATCCTTCCGTGAGTGACAAAAGCTAGCGATGAGAGTTGTTTGTTTTTTTTTTTTTTCAAGGCTACATATAGGCCTTACAACCTTCTGTTTCACCTTCAAAAACACTACCTGAGAAATTCCATTCCACAAACATCTCGACATGTCTACTGTCGCCCCTCTCATTCAAAGACAGTGGATTTCGGCCCACTATTGGATACAATGCATTGGGAAACAATTGCCTCGATATTCCGAGGCTTTTGTAATCCGACCTTAAATATATGGAAAAGGAAGATCAGTGCGACGAAGGAGTCCTTATCAAGAGTTCCTTACCGAAACTCTTTTCCTGATTCAGTTATGCAAGAAGACTCGTCTATCTATCTAATTCTTGCTACACAATGAAAATGGCTGATAGTGAAAGCACTTGAAGTGCAATCTGGGAAGGACTTACAGAGCTTATTGTCCTTTCACCGAAGCAATAGGTATCCGACTTATGAGGAAAAAGGTGGCCTCAGTGCTTGTTAAACACATGCCTTAATCCCATGAGAGAAATGAGCAGGGATATCACCAGTGTGCAACCCACCCCGAGTGAGGAACGCAGACAACTGACATGTCAGAGATTTCCCGCCGCCTAACACGGTCATCAAGATTCAGAGCCCAGCAGCTCATCGACACAACACAAAATGTAACCGGTGGGCATCACGCAAATAGTATATTTTGCGTCCATGTTCACTTCACAGACACTAACCGATGATAAAGGAATTCCGCATACGAAAACCGTACCTGCGCTGGCAATGACGAAAATCTTGTGTTCTGAAAAACACTACTCATCTTCGATTTGGGGGCCTCTGACCACGGGAATAAGTCTCGGTAGGAGTATCCACGCCCCATTTCAGCCGTCTGGCTTTTTTTCCTCTTATCCCCGGAGACCTTCATCAACCGTATTAGGTCTGCCAGGAGAGAGATAATAATGGCGCTGCACGTATCTCGCATACGTGGTGTGACCATTTAGGCGGAGACATACTTCCGTGTTCAGACTCGCGCAAAACCGTCGATAAAGAGACTGAATCTAGGCATAGTCAGAGGAGAGGAGTCGTCCCTTGCAGTTACGGGGGAACGTTGAATAGGTGGAATAGTGGGGCCGGTTGATGACGGGTTCGAAATATAGACTAGTACTTGGGTGTTCGTGTTCGTGTGGTAAAAGTCGACAACTCGCGCTCAACCTAGTTGTTCAAGGATAGTCTCTTCGCTACTGGGCCACTCGGCGTTGTGAAGAGTGCTCTCTCTTGTTTCTAGTCCGCGATTCAATATGAATCATTTCGTGTTCAGTGCTTACAAAATATGGTGCAGTTCTTTTTTCCCCAACATGCCAACTAGACATTCCGAACCAATGCTTCGCGAAGCTTATTATGGATCTGATTGCGACCGGTGTTTGGCCCATATGGCATGCTTCTGGGTGAGACCAACGCTTGGGAAAGAAAGAAAAGAAAGATAGAACCCGTTGCCACCATCAACATATTCTGATACACCCACCGTTTACTACTTCCGAACGCAATGGTGGCATAGGTGTCTCTGTTTATGGTCACAGTTTCGCTCTGCCAAACCAATTATTAGGTTAAAAATTGAAGTGGGATTCATAGCGATACTAAGGAACCTTTCGAGAGCTGTTTGCACAAACCGGTGAGAGGTACCATTTAATCGAATCGATGATACGGAAGCGTCGAAGACCTATACGGGCACATCATCCCATGACTGCACACGCGACCTTCGTTCTGATACGACTCCCAGACGTAGCCACAAACTTTATTGGATGAAAATGCTAGGACAATTGCTTTGTACTGAACCAATGAAAGGTTCACAAGCAACATCGTCTGTTTGAGCGGAAAAAAAAATACACACTAACATACCAGTAAAGCTATCTGACTTGAACCATTACATTACTTGGGCGCGCGCCAGTTGGCGAGACGCTTATTGTACTGTACCAACACATGATCCTGAATTCAACAATTAATCAGGAAAGAAGGCGAAAGTGAACAGAAATGGAACCTACCGCATAGAACGTGTCCTTCACGCTCTTCCTCTCCTTCAGCCTAGCCCAATAGCTCCTCAAAGGAGCATACTTCTCATCCGTTTGCAATGTCTCCCACACCTTCTTCCCTTCTCCGACTTGAAACGCCCCCACATCATTCGAGAACGCCAGCTCAAGTCTCGCGAGGAACGGAGCAATAGCCACGTCCGCAATACTAAACTCGTCTCCTACGGCCCACTTTCCGTCACCGGCAAGCTGTCCCTGAAGTGCCTCGATAGCCTTATACAGAGCCTCGGGCGACTCCCCGCGAAATTGGAACCCCGCATAGGCAGGGGAGAATTTGTTAGAAAAGGTGTCGATGAAGAAGCGGGCTTTCGCTCGGGTGACTGGGTCAGAGGGGAGCAGACGCGCGGATGGGAAAAGGTCCGCAATGAACTCGACGAGAATTAGAGATTCAGCAAGTTTGGCAGATTGAGGCGAAGGAGTGTCAGCTGGGACTTTGGGGCCGCCGTACGCTATAGCAGGGACCTGGGAGGGATGTCAATGATAGTAGAAGGGAGATTACGGAGACGAACCTTGCTCGCTGGGTTCACTTGGGGTGCGTACCATTCAGGCTTGTTCTGGAGGTCAATCTCGTAGCGGGTGAAAGGAGCCTGGGCCTCGGCGAGGGCGATCTCGGTCTGCGTGAACCATGAGCAATGGATGTGGACTGAGAATCCTTATCGAAAGCATACCCTTTGAGCATACGGACAGACCTGGTATATCATCAGCCTTCATTGAAAGTCATTTGAACCCTAGGAGTTCACCTTTGCAGTGTAGAGAGTCAGTGGTTCTGCGGTAGTCATTCTGAGATAGATAGTTAGAGAGAAAGAGAGAACTGTAGATCCCGTATTTATAAGAGCCCGAGCGCGCCATGATGATGCCATTCTGCATTTGTCAGAAAATATTTGTAAGGCCTGTTCCTATCTTTAGCAATTCATATGACAGAGAAAATTCAATGGAACTTGCGCAAAAAAAGGAGATAACACGAAGATCTAGTCATGGCCAATCGCCTGGCTACACAATATACTCGAATTATCCTCTGCCCGGCGCAGATAACGTAACATATGCGTCATAGTATACGGTGTGTTCTTGATTTCGCCATTATGATGCCTTAACACCAAGGATTGCTGGAGCCGCTGGTGGCCGTTCGATAATATGAGTGCGTCCTGGCATCTTTCAGACTCGGTAGGGAGCAGCGTAGTAGAAAATATCAGGCAATCCAATGTCATTTAAAGGGCTCGGCGTAGAACACAAAATGCTGTTCACACAACCTTGTGGTATATAAATTTCCTATGAACCAATGATTAGGCGCCCGAATACTAGCAGAGAAGCTTTAGACCTACATTGATCCACAAGCCAGCTCCGCTCCGCTCCCTTCCTCATGCCATCTACCCAAGTCTCCTCTCCCAACCTCGTAAACTTTCTTGAATCTCTGACGGTCCCCTCGCCCAACCTGGCGCCATCCCATGTATCCACCCCATTCCCGTACAGATGCACACATCCCGGCAAGTTCTCCGCCCACACGAAACGCCCTCCGGCCGCCTTCACCACCTCTGTGTCCAGCTGCAGCAGCCACAGTTTCTCGCACTCTGCAAAGAACAGATCGGCTGTTTTTGGGACCTGGTTGGCATCGGAAAGGTGGATAAATCCGTCCTTGGCGTCGAGAGCACTGAGTGGGAGGGAAAAAGGTAGAGGAGAGGGCGGGGCGTCGGGAATGATCTTGTAAACGAATCGAGGGATGGGTGGATCAGTCATGGTAGGAGTAGAAAAGAATAGTGGCGAAGGGACCCGGATAACCCGGACCGTAATGACCGAATGTCACAGGTCCTGATCCTCGTCACGCAGATTCTTGTCAAAGTCTTGTTCAATTCTCATAGGGCCCCCAGAACGAGTGAAACCGTTGAATTTACCTTTTGGTTAGTTTGTTTCAATCCTTACAGCCATTTACACTGTGAGATAAAGGTGAGATTTTCCATCCCAACATAGTTAGTGACTGAGTTAATTGCTCTCGGGATAAGGTAGTACCTCTACGAGTATGCATTACTACTGCAAGCAAGCTCGTTTAAGGACTACAGACGTTCTATCATCTAATTTCTTCATGTTCTCTCCAATAACGAAATACGAAATCTCCAAATCCGACAAAACCGCCTCGAAAATACCAAAGCACTCTTTCCCGTTATCCAAATGCCTCGTACCATCATCCACCAACCATTCTTCCACTGGACCAAGGAGAAAAAAGAATGAACGTGAACTTCTATACTCTTCAAGCGTTGCTTGGAAGTTCTCCTTTCTCGACAAGCTCTCCTGTCGTTCCTTCCCGTCATGATCCGTCCCTCCAGTCAAGACACCATAGACGATTGGATCCACGGCCGACCGATCAAATACCTGCACAGGATATGATCCTCGAGTCCCGCTCTCACGCTCTATCTGCGCATCCATGATGGCCTCCTGCATCTCTAGCAGCCCTATATGCGCCCTCGTGAACCCTCGTTCTTTGATGACAGTACGTGCCACCTCCGTGATATATGCGGAATCGTGAAGATCTAGCTTCTTTGCCAGAGCGTCGCACAACGTCGTCTTTCCTGTTGACTGATGCCAGATCAGGACCCCGACCTTTCCAGTATATATGACTGACCGATGGACCAACGACGTAGATACGAGTGCAGCTGCTAGCACGGCCTGAACCTGTCGTTGTCATGTTTGCTGCCAACGATGTTCTGATGGATTAGGTGGCCCTGCTTCGACAATGAACCTGGGACCTTCTTCTTCCTACGGTCACGATACCAAACGTCTGCTAAGCGCCCGTCGTATCAGATCATCTACCATCACCTACACATGCCTCATATCCTTCGCGCGAACTCTGCGAAAGAGGACGACTCATGGTCGTTCCAAGTTCCGCCCGCCCTCCTCGTGTCTCGCCAGAGACAAGGCAGAATCATGGGCAAGTTCGTCAGATTCAACGGAGCGGAAATCCTACTCGAAACGGCCGAATTCTCCAGCAATCGTATCCTACAATCCGACGACCCTTCAAAGTTTATCCTTGTCGCGTTTGGTGCTCTGAGACTCCCTGACACCAGGCTCCGAGAGTCGGGAGAGTACATCGCACGGTTTTTGAAGGAAGGGCTGTTTCTGAACGGGATTCAGTATCGGTTTTATCATCATAGCAATAGCCAACTGGTACGGTTTGCTGATTTACACCTTATCCTATCAAACTCACAGGTCGCTTTAGAGAGGACGTAGTTGTTTTCTGCGCGAAGCTAAGACTGACCAGGAGCTTGATGATCGCATCTATCAGTTGGGAAGCTTTGGAAAAATCATGAATGTCGCAAAACGTAAGCTCTGGCCTCTCTGTTGTACTGATGATGTTCACTGGTTTATAGGTGCAAAGCGAATTGGCTTATTATACTCAGAGTCACAGCTCGACTTCCGGCTTAACCCGGATCTTGTTGCAGATATCCCTGATATCGTGTCTGGGGGAGTCGAATTCTCAGATGGATGTGGCTTGATGTCTCAACGACTAGCCGTTCAAGTTGGCAAAAGTAAGAAAATCATCTTTCGGGGAGTACGGTATACGCCATGCGTGTTTCAGATAAGGCGCTTACTATACCATTATCATTCATTGTAGCCATTCTAATTTCCCCGAAGGTACCTAGGATACAAGGGCGTTTTGACGCTTCATCCCCAGCTCGATGCGGAGTTGCGGAAGGCGAAGAAGGTTTTCGAAGGGGAGGAACAGAAACGGGCTGACCAGTGCAAAGAAGACCAGACTGAGTGGGTATCTACGATTTGTCTGCGGAATTTATAATGACTTAACATTAGGTTCGTACCTCGAAACTTCTTGGATATCGCTGTCAAGCATCCTCTTGCACAGTTCCGCAAGAGCATGAAAAAGTTCACCACGACCGAAAACCCCACATTCTCTGTTGTCGGGTATTCTAAGCCCTACACGTTCGGGCGCCTGAATAACGAAATTATTGTGCTCCTGTCAAGCCTTGGCATTCCGAACGAGAACTTTCTGAAGAAGCAAGACGAATACTTCGATTGGCTCCGTCGTGCATCCTATGATCCTATGGCAGCAGTTGATTTTCTTTCCGTTGTAAAGGACGTCGAATCTGCCGGAAGAGTCCTGCTCGACGGTCTCGACGATCCCAAAGTTTCTGCCGAAATCCGCCGCTTTCAGCAAAAAGAAATAGCGGATTTCCGGAAAGACGGGAAGAAAGAGCGATCACGGATGATCATCAAGAAGTCACGCAAGATATATGGGGTTTGCGATCCCTTCCGGGTACTCAAGGAAGGACAAGTTCATATACGAATCACCACTGGAAGAGGCGGACCATCGACTCCCATCCACGGCGATGTTTTAGTTGTGCGGAATCCGTGTTTACACCCAGGTTTGTCCGGTCCCCACCACATCCGTATTAAGTTGACGTATTTCCGTTTAGGAGATTGCCTCAAATTAAGAGCAGTGCACCATGAAAAGTTGTCGCATCTGGTCGACTGCATTGTTTTTGCTTCTGTAGCACGTCGCGGCCACCCATCTGCGCCATCCATGAGCAGTGGTGGCGATCTTGATGGTCAGGTTGCCTTAATTATATCTATTACATCATTCTGATTCTGTATTTTTGCGTACAGGTGATGAATACTTCGTCTGCTGGGATCCTGATTTGGTCCCTGCTACCGTATCTGAGGTAAGTAAGCAGACTGATCAGAAGAGTTCCTACGTACCATTTGAGTAGCCATACGATTATCCTCCGAATAAGGAGCGCGTGAACAAGACTGTCACCCGCGAAGATTTGTCAAGGCATTTTGCCCAGTATAACAAGTGCGCAAGATTTTCTCCGTGGATTGATAACTTCTAACCTATCGTTGAAATTAGTGCTGGATTGGCAAGGGTCGCTGCTTTACACTCAAAATGGGCGAAGGGCAGCCCAAAAGGGGCTCTATGCTCCGAGTGTCAAGAACTGAACGCGCTGCACTCTCAGTCAGTAGACGGCGCCTCTATCAAGATCCCGGACAGGTTAACGTCCCCCCCCGAACCCCTCGAAGGCCAGGAATTTATCATCAAAGCTCTGGCAGATGCTGCCTCCGAATTTGCTGCCTCTTTTACGGCCGAAATGGCAACCACCGGTGACTTGACATCCACCGTCGACGGAGAAGACGCAGAAGAGATTATCATACAGCTTCTGCGAAGCAGGCAGTCTGCGCTCTCCGAGTACGAGCTATATACCCTCGCCTACCGCCTAGCGCTCAAGCATTCCCTCGATCACCATGCATTTCTCAGTTACATCGATTGTGGCGCATTGACGACGGATCAGAAGTATTCACTTAGTTTCGCGCTGGATCTGTCCCGCGAGGAACATGCGAGTCTTTGGAATTCCTTGCTTCGTTCCGACCTTCTGGGACCCTCTGAGATATATCAAAGAAACCTAGCACAGCCTTTTTCATTACAGCGTCTATATTCATCGAAGATCCAAGGTCATGCGACATTTTTTACGTATTTACAGATGGCCCTCCAGGACTTTTATCGGAAGGTGCTACTTCTGAAGGCGAGTGGTTGGTTTCGTTCTGGGTGAATACACAACTGACTTGAATGGCAAATTAGACGGACGATCGATTTGTACTCGCCGTGTTCATAAGAGGCATGTTTCCATGGGATGAAGATCCAGAGGTGAACGAGAATGTGGTCGTCTGCTCGTTTTTACCGCATACATCGGGGAAGTTTTCTTCCTATCGACCGTGCACCGCTGGGTACCGGTTGTATTGCAGCCCAACCAACTTTCAGCTCTACAACAAGCATAGAGCAGACTCCTTCGTGTTTCTAACACGTCCTCCGAAAGCATCAGGAGCCGAAGTGTCTATGAGCGTCGCCTTGCAAAAATTATCCAACAAAGTTCGGCAGGTATGGCTCGAGTAGTACGAAATGGCCCTGTTCTTCTCACTCATCAGGAGGTCTAGAATATCGGCAGAGTCTATCGAGAGCCAATCACCGGAATCGAGCTACATGTCGTTTCGAACCGGGACCGTATATCTCAGCAGCTATTTGATTTGTGGTTCGAACAGTGCGCGCATATCCTATCCGTAGTTCATCACGTTATATTTCCGGCTGACGGTACTGTTATAGTGTTCCTACAGAAAATCGCGTGCGGCGCTTCGACCGTGAAATTCGTTCGTACGCCCTCAACGATCGTTCGGGGATTGACTGGGCGTCTACCGAGAAACCACAACCTCAGTACCTCAAAGATCTATTCCAGGACAAGTTGCCGGCGAATGAGTTCACGCGTCGGCTGTCGGATACGACGGCGCAGCAGTGGAAGGATATCGTCCAGTTCGCTCTAATGTATCACGCCCAGGAAGAGGTGTTCTGGACCTTTTCCTTCGTCATTTCCCAGCCACTACCCCTTCAACGCGAAAGCGTGATGAATTTGATGGAACTGCATCCACCATTGGTATTTAGCCTGCTAAAGAAATACCCCCCAGATGAGACCGACCTCGTATTGCCGCCAGAGACAGAGGCTTTGGGACGGTCCATGCTTCACAACATCATCCGATGCGCTAACGAACTAAGCCTGGCGACCCTAGTTGCCCTGGAAAAGCTCTCAGGAAGCATCGCGCGTTTACCGCCCGACGTCTATTTTGATCTCTTGTGGCAAACGGCCCTATCCGTCCGCGCACCTCAGGTCGTCCAGGAAGTCTTATTCGTCCTCAACGATAGTCGCGCGACTCTGCCCGACATCTCCCCAGAACAGAAGTACGGAAACAAATTCGCCTTGGGCATCGCTTTTGACAGAGCCGAAGAAGCTGCAGACGAATGCCCCTGTAACGAGGACGGACGACCGAGAAGACAGCGGACGGCCCCCGTTAAGACGACGATGCAGCAGGACCCAGAGAATCCGCTCCAGGTCAAAGTACCGGTTCGGATAGACTCTCGGACCCCTATTCGCCTTCACTCGCATGTCCGATTCCAAGCTGCTTCTGAGGCGGAGAAGACGGCTATGGTCGAGGTACCGGTTCTCGATGGTGTGGTTGTGCAGTCGATGAAAGGAGAAATGAAGATTGAGCTGCAGCATCCTCCTCCACCGGAAATGGAGCGGATGGATTGGAATATGTATAATGCGGGCAGCATCGGTACGCGGCTTCACGTGTCTTTATATGATTTGGGTTCTAACGGAGGAGTATGCAGCGACTTCGAAGGCAATGATGGATGCTCTTATACGGTTACTTGTGGAGAAAGAGGAATGTTGTCGATATCATCATCTCATTACAGGAGAAACTGGCGGAGACGAGTTTCCTACGATTAACGGCGCCGGTGGCTCTGAAGACTTCTCATATGGTACAGATCTGAATGAGAGCCAGATTGAGGCTATCAAGTCATGCGAGGCACCCTTATCTCTGATTTGGGGACCTCCAGGTGAATATTACGGCACTTATCAGTGAAGTAGATGGCTGAACATTTCAAAGGCACAGGAAAGACGACGGTAGTCGTGCAGATACTTCGAAAAATATTACAAAGTTCGCAAGACAAGCCGAAGATCTTGATGACAGCTTCAACCCACAATGGTGAGTATCTCTCTACTAATGTCCAGCACATACGCAGCTGATACATATTCCAAAGCTGTCGACAACGTCTTGGAGAGATTCGTTAGGGAAAACAATGAAGGCCACTACCTTCGAGACGAACAGATCCTCCGAGTTGCGACTGATGTATCCAAAGTGAACAAGGACCTCCAGAGTTACACGATCGATGCACGTGTCGGTGGAGATATGAATGAAAATAACAGGCTTTTCAAGCAGGCACAGAAGCGGCTTCAAGATGCTATTCTTGTTTTCACGACATGCGCAGGTAAATGACGAACTGGTTTTGGATTGTGACGCAGGCCTGTAATCTCACTTGTTATGTAGGCGCCGGGCTTGGAATCCTACGGAAATCGGATTTCGATATTGCACTCATCGATGAAGCATCCCAGATAACAGAACCCTGTGCCCTCATCCCGCTGGTCAAAGGGACCCAACGCGCGATCCTAGTTGGCGATCAGTAATATTCACACTTGTGGAAATGAAGCAGTACTGATTAAGAGGTCCCGCAGTGTCCAGCTACGCCCGACAGTCAGAAAGCTAGGCAAAGCGCTCGAGTTCGACGTATCCCTACTTGAGCGCCTATACACGGGTGACGAGAAACCCGGAATCTCTAAAACGATGCTTGACGTAAGTTTTTACTAAACGATGAGGGATGACATCGGCTTACTGATAGTGATGCTAGATCCAATACCGATTCCCTCAAGAACTGGCTGAATTCCCTTCTAGAGAGTTTTATGAAGGTCGGCTCCGCTCAGGGCTGACTGACTCCTCAGCCGTTCTCTCCGTCCTCACCGAGACGCGCTTCCCGTGGCCGATGCGCGCACCACCTCTGAACATACCCACACCCACTGTCTTCATCCAGTGCTCCACAGAAGAGGACATGGGCGGTCTCTCCAAGAGCAACGTTGGCCAGGTGGAGGTCATCCACGAGGCGATATCCCTCCTGACTCCGTCCGAATCGTTATCCATCACGGTATTGTCGCCATACAGGAAACAGATCGACGAGCTCAAACACCGGCTCCCTGCGCACGTCACCTGCGCGACTATCGATTCGTTCCAGGGGAGAGAGGCCGACGTCATCGTCTTCTCGTCCGTGCGGGCGAATGCGGAGCGTGATATCGGGTTCGTCGACGATGCGAGACGGCTGAACGTCATGTGGACGCGCGCGCGGAAAGCGTTGATCATCGTTGGTGATAGGCAGACTATGGAGAGCAATGCGTTGTGGAAAAGGGCGTTGTCGGCTTGCACGGAAGTAGCGCTTGAAAGCGGATGAACGATGGGATTTGATATACTTGATTGAAGAACTGTACTATATAATAAATGTTCTATTTGCAGAGAGAATTCATTCTTGAGTTCAGCTACAGTCCTGAGTTGATGAACTGTTCACTTACTAATTTACTTCAGACCTACAGCCTGTTTATAGACTCTGTCACCGCACTGACTGTTGTATTAGCTCAACGGCCCATAATCAATTCCCGCATTCGTATATCCTTCAGAGCTATATCCATAGAAAACATTGGCCTCTCACGGGCTCGCATCAAAACATATACCATGTACCCTCAGTCCAGTGCTCCCTATGGAAAAAAGAACACTTTCACCAACCTTCATCGAAAAGCTGCATACAAAGACGTGAATTCATGTCCGTGAGAAGCGCGTGCCAAAGCGTACACCTTCGCCTCATTCTTGCAAATCATAATATCCTGGCGCCACCGATGACCACGAGTCAGAGAGCACAAAAATCTGAACCAATCTCTAGGAAACGAGGTTCTCCGGTATTCTCAGATGCAAATCAATTGCCGCGTCGGGCTAACCATTTGTGATTTTCTTGCATTTGGTATAGATCTGTTAGAAACCAATTCAAAGCAGCCTTTACGTCAGTTGTCGTTATATTGCACTGATATGTTCGCAACGATGAATCCCGGTCTTCTTCCTATCGCGAAACCCCCAATGTCTTCTTCATGTCCGCCACGATTTTGTCGATATAGGCGATGTGCTTGTCAAGCAGATCCTGAAACTACGAGGGGAATCAACGAAGGGTTCACAGAAAATCACGGAGAACACTAACCACCTCCAGTTCAACTGACCGCTTGTCATATTTTCCCTTCCTCACGCTCACCTGATGCCACTTTCGACACTGCACTCGCGCTTCCTCCGCCTTCTTCCCCGCAGCTGCCACCACAGACGACTTGGCGTCTAGTGTCGGCTTAGGTACAGGGATCCGCAGCGTTCGTGCATCCTGCCTCTGCGGCGTGACGGAGGGTATCTTCGCGTCGTATATCGCAGCCTCGACGTGTTTCAGTTTCTACTAGGTTTCGTCAGCCAGCTGACATGGTCAGACAGAACGACGGAAAACGAAAACTCACTTCCTCATCGAATACCGTGACGACGAGCACAGTTCCGTCCCGTACCCCGACCGTTGCCACCTCTTCCAGTTTCTGGCCGAGGACTCGGACACTCGCGAGTAGGGCGGGGGTCACCCGCCCAGCAGCACGGGTGGAGGCTTCAGCGCAGTCTTTCCTCAACCATTCAACCGATAATTTCATCTTTTCCTCGCATTTCGCATGCTCTGCAATGTCCGTTGGCTTGCTAAGTGGTTGCAGAGAACCTGGTGTTAGTGACGACGTCGACTGGGCTTTCTTGGCATAATTCCGTCCTTGGACGGGTCGTCGAAAATAATAGAGGCGGAGCGGAGCGGTGAATGATCGTAGTGCGAGGCACCTAGATAGAGAGAGACGGGAATGAAAGAGGGCCTGCATTTTGGATGGAGGGGGTGAAAGAAAAATCTGGTTGACTGGTCACGTGGGCTATCCAGCCTATATCCGCCCGAAGAGCCGAAGAGACTGGGTCCCTTTTTTTTTCAACCGATCGAGGAACTCTTCCTTGCATCCTGACCACTGGATATACCCGACTCTCAGCCAAACATTGGCGTTTAATATATGACAAAATGCCGCAGCATTGCACGCCTGTTGTATTCGGATCTTCCGTCCTGTAAGAAGTATAACCTGGCGTAGGCTTTTTGACCTGTCAAGGGGCATATTGCTTAATATCCCTGTTATTGTGGTCGCAGTGTCGCTTCAACAAGCCGCCATCCGATAGCGACTGATCTTCAGGTGATGTTAACACTTCGTTAATCGCGTATTAAAACATGTTTCTGTAACTTGGATTTATTTATGAGAGATATATCGTCGCGCTTCGACGCCCCTTGTCCAACTATGTCGCGAAGCGTCCTCTAAAGCGCAGATGGGTAAGTTTTGTCCTCTGATCTATATCTGTAAATAGACTGGTGTCTGTCTCTCTAATCATCCTTGACTAGGGAGACGATCACGAGTCCATGTCTATAATGTGTTTTGGTGAATCTCATATCGATTCACCTGGCCGCAGTGCCACCACACTGCGTAGGTAGATAGTGGTTCCTCGCAAGTCCACTGGGAACTTTCCCTCTCCTGTTATTTTGTATTCCCAACTATTTCGCGTTTATCCTCCGAGGAATTATAAAACGCGCAGTCTAGAATGATATTTACGGACAGACTCTTAACCTTCTCTCGGTACGCTTGCGGCTGCATGCGATGTGTGAACAAGCGACCTCATTAGCACAATGGAAACGGTGTCTAGCAGTGCCGTCGTCGTGGAAGAAATACGTCCGTGGTAGCGATACTTGCAAGCAAGCAGGTCTCCCTCGAGTTCTTCCAGATGTTGTACGGACCACCAGTATTCACAGCGAACAAACCAAGGAGGGATTTATTACCCTTGAACGTCAATCATTGCCCCTTTTTCTTCGGGAGGATGCTGGCTCTCTATAGTATGTCGTTGAGCACTTATCTCGAAACATGGGGATATGATTACCTACTTTTTAGCTGATGAATTTCAATTGACAGGCGGAAAGCTGGCCGGAATCAACTACAACTACGGCGCACATTCTTCCATTCATTTATTATGTGCTTCTGATGTTTTATTTCATCTGTATGGATTACTGCTAGGATTCTCCGCTCTTGCTACTGTTTGTGTCCTTGGAATGAGGCCCTTTCAGCGACAGGCGGCCCTCGTGGGTCAGCTCTACTATCTATATTCCAACAGCGAAGTTGTCACTTTTCCAGAGTTCCGAGCCCGACATTAGCTGCTACCAAAGCGTATCGCGCTACATTCAATAGGCCTTCTTCGCGTCCATTTGAATCACTCGAACGTCAGGTCATCTGCGCTGCGTCATTTCTTGGATCTGCATGCGCCATTTCATCGACCAGTCATATCCTGCTCTATTTCTTAGATGCGGTTTCAGATGAGGCAAACAGTTATAAATACGATCTTATATAAGCCCGCCTAACCTAGTGAGAAAAACCCTATTGAATCACTACCACTAGAAGCATCTACAAACCCTACTTATCAACCGAGACCATGTTCCCCGTTGGCATTATCCTGCCTGTGCTTTCCTAGCCGTGCTGATCATCATCTATACTTTTCCCAGAAGACCCTTAAAATTCCTGTCTCCAAGGCCTGTGGAAGCGCTTCGTGCGCTTGCAGCGCGTGAGTACTTGGTGGAAGTTCATATTGTATCCCACTTATTATTTTCAGATATTCTTGCACCGCCGGCGCGTGTAAATTCTGCTCCTGCAAGAACTGATTCCCGTCGGATTGTCGTAATGGATGGCGGAAGAGAATTAATAAGTTTGAATCGAATCGAAAGCTTTCGACTCTGAATGATCTACTACTTATGGATCCGGGCCTGGAAGCAATCAGGATAATTTTCTGGCCTTTTCGCTTTCTCCTAGTGGTTGGTGATATGTACCAGGGAACCGGAGAGGTTATCATCCCTCACGGTTCGATTCTAGTTGCTCCTCCCTTGATTCACATGTACGTGATGCAATGGTACATTTCATGTGCGCAGGGTTCGATTCCCTCTGTTCTAATGGTAGATCAACTTGCCACTTTTTTCACATTCACGTTCCCTTATTAATGATTTCTCTTAATGATGGCGCCTGAAGTTATCTTTGTCAGAAACCGACAGACACATTCACACGAAATCCCCGCATGCGTTTAGAGTAGTTCTCCCTTATAGAGATGAGGAAAAGAAACTAGTGCATTTGAAAACAATCCATTGAAAGAGTAAGGAATCGGTGGAGGAATCGGCTGGGCACAGTCCTCTTCATCAGTTCATTCCCTGATTCGAATATGACCTTGGGGTCTAACGGGTGCAATGGCTGCCTGGGTTCGAATCCCTCTTCCCGAAGTATACTTCATCTGGTCCACTTTTATGGCACGATTTGGTCGTACCTTTCTCTTCACGGGGCCGAAACAACGAACGTTCGGATATAGTAACATAATGAATTATGGCTTAGCTTAGGGTTCGATTCCCTCTATCCGAATGGTGATTTGCTGGAATTGTGTTCCCTTTTCACATCCACTTTTTAGTTAAGATGATCTCATTCCCTTATTTTTCGTAATGCACATCGAGACCTGAGGATGGTGATGCAATCTGTATGGATTCTAGCAGTAAGAGTTCTGCATAGGGGTGTGTTCTTTCAGCTCTGTAGTCATTGTCAATGCTGTCATGCTGAAGAATTTGTCTATCTGATGGCATACTGGGACTTGTGCACTTTAGTTGGAGGTTACAAACAATGTCTGCTCATACACTAGGCATTGACTAAGGAGAACAGGTGGTCTGCAGTGATCTGGAGTGGATTAGGTATATGATCAACTGCTACAAAGTATTTTTGAGAGGAAAGGACCCCACAGTAACTGTGAGAGTAGCAGTCAATAAGAAGATATCATGTTGCCACACCACTTTTTGGCTGAGGTCGATTTGGATATTACTGTTTTCAGCAAGTCCTTTGTCACACTGATTATGATTCAGAGCTGGCTTTCTGAATATAGATTATCTATCATCATTCTCGGATACTGCGAGGCCGCTGACATGATTCTCAGTGTGCTCTTCACCCTGGGCAAGTCCCGTTTTCATTGTTGTAGGTAACAATGTTGGTCACAATGCATCAGGAGAAATGTCAGTTGCTACTTACCTCCATGCCACCATGATAAGGGAACTATTAAGCAGAACATAGCAAAGTATGTGATGCCAACCATGGGCAGTGCATTCACTTGCAAGGTATGGTTTCTAAGAACCACTCTGATACATCTCATTGGTTTGCCATAGGATCCACAGGCTATCTGCTATCAGTTCAAGAACAAGTTTATTCTGGTGATTATCACTGAATACTTCTTTGGCCATTGCAAAAGCTTCTGTGCTTGTTTGGAAAGATGATTTCAATCTGATCAAGCCTGAGACACTGGCTCTTATTGTAACTCTGGTATGTTCTGTGTTATTCAGGTAATGTGTCTTATTATTGTGCTTTCCAGGTTGAACACTATCAATGGATGAGTAAATGGACATTTCAGGGCACAAGAACTGAATGAGGCAACACGTAATGCCTGATACATCAACCACCTGAAAGATATAAACACACAGTGTAAGATGGCAGTGATGACATGATGAGCCAGGAATGGGAACTAGTGGTGGGCACTAATTAGATTCACTATAGTTACTGTTATATCATTGAATATCATATGCTCATTTTTAGTCTTCATTAGATCAGTAAGCTCACATAAGGGTAATCTGTATGGAGAGAATAGATGAGATAATGACTATTGTTGTCACTGTATATACTAATACTAAATTGGTACTGTGAAGCTATGGTGTGGTACATCATGGTACATAGCTCAAGTGAAAGGCTACTGGATGGTATGTAAGGGGAGACCTAGGTATGGGGCTATTTGAGGTATATACTCTCTATGCTATTACATATCTTGGTTATGTGATGGGCACTGGATTTGACTCCTAGACAAAGAGACATCGAAGCATTATGACTACTGTTTTAATTTAGGGCCATGTGGGTCAATGTACGTCCACCTTATCTCGTGGTAACACTTGAATTGCAAATTCACGTACAGGATGTTGATGTTAGCGCTCGAGGCCTCGAAGAAAGGTAATCCCATTGTGCCATGGCCAGAGGATATACGTTCCTTACGCATTGGTTGTTGCAGACAGAAGGATGGGTTCGACTCCCACCTGGAGCGATACTCTGCTGCAACCTTCGCCATCATTTTATGGATGTAAATCCTCGCACTGATTAGAGGAAAGCTCTTGCCATTGGGTCATGTAGTATTGCCTCATGCTATTTTTCATTCAAAAGTTCTCTGCATGCTAGTCTAACGCATCCACGGGATAGACAGGTCATGTAATCAAGGCGGGGGCATACACCCACTTGACCACGTCCTCTGCTCACTCCTCGCCCTGCCCTGTCCCAAGCGCAAACACCAAATTAACGTGATTATGCCCTTGGGCGACAAACTCCACCTCCGACGCGCCCTCCGCCGAATTTCTCCGGAGCAGGGTGCAAATAAGGAATGTGGCACGGACAACCAATGACCATCCGACCCATTCAATCTGTGCTGATGCCAGTACGTGCGCTTTCATCACCTTCATTGACATCTCCAATGGTAAACAGTTATGGCAGCCAGACCACTACGTGGTTCGGGCCCAAGAACATTTTGTTTTGTCAGCAAAGACGTGTTGCTTCTATTTCGGGACACATCCGAATGATTTCTGATCGAACGGACCGTCCACCGACAGCTAGACGTTGAGAGCAGTCGGTGATCAAAGCTTTGTCCGGTCTTGAAGGCGATGCGTATCATTAACCTGGTCCGATGACTCAAATCATCTGGTGTCCTGAACAATCACCGCTGGACTTGTGCAATCGATGCATCTGTTAGCGCCGAATCTCCAAGGCCTATGACAGCCAGACTTTATATCGTGACATCTGTGCAGGCTCCACGCCTTTCCTACCCTTAGGGTTGCCGAGCTGTCTTAGGCAGGTCTTCGATTTGCGTAACGCGGCTCTGAGGAGCCCCGAGCCGTTCCCGGATTATCTATTGTTAGTACTTTCTCCGCTCCTTCCTTCTTGTCTGTAGCAATAACTAAAGTTGTTATTCCCTGGAAGGTTTCAACCGACGTCCTGGGCCCCTTCTTGATTCGCGACTCGGTCTGCTGCGCCTGAACGGTCCACCGTCACAGCAACTTGTCAGAAGTTCGAGTCTATTCCGTCGGTATGCTTTGGCCAGAGTTTCTGCTGTGGTGGGAATCGTTACAATGGATGGTCACGGAAGGGGGTGCTCCCGTCCGTTGCACCAGAGCAAGGTCATCCCAGGCCCCCAACTGAGGAGCTGCTTTTCATGCTGTTGAGCAAGCACACAGCACTTCCAAGGCCATGCAAGTCCATATAATATACCTCTCCAAGTTATCCGGCCATACCACTTGCGATACCATCCGTCGTTAACACCCTATCACTACGCTATCAGCACTGCCGAGTCCAAAGGCAACTCTATCCTTGCCTGTGTATCACGCCACTCGTACCCACCTCAGTTTCAGTCATAGGTGCCTTATAATCTTGCTGGTATCCCCGACATCAAGGACGATGACGGTCATCATCTCAACCATTCAGTCTTGATAGCCATAACCGTTGTTCTCAGTATGTCGTATCAAAGTCTGAAGATTCTTTATCCCGCATCATTCACTCCCTCGCGTACGTGAAGTGCTCAAAATCGGATTGCAATTCTTCTCTGGAAGCGGGACACAAACTAAACAGACACTGTTAAGACCCTACTCCGACCTACTTTCTTGACGATGTGATAAGAGAATGGTCAGCGCCGGCGCCAGGGACAGCATCATGCCAGAATAATGCACAGCGTAATTGATTTCGCTCCCTACTCCAACCTATTTTCTTCACAATCTGTACAAGAGGACAGTCAGCGCCGGCGCTAATGACATCATTATGCCAGAATATCGCGGTTTAATCGCTTTTGCTCCTTCTTTTTCTCCACAAAGATCCGAGTACCCTCGTAAGGTCCACCCTCATTATGCTTGGTGCTTTTTGTACATGTATATCCAGACACTTCCTTACCCTCACAGGTGCCTCAACATTCAAGGCAATGGAGCGTGGTCTGAGTAAAATGCAAGGATCTTTGTCTTCCAGTCAGCCTGTCAAGTGTGGCGTCAATACATACACTCGGATGCGATGATGACGGAGAACATTCGGTCAGAAGAGACTTGCTGCGGTTTCAATTATTTGGCCTTTGGGAGAGGTGAGTAAGGGTGAGCACATGCCCAATTTTATTCGTATTATTGCTCGTGACAAGACGTCACGAACTCACGTCCAGCGTATATATAAGAGTGAGGATGAGCCCAAGGAAGACATCCAACTACTAAGTGTCGTGTTACTCTCCTAGTCTCAAAATTGCAGTAATCCTTGTTATTGTTTGAACATACGGTCTCTTCTGCCCAGTTCATGGACTATGCAGTGAATCTCACCATCTTCTACAGATGTACGTTTACAGAGGCAAATTCAACTGGCTTAAATACGCCGTCGACGAAGCCATCACCTTCGTCTTCCCTCACGGCTTCGGGCCACGCGAACCCGTCTATGCCCTCTAGCAATGGACTGTCGACGCCAAAGGAGTCGAAAAAGGCAATGTCACCTACATCGGCACCGTCTCCAGCATCGCGACCTCGGGCGAGATCACCCTCTTCCAGAGGCCTGACCATTACTACATCTTCACCGGTACTCTCAGTACAGACTTTAGCTCCCTCACGCTGACGATGAGCAACCCCTCTGGGGCGACGTCGGTGCCGTTCACGCTGAGCCTAAGCCACACCGACCCCGTTCCGCTCGTGTACGTCGGGAAACTTGACTGGTTCAACTACGCAGTGAACGAGATGATCACCATCGTCGTTCCCTCCCCTGGGTCCTACAATACCGGGGACACAGTGTGTGTCTATTGGCAGTGGACCGTGGACGCTACGGGCGCGAAGAAGAAGAACCGGGACTTCGTCGGCCCGATGGAGGTGCTGTCTACTGCTGGAGATGGGTCCGAGACGTTGCGCATTCCTGTAGAGTATTATACGTTTGATGGGGTTGTGAGTGCTGGTAAGGAGACGTTGACGATGACAATGAGCAACCCGAATGGGGAGAAGTCCAAACCTGTCACGTTTAGCCTCGTCAATGCAGCCAGCAAGAAGGTGAGGTACCGTTTTTGATATGTTCTCCTGAGCGCTCATTTCATTCGTATTTTGTCAGTGACCAATTAAATGTCGTCATGCCGTACGTGAGGTTGAAATGGGACGTGTGGGGATATTCGTAGCTCTGTTTTTCTGTCTATGCTAAATACTTACAGTTGTGTATTCTCTCGCACCCAATTCCCCTGCCTGTTTAAGTAGCGTCAGTTTTCAATGAAGTTAACTAGTATTCTCGTCACTGACAGAAGTGTTGAATATTGAAGTTTCGCAACAATATGCTGAGGCACTGACCCTGTCGACTTTGGAAGATTCAAGGTTGATTTGCATACTCAAAAGTCCCTCCCCGATTGCCACAATCTACTGAATTTCCTTTTGGCTGGCTACCTTGGCTCACAGTTCCAAGGCCTAATAGCCTCGTCAATGCATACAGCAAGGTGAGACTTGAGAGAAGCATACTTGTTCTGATGATTCAATTGATTCCTCACTGCTTTCCATGCCCCGCCAGACACAGAGTTCTCATGCGATATCGGGGGGGGAGGGAACTTCAAGTAACATTGAGTTGACACTTCATACTATAGATAATGGAAACGCAAACGACGTATAACAGGAAAGAGTGCGGTGAAAGTAGAACCGAAAGAGGAACAACTAGAGCGAGTTCAAGAGGGGGTATTGCAATTGTCGAGGCTGTGCGAAGCGTTTTGGGGAAAGGCGATCGCCTAAGGAAAGGAATCATGAAATAAGGCGCGATGAAGAAGTTATATCGATTTCACGGGACTCGCCAGCAGTCTTTTTTTGTTCTTCTGCCTTTCATAGAACTTTTTTTTTCAGGTATCGCGAATTTTATGTGAACCTCGCTCGAGACACCTGGCAATGAGCTGCGGGATCATCTAGAAGTGAGTGAGACCTACCTCCCATTTCTGTAGGTTGTTCTATGGACGTCTGGAAACTCTCTTCCAGTCCGTGTACCTTAGAGCGAACGCCGCGGACATGGAAACGACTGGGTTTATATCCATTCCTGCTGGGAAGACATGCTATGGCGGAACCAAGGCTGTTGTCAACTATATCGCGAGGAAGATTCATTTCGAGAATGATTGATGGCCAGAAATTGCCGTGGTATTCTACGAAAGTTTTCATCTGTAACTGTGGATACGATCTTTTTATGGTATTATCCCTGGCCACATCCTAGGAATCCAGAAAGAGATATGGAAGCCCTGTTGGCACCGTGTGGCTAGTATTTTTGATGCACGGGTCATCCTGGATAGACGCTCAAGAAGTGCTTTATCTCTTCTTTCCTAATGCTTAGTCAGAATAACACTCCTCTGTTCCGCTCCACCATGTCAGTCCATCTCGAGAAACGAATCGAAGACCCACCGGAAGGACACCCCTCCTCGCTAGCTTTTGTCGCTTATGGGATCATAGGCGGGGCAATGGACTGTCCCGTAACCTCTGTCATTGCTGAGTATATGCGTGTTAACCGAAACGCAAGAGTTGTCATATGGAAGGCAAGAAGCATGGGCGGCACCAAAGGCGGAAAGGAGCATTCAGGGTTCTTAGAATGGATGGGAGCATTGAACTGCAGTGATTACAAGGTAGGCGGCCTTCGAGATGTCCTCCAGGCGAATAGGGCCATTAATCATATGAAAGCATATATTTCAAGAGCAAATCGAGAAATTCATGAGCGATTTTCCTTCCGCGAAGGGATGTGATCTGTTCGTCTGCGTCATCATACAGGGATACTCCGCAGGCGCCATCTACGCCACGACCATTCGTTTCTCGGGCAACCTATATGATCGATGCTGTCAAGTCTTTAGCAACCCCATTAAATACATCCTCGTCTCTTATCCAATCAGCGTTGCCTGGGCACTGGGACTTGGGCTCACTGGATGGTATTTTCGTGCTCTCGAAGGACTAGTGGGTGGTTACTGGGAAGACTGTCCAAACGAACGTACCGCGGACGTGCTAATCCTTATGGGCGGAAATGAACTTGGGGGATGGTTCAACCCCACACAATGGGCATATAATATGTGGACCGGGGTATTGGACGGAAAGCATCGTTTCGAGCAGGGGAAATTTGGGAAGGTGACGGTTGATGGGGCGGATCATATATGGAACGAAAAATTGCCTCGCATTGGGGAGGAAATTGAAAAGTGGATGAATGAATAACTATAACATTACGATGATTAGTTTTACCAGCAAAGAACCGTAGATATGAAAATTCTTTAACTATTCTCATGAGAGTCGTATTTTCGGCCCACATGAGAAAGATCTTGGTGCAATGTAGTGTGGGCCAAGTGCTAATGCTAACAGAACGCGAACACATAACGACTTTTCCCTGATTTCCCAAGCGCAGATTACAACAGGAGAGAAAATGTTCGCAATATGGACGAACACTTACAGACGAGCTCTCTGTATGCTATGCACATCGTCAGATAACAATTTTCTTACAGTCACAGTGTGCAATTATTACCAACAATTTGACCCACTGTCTTCGAAAGGCTTATAGCAAAAAGTGCCAGTATCTGATCACTTTCCCGAACATCGACGGCCTGAACATTGTCAATCTGACGTGAACGAAAGTGCGCATTCCATATGCCGAAGGGCATGCCCATCTGGTTGAATATCACAACATCCGGATGCACGCAATAAGTCGCAAACAAGAATAAGAATCTGGACCGAGCGTGTACCGGTGTTCTCGGTCGCAAATCTCTCGGTCGTCATCTCTAGCTGATCTATTCTTGAAAATGGCATCTCGTTATGATATGGTGGATTTATCGAAGAGCAAGATAACAAAATGGTAAATGGTACATATCCAAACCTCCGTTCTGCAGTCAGAGGCAAGGTCGTTCCGCTGGAAGGTCGAGGTCACTGCATGCGTGGTACAAACAAACTAGATGATAACATATAACCACATCAGAGTACGCACTTTGTACAGGTATCTATGCCTCAAATTCCTTGATTTGGTATCCGTACTAAAGTACAAGATCAAAGGGGATATGTACCCGTCATCATATACATGCTCCAATGATGTCTACAGCGGTATCATAAGACTCAATCAGACGTATCTAGGAATCGAATATGAAAATAGCAAACGTGAAAGACTCACGGCTTTTCTCTTCTGGATCAGCAGAATCTCTGCGGGTACTAGTTGTTTGCTTGCAGCTTCTGCTCTGCTTACCAGCTTTTAGTTGGATTCACGTCTTCCTTTGTGTATCCCATGACAATTCCGTTGATTACCCACCACTGAATAACCTATGCTGTTTCACAGTCTGATTTCTTGAACGTGATAAGAGCATAGAGCAGCACCACCCATCCCAATATCCAGACTCCTTGTTAATGATGTGCAGTCCCATTGTCCAGTGCAGTTCCTGTTGAGAATCGCCGTCGAGATAGCAACCAGATTCCAAGACTCCGATGGAAGTAGAAACTCAATATGAACAATGACGGATCATGGACAAAAGAAGGAATTAGTGGCTGTGCAAATAATCCTTTTTTTTGGATTTGACTTCGACATTGAGATGCCGTGATACGCTTGTCGGCTGCTCTGGTCCAACGCGATTTCGATGCGATGTGGATATGTACCGAAATCATGCCACTCTCCCCATTTTATTCACGTTAAACGCATATAATTTCTGGGTATCGGAAAGATATCGGTCCCTGCAAATAGTTTTATCTAGATATGGCAGATTCGAGTACGTCTGCGTTGGTCTTGGAACGTGATGGTGATCATGTATGTGATGCTGTCACATTCCCAAAGCTATCGTTGTTGCCAACCACACCGAGGATGTTTGTAAGTTGTCTGCATGTGACATGTGAACTAGCGATCTCATCAGCACGATGGGGACAGTGCCCAGCAGTGCTGTCATCGTGGAAGAAATACACCCATGGTAGCGATACTTGCAAGCAAGCAGGTCTCCCTTGAGTTCTTCAGGGTATTGTACGGACCACCAGTATTCACAGCGAACAAACCAAGGAGGGATTTATTACCCTTGCACGTCAATCATTTCCCCTTTTTCTGCGGGAGGATGCTGTTCTCCATGGTGAGCGGTAGAGCACTTATCTCGAAACATGAGTATATGATAACCTACTACTTAGCTTATGAATTTCAATTGACAGGCGGAAAGCTGGCCGGAATCAACTACGACTACGGCGTACATTCTTCCATTCATTTATTATGTGCTTCTGATGGTTTATTTCACCTGTATGGAGTACTTCTGGGATTCTCCTCTCTTTCTACTGCTTGTGTCCTTGGAATGAGGCCCTTTCAGCGACCGGCGGCCCTCGCGGGTCAGTTCTACTGTCTATAGTCCCACAACCAATTTATCCCTTTCCCACAGTTCCGAGCCCGAAGTTAGCTGCGACAGAGGTGTATCGCGCTACATTCAATAGGCCTTGTTCCCGTCCATCGGAATCATTCGAACGTCAGGTCATTGAGGCAAACGGCTATGAATACGATCTTATATAAGCCCGCCTAACCTAGTGAGAAAATCCTTACTATATCACTACCACTCGAAGCATCTACGAACCCTACTTATCAACCGAGATCATGTTCACCGTTCGTATTATTCTGCCTGTGCTTTCCTAGCTGTGCTGATCCATCATCTATACCTTTCCCAGAAGACCCTTGAAATTCCTGTCTCCGAGGCCTGTGGAAGCGCTTCGTGCACTTGCAGCGCGAGAGTAGTTGGTGGAAGTTCATATTGTATCCCACTTATTATTTTCAGCTATTCTTGCACCGCCGGCGCATGTAAATACTGCTCCTGCAGGAACTGATTCCCGTCAGACTGTCGCAATGGATGGCAGAGGAGAATTAATGAGCTTGAGTCGAATCGAAAGCTTTCGACTCTGAATGATCTGCTACTTATGGAACCGGGCCTGGAAGCAATCAGGATAATTTTCTCGCCTTTTCGCTTTCTCGGAACCAGACAGGTCGTCATCCCTCACGATTCGATTCTCCCATGATGCACATGTACGTGGTGCAATGGTACATTTCATGTGCTCAGGGTTCGATTCCCTCTGTTCTAATAATAGATCAATTTTCCACTTTTTTCACATCCACGTTCCCTTATTGATTATCTCCCTTGACAGCGTCTGAATTTATCTTGGTCAGAAACCGACACTCACACACACACATTCACGCGAAAGCCTGCATGCGTTGAGAGTGGTTCTCCCCTATAGAAGGAGGAGAAGAAACTAGTGTTTTTGAAAACAATTTCTTGAAAGAGTACGGAAACGGTGGAGGAATCGGCTGGGTAACCTCTTCGTCAGTTCATTCCCTGATTTGCATATGACCTTCGAAAGCAACGGGTGCAATGGCTGTCTGGGTTCAATTCCCCATTTCCGAATTATGCTCGACGAATCAGTCCACTTTTATGACGCGGTTTTACTTTTCTCTTGACGGGGCCTAAACAACGAACGCTTGGATATCAGTAGTGTAATGGATTAGCTTAGGGTTCGATTCCCTCTATCCGAATGGCGGATTGCTAGGATTCTGTTCCCTTTTTCACATTCACTTTTAAGTCAAGATGATCTCATTCCCTTATTTTTTGGTAATGCACATGAAGATCTGAGTATGGTGATACAGCATGTATGGATTAGAATTCCGTGTGGGGATGTGTTCTAACCTCTCTGTAGTCAGAAGTTGCCTTAGTGATTTATGAAAGTTTTCATCTGTAACTGTGGATAAGACCTTCTTTATCTTATTACCCCCGGTTCACATTCTAGGAACCCTGAACGAGATGCGGAAATACCATTCGCACCATCTGACTACTATTTTTGACTCACGAACCGTCCTGGATAGATGCTCAAGAAGTCTCTTATCTCTTCTTTCCCAACGCTTAGTCCGAATAACACTCTGTTTCGCTCCACCATATCGGTTCATGTCGAGCAACGAATCCAGGAACCACACTCAAGACAACTCTCCTCGCTAGCTTTTGTCACTCACGGAAGGATAGGTGGGATAAATGGACTGTCCTGTCACTTCTGCCATTTCCACGCATCTAAACTCAATATCTTCCTTATGTCAGCGAAACGTTTGTCGATATCGGAAATGAATTAATGAGCTTGTCAAGCAGATCCTGAAACAGGAAAGGAATCAATGCCCATATCACAGACACCTGAGGGGAACACTCATCACCTCTAGCTCAATCGACCGGCTCTCGTAATTTCCCTTCCTCACGCTCTTTCGACACTGCAATTCATCATCCTCCCTTTTCTTCCCAGCATCAGCCACCACAGACTACTTGGCATCCAGTGTCGGCTTAGACACAGGGATCCACAACGTTCCCATAGGCAGGCTATGCGGCCCAGCCCGCCTCTGGAACGTAACAGAGGGTATGTTCATCTCGTATATCGCAACCTCGACATGTGTTAAGTTTCAGTGTGCTCCGTCAGTTATTTTGGCACAGTGTGTGGAAAAAAAACCTACTTATTCCTCAAAGAGGATATGGACTGCAGAAGAGGAGAGTGCATCATCCCACATGCTAGGAGAGGTTCGATGAACCATGCATCTTTTTCCAGCTGCTCCTTCCATGATTCACATTTAATCTCCAGATATACTTAGTATAATGGCACCTTTCTTTAGTGGCTCTGGGTCTGATTCCCTCCATCCCAATGTTGTATAATTTGAATAATTTATTTTTCCGCATTCACATTCCCTTATTTCCCTTGACAGTGCTAGAACTGCTCCTTGGGGTTTTATCTTCATCAGGAAACAACATACACACAGATGAAATCCCTGCATGCGTGGGGAGTGGTTTTCCAATCGGAGGACAAATACATATGCTAGTGAGTAAGGGAGATACAAAAGGAACCGGTTCGGCAAAATCCTCTTCTTCAGTTCATTCCCTCATTCCCATATTGACCTTCAGATGTAATGCGGCAACGGCTGCCTAGGTTCGAATCCACTTGATGGATCATTGTCCAATTTTATGGCACAGTTTACCTTTCTCTTCACAGGGCTTAAACATCGAACACCTGTATACAAGTAGCGTAATGGATTATGGCTTAGCTCAGGGTTCAACTCCCTCTATCCAAATTGTGCAGTTTCGAGAAACATTTCCCTTTTTTACATTCACTTGCCAGTTAGCGTGCACTCCCTCATTTTTGGTAACGCACATTGAGACCTGAGGATGGTGATGCATCATGTAGGGATTCCAGCGGCAAGAGTTCCAGGTGGGGATGTGTTCTCTCAGCTCTGTAGTTATTGTGCATGGTGTCGTTCTCGAGTATTTATCTACCCAATGGCGCACTGGGACTTGTGGACTTTAGTTGGAGGTTACGAATGACGTATGCTCATACACTGGCTGTGGAATAAGGAGAACAGAGGTAGGTTGGAGCAGGAAAGAGTGGACTAAGTATATGATCAGCTGCTACGAAGTATTTTTGAGCGGAAACAGGACCCCCCGGTAATTTCGAGAGTAGCAGTCAATAAGATATCATGTTGTCGCGCCATTTTTTGCTGACAGAGATTCTGACGTTGCTGTTTTCAGAAGTCCTTTGCTTTTCTCTCGCGCCTACTACTAGTCGGAGCCGGTTCTGATACAGATTGCCCATCACATTCTCGTGAACAACTGACAGCTCGAGATGTCGGGCAGACACGTACATGTCGCGTGGATCTGGAGAGTGTTGCGCGTCATCTTGCCACATGCTTGGTGGAACGGAGGCCATCATCACTGTTACAGATACCTCAGGTGGCGGCGCGTGCAATGACAAGACCGTGTCGTTGGGCGAAATGGTGGAAGAATGTGGCGTGGATTCAGGGTGGGCACAGTAATTGTCGTCAGCGAGGACGTCGAATCCCATATTATCAATGGGTAGAAACAAAAGGTTCGTGCCAATAGAGCTGCCTCCGACGTCGTCGTCGTCCATGGACCTAGCAAGAAGTTGGAGCCCATAATGATGAACACATGGAATTGAACGACGACTAACATGAGGATCCTACCGAAGTCGAAACCTGTGTCGAACAATGATGCGAAACCATCGTTTGCCAGAAAGTGGCTCGCAATACATTCGTCGCCAGTAGCCATGTTGTGCGAGTTCAAGGAAAAAGAGTCGTCGTCAAACATCTTGAGAGTGAACGTGAATCGACGTAACATTGCCATCCCATTTATGAGGAAGCTGGACCGAATCACCGCACGACAGTAAAAACGAATAATAAATATCTCCGGAAGGCAATATCTTCGTGCGTTCATGCAGTGACCCGGAGGAAAGGTAACAAAGAAACTTTTAGTAAACGCTTCCGTGGCCAAGTTCGAACAAGTCTAATAGGAACCGAGAGTGGAATTGTGTAGACGTAAGACAAGATCATAGAAATAGAGTGAAGGTGGACGATCGTATTCATGATGAGGCCTGAGTCATGGCTTTTCCTCTGCAGATCAACGGAATCTCTGCGAATACCAGTTGGTTTCTTGCAGATTATGCTCCGTTTATAAGCATTTCCATGTCTCCATGTCTTCCTTTGTATATCCTCTGACAATTCCGTTGATTACCCACCACTGAATAACCTGTGCTGTCCCATAGTCCGATTTCTTGAACGTGATAACGGCATAGAGCAGCGCCACCCATCCCTTTGTCCAGCGTAGGTTCCTAGTCCTTTGTTGAGAATAGCCGTTGAGATAGCAAGCTGCGATGGAAGTACTTTGAACAATGACAAGGAACGGAGATTGTGCGCGGACAAATGTGCAAGCTGTCCCTTTTTCTTAATTTTGGGATTTGACGTTGAATTCCCCCCTCCCCTCATTAACCCTGATGGATCTCGATCATTGTCCACGGTTTTACTTTTCTCTTCACAGGGCGTAAACAGCGAACACTTGAGTACAAGTAGCGTAATGGATTATGACTTAGCTCAGGGTTCGATTCCCCCTATCCGAATGAAATGTCAAGAGGAAAAAACATTTTTACCGCCTTTTTTCCTCTTCATCTACGCACTCGATCCCTTATTTTTGCGTGTATGGATTTGGGAAGGAAGAATTCCGCTTGGGGATGTGCTCTCTTAGCTTTCAGGTAGTCAGTCCAGATGTCGTTTCTCAAGTGTGTGTTTATCTACCTGATCGCTTACTGAGACTTAGGCTTAGAAGCAGCAAGAAAGAACGGATGATAGGCTAAGTCGGCCTCTGATCCCTGTCCCCAAATCATGATGGGGTGGGCTGTCGAAGATGATTCGGGTATAACCGTTTGGATGTAAGGTGAAATGGCTGGATGGGTTCGACTCCCTATCTCCGAAATGATGACTGAGGGACCCCTTTTTCATGGTGATTACATTCTCTTCACGGGTTATCGCAAATTCCCTTCATTGCTAACTGAATTTTCTCTTTTCTTCTAACGTTGCACATAAATCTAGAGTAGGAGTCTGCTAGGTAACAGTTTAGGGTTCGAATCCCTCTGTCTATATTCAATAAGGAGTGTACGAATTTCCTTTTTTTTTTTTTTTCATTTGTCTCCTTGTCTCTCGTTCTGTCAAATGGGGTTCTTCAAAACAATTGATAGGGTCACGGAGTCAGAACCACCTTGGTGCCAGGTACAATGGCGGTTAATCAAAAGCGGACGCGTGTATGGATTATGGAAAGACCGCACCGAGATCTGTTCTCTACCGTAATTATCTAATTTCTTCATCCGTCAGATCCTTCGTACTGGGAATTTTGGAGGTGACGGACGACTTATGCTCGGACATTTGGCGTGGATCAGGGAGCACAGAGGTGGGCTGGAGTAGGAAGGAACGGGGTATATATATGAAGTATACTTGACAGGATACAAGGACCCCGCTGTAATGGCTAGAGTAGCAGTCAAGAAGATATCACGTTGCCGGGCCACTTTTTTTCGCTGACATTGGATATTGCCATTTTTGGCAAGTTTGTTGCTTTGTCTCTCCCGCCCTTTACGATTCGGAGCGGGCTCTGATATGGATTCTCTATCACCGCTCTCGAACTCCGAGGCTGCGATCACGATTCTCTGTGTTTCCTTCTTCCTTTTGCGGGCCCCGCTTTCTTGTCTAAACAAATTACACTACACTCTCCGACACGCACAGACAGATGCACGACCATCCAACGCGGAAACTTCGACGACGGACAGAAAAGGAGAGCGCGGTGAAAGTAGAACCGAAGGAGGAGCAACTCGAAACCACAAACCACCTCCTTCATTCTCCCTTACCTCCTCTTCCTCAAGGCTGGGAACACCCCGCAGAATTGGACTACCTTGACGCCTCCACATGGTCGAAAGATGACATCATCCGCCACCTCATCACGAACTCCTTCTCTGTCCCCGCTCTCGTACCCCACTCCAAATGGACGACCATCATCACCGCAGCGGAGGGCTCGACGACGATGCTCCCCAACTCGTACCGCATCCCGCTCATGTTCGTCGGAGAGTTCATGTGGTTCTCGCTTCGGTTGGTCCTCGAGGATGAGAAGGAGTGGGAAAAGTTCAAGGGCGGGGTGTTGCATGTGTCGAGGCTGTGCGAGGCGTTCTTGGGAGAGGCGAGGAGGGCTATGGGTTCGGAGGGCCTGGGTGCTGCATGGCGGTGCGCGGTGTTTGATAGAGCGCTGGTGAGGTATCGGTGGGGGTGTTTGTTTGCTGACCGGAAGCATCTCCAGCTGTTTTGGGAGACTTATGGGGAGCAGGAGTATCGGAAGGATCCGGTCAAGTTTTGTGGGTCGTTTGTTTTTTTGTCAACGTTCTGAGCCGATGAAATCGAATTGTAGATTGGAAATGGGTGGTGTTGAAAGGGTGGAAGGGATTCAGACTGGACGAGGAGCGCGTTCAGAATGGGGTTACGGCGCGTCAGTGGATGAGAGGGTTGGCGAAGGAGGATGGCGGCGATTGGGTATGGGTTACTGATCAGACAAGTTCGCGTTCGACAGAGGCGTCGGAGTATCTCGAATCGTGGCAACGCACAAAGGTATGGGGACAACCGATACCGACATTTCCATCCAGGGATCCTGTGTGTGCGACAGATCCTTCGCCCAATCTCTCAAAAGACTTGCCTACACCTACCGATACCATCCACTACCCCCCCACGCCGGTTCCGAAAACCGACCTCTTGCAAATCCTGCACGCCCAATACCAATCGCAAGTATTGTGTATAAGCCCTTTAGAAAAAGACATCGCGAGGCTGAAACAAGGGAAAGGATACAGGTCCGCCGCCGCTGCATCCGTTCCTGCACTCTTTGTCCCAGCGCCTAATTTCCCAAACCTTTCCGACCCGGACTGTTCGACGAGCTTCTGGAAGGACCCACTAGAGGCGCTGTTGGATGCGGATGTATGCGAGGCACCTGGATCTGTGAAGGCTGAGGATACACTCGAGGAGGTTGCATCCGTGATGGATCGCGACGTTGTGATATCACCGCCGATTAAGTCTCCACGAAAGCTGAAACGAAAGAGGATTGGTTGATATTTGTAGACGAGTGCGATTGGTGGGCTTGGGCTCTGTGGTTGAATATGATTACTTATCTCTGTGTTTTTCTTTTTTCTTCGCGCCATGGTGGCGATCATGATACCCTGTGCTATTTGCGAGATGCTATAATCCCAGCTCTAATCAGATGTCAGAAGAAACCGGCGGGGTAAGAGCCGAACCACGTCTATATCCTGACCAGTCGTCCAGCTTGAGCTCTAATAGTAAACATACACATCCTATCCTTACAGAATATACCGGAACCATGACAATCGATGAGTAAACATTAAAAACCGGAGGCTCACATGTGCATTCTCGAAATTCATTATATAAAACCTCTCCATTAATCTTTCCCTGCATCTGTATTTTCTCCTTCCGTTAGCCCATCCGTGAGTCATCGCCTCATTCGGTGTCTGTTCTTTCAAAACATGAGTCACACTGCCTCCAGATATTCGGTGCAGACCATTGTCCGAGAACAACTCGGAACAAGCTGCATACCGACTATGAACGAATCTGTATGTCTTGGTTTGCACCCTAAAAAATACATTGAGACTTCCAACACCGAGGTTTAAAAATATCCAACACAATGTGCTTTCATTTATCCATGCTGGTTTACTGAAATGTACTTATTATGTGTTAATTTAACAGTACACAGCCCTTTCTCATGCCCATTTATAACAATATCCAGATGCTGACTTTGATTGACAGGATTCCTTCTGTTCTGGACCAGTGCTCCAGGCCAAAATTGAAGGAATGAATCATTGACCGCAAGTGCCCATATTATCTAAAGCCACCACAACCTGAATCTGATCTCAAGCATCTTCTTCATTTTTTGTGGTGCTCTGAGTGTGACATGCAAACATTTTCATGCTTAAGACCATTACATTTCTGACATTAAAAGGTGTCATACAGATGGAATTACATTTGTGCATTGTGAGAAGGAGAGCAATGGCAGAGCTTGAGAAGTAGCCTATTGAGTATCACAAGGGGCTCCCAATACCTCTCTGGCCCATGAAGACTGATGATCAGCATAAGAGTCAAGGGTTGGCTCTATGAGACATTTCCCAAGCACTAAACTGCATCAGTCTGGCAGAGCCTATAGGAGAAATACTTTCAACATATGGACAGTGAGAAGCTTTAAAGCTTGAAATACCATCTGTTCTATGATTGAATAATTTATTTGACTCTGCAGTGTCTTCACTCAGTGGACCATCATCTCCAGCTCTCAGAATTGAATTTCAGCAGTTATTTAAATATGCAGACCTAAAGGAAAAACTGAGACATGATCAGAAACATAGACTATTCTACTGGGCCATATAAAACAAGGGATGTTGATGTTTAGGATTGAGATAAGAGTTGTAGATGAGTATAGAAGAGTTGTAGTACACAACTGTAGTTGGGGTTTTGTAACAAGTATCCTCTCTATTGGAAAAATTATAGCTACTTATATACTATAAGTGATGTGTTTCTATAATATTCTAATAAGTTCTTACACTGCCTCAGAGTCTCTGTGCTCAGTCAGCAATGGACTAACTTGAGTACTTGGATCATCTCAAAGTTTTCAGACTTTTCTGGATTGATGCCAAGTCTGGCATACTACATTTGGTATGATCAATCTTGATCACTCTCAATTCCAACAAGGGAATTGGCCAGTGGCTTCTGATGAGTGAAACAACATTGAAATGAGACCTTGACTCAGTCTGATTCATTGCACAGATTAAAAGCATGTGTATTATGCAGCTGTCTTTGAAACTTGCCTTTTACTGCTACACTCACAATGGCTGATTCCAGTCAGCTCCTAGATGGTGAATCTGAATGAGAACTGACAGTAACATCAATTCTTCCTAAGAGGAGGCCATTACTAGATGCTGATCTACCTTAGATTGAAAACAATATCACTGCATATGAACAAGAGATCCAAATTCAAGAGGTGCAAATTTTCTTCATAAAGTGCCAAAAAGAATGATTGGAGCATTCACTTTTCAGATGCAAAGTACTGCTATTGCCTATCTGTTGTCTTCCAAGGGTCATTCTCTTGGAGATATTCTCCTGAGCTGTGCATCCTCTAAAGAATGACCTTGATGTGATCAAGGGCTTGTGGCCTCTGGCCCAATTCTGTGGATATTGGTGGGACTTCACATTATCCTCACCTGTATTATAGTCAGTCATCACTGTGAAACCCTCATTCACACAGCACTTAGCAGAGATCTTAGCCTGCCACTTTCTCCACTATGCACAACATCTATTACAGGTAACAATAAGGAGTCATTATAACAGTATCTGCTCTGCCAAGGACTATGACTATGCTCATCATATCTTTGATATGATCCTCAAAAAATCTATGCACTGGAAAATGATAAATATGCATGTGCACCCATAATACCTGGAGAGATTCCCTTTAATTCTGGGGAAGATCTCTTTGCCAGTGCTTGCAGAGTTTCATCTCTCTTCCACCCCAACACAGGGAGACTTCAGCATTGATGCATTGTCCTCACTGCCACATCTTTAACATGCCTATATCTCCTGTATATTTGAGGTCTCTGAGAGGCCTTTTCATGCAAGCTTCCTGATACATTTCTTGGGGAGGCTGATCCATTTGGCAGACATCTGGTACATCACTCAGATGCCCACACTCATTGAATGCCATATCTGCCTGCCAAAACACTCCACTGAGCCACATAGATCTGTGGTTCCTTATGATATTTTATTAATTTGAATGGAACAACTCAAGATCTTAATCATCAATGATGCAAGCATACTTGATATTATCACTGCACTGTCATTGAGAGTATTCAAATTTCACTCAAGCTTTATATTGAATGAAATTGAAATCAATCACAAGATTCATTCACTTCACAATTTTCTTGCATGATCTGCTTGCTTTCTCAAGTATTTGGGAATTAAGCAAGCACTTTTTGAAATGATTAGACATCTTATGGCATATTGTTATGATTTTTCCTATTTTCTTTTCTTTTTTCCTTGATTTATTCAGGATTGACCCTTATTTCTGCTTAGTCAGGGCACCTAGACTGGTGCTTAGGACCATGGGACAGCTTAGTCAGCATCCTGATTCAGATCCTACTGTGCTGCTGTGAAGCTGTTACAATGGCAGAACCCTCCCTTTATCTTTGCACTGCCCTGTGCAGCAGTAACAGCAGCAACAGCTCAATAGCAGACAATACTCTTTTGTAGGTATCTTAGTGACACTGGACAAAATGCTCCACAGCTTCAGACAAGACAATTAGGTAGTTTTATTCTTGGAACAATAAGGAATTAGTATTTAAGTAGTATAGCTCTCATTGTAGTAACCCCAGCTTCAAGCTAAAGTTTATTCTTCACCATCTTATCTTGAGCAACTTGCAAACACCTTGACAACACAGTCTAATATCACATCAAGTGGACTCTATCATTTTACCTGAAGTGTGAGGTAGTGATAGTTTATCACATGTTATTAGTCACATGGAATTTGGGCTTAACACATATCTCAATGTTGACTCACTCTCCATATCATTTGAAGAGGCTGGTCATGCTGCATCACTAGCAGATGGGTTGGTCATACCTGGAATCATTCCTGTTTTGAAACAATTGGGCCTCAACATGGATGTCAGTAATAACTGGGGATGAAAACATGTTAAATTCAGTTTTGATGTCAGATGCCAACAGTTTAACAAGGAGCAGGCTGCAGCTTTGGGTGTCACACAGGTATCCTGCCTGGATATAATGTGTGCTGATACCAAGATCATCAACCAGCTGAATGATTGAGGGCTTAGTGCCCTTTGGGAGGAAGGTTTGAGTGTGATGGGGGAAGATACTTTCTGGACTGGGTGGTGGTTGAGCAATGACCAGTTGCTATGTGTGGGTGAGGTCTTGCAATGTGGAGATGTGTATGATTTACCATGATTGAAGAGTCTGGAATTATATTTGAAGTAAACCTAGTATAGTTTGCATAGAGCAGATGCTCGAAATATTTTATTGTTCCTGATTTCGACTGGTGTATGTGATCTGAGAGTACATGAGTTCTGAGTCCTGTTTTACACAGGACTCGATCTTTGCAACATAGAATTTTTTGGCCCAATCGAGTTCTACGGCCTCGCAGTCATCATTCGTCTGCGCTTCAATGGGCCAGAGTGCGGGAACGCGCAGTTATCACCATGGACGTCAGTATCTCTGGCTTCAGAATAGTGGCCTTGATGCTCTCCGATCTCTCAGTATAAGAGCGGTACAAATCTGATTCGAAAACACAACAGAGAAAATCAACGAATAGATACACTAAAATAATACGTTCTTCGCAAAATATGCTTCATCATCTCCTTTGTCCTTTTGATCATCCTTCTCCTCCTACAGCGTGCTGCAAACCAGGTGCTTCACAGTATTTCTCAGTTGTAAATCTATCTGGCAGCGTTCTGACGTGGAATTTACTCACAAAGTTCATGGTACATATGCGATTAGAAACTCCAAATCCTAAGCAGCCCGCCACTAGGATCTCCACGTTGATTTTCAGAAAAAAAAATAATACATGCAGCATTTTTCATAATTCCTATCGCAACGGCCCTTCTTCATGTCCGCTCACACTTCTTTTTGTCAGCCCTCCCTCTCCACCGCACGGCCAGAAAAAGTCCGCCTTTTCAGTAAGCTGCTATACTTGAAATCGCCGTTTCTTCTGCAGAATGTTTATCGAATCGGCAACCGAACCGCCAGTCTTTGTCCTTCATCACGAAGGCCCAGAAATAAAATTTTCGTATTCCCCACGCAACACAAAGAGAGTACAAAACTATAGCAACGACAGCGGTACACAGAACGCAATACAAACGACGGAGGAACCGGAACGAGAAACACAGCAAGGCGAATTTTTATCTGATAGAGTGAGATAACCAGTAAGAAGAAAAGTCCATTCTTTTAAAGCCTCCGAGGAGTTCTTCGACAGGAAACGACGTATCCACACCATAGGGCGGAGGAGCTTGAGGCCACTGAGCGCCACCTCACCCGGTCCTCGTATACAAACAATCCATATATCCCGAGGTCGACCATCCCCCGAGCGCTTGATTCCCATACATGAATGGCTCCCCTGCAAATGCCCTAGGCACAACCTCATAGGGAGCCCCGTAGTTGTACGCGGCCCGCACGTAGTTATAGCAAGGCGCATAAAATCCCCCAATCGATCCATTCCCCAACGGCACCTCAGAGCCCCAATCAGCAGAAGGATCCTCCGAGAAGAAACCACACACGTACTGTATCGTCTTGATGTGGACCTTCATCCCCGCCACTGGGTCGTCCTAACGTCGCAGCCTTTCCAGGGGCATTCGTGCCTGGTGCGTCCAATTACCGTTGATAGCTCGAAATATGAACCAGACTCACGGTCGATCATCATAGTCAACATGGATGAGGAGGTGCCGGTTCAGGTTCTTCGTCTTCTTGCCACAAACCTCACAAGCCCTCAAGTCCTGGAATGCATCAGAACTATGCTTGACAGAAGAGACTACGTTTATCACCTTTTTCTCAGCAGGCATCGGAAAGTGAGAGTGGTGAACGAGGGGGGAGTGAAAGAAGCTTTTCGAGGGTGTGGGAAAGATAGAGAAAGAGAAAGAAAGGGAACTAGGGTCGCATGTTCGATTGTCCCCCCATTTATACCTGCGTGCCGGAAAATTGATGGATTGATTTCCGTGAGATAGCTGTATATGGTGAGAACTCGCGGATATAAGGTAAGATTTCCTCGTGAAAGTTAACCCGCGGGACAATCGACGACAGGGCTCGTTGTCGTCCTACCAATTAGCTGAAATAACTGCCCTCGGAAAGTTGTTTCGCTTGATAAGAAGTCTTTATTTTGGTTGGCTCGAACGGGAGGAATTTGATGGCAACATGTAATTGGAGGACAGGGGCGGACACTGACCCGATTTAGAACGAAACCTAAATGAACTCGAGGTGAAATGGGAAGAAAAATCTGGAATAAGTCTTCGGGTCATGAATTCGATGTTCGAACGGGTGTACGGAGCATACATTAGTGAGAGAAACCTTGCGCTAATGGAGAGCTGTCCTAACTGGACTCCAGTTAATGATAACATTCAGTTTATAGATGAATACCCTCACTTTCGAATCGAGTAACCCATCAACGAAACCTTCTCCAGTTTTTCAGGACCAATTTAATAAAGGCAATCAACGGAAAGGAAGAAGTCGAGGTCCCGATTGAAGTCCCCCCTGCATCAGGCTGGATACGTGGCTGGATACGCCCAACATCAAGGAAAGCGAAGTACGTCGCTGCCTCACATCGTTGTACCACCAAACTAGATGATAATACACAAATGAATCAGGGGAGGCATTTTGTACAGGTGTCTATGAGTGTGCCTGAAATCCTCCAATTTTGGGATCCGTACTAAAATAAAATACACCCGTCATCATATACATATTTTAATCATGTCGAGGCGGTATCATAACCCTCAATCTGACGTATCTGTGAAGCAAAATATGAAAATAGTAAACACAAAAATTCCACGAGACACGTACCGCTCCCATCTCCCTCACTGAGTATCCTCTTCAGGGAACGACACTTCGTCAGATGTCTAGCGACCGTTTCTGGGCGAGAAGATGCTGAACAACAGTACGGACATCTGAACCTGTTCTCATTATGATAACTCGAATTAAAGTGCCTCTTTAGTGCACCGGACTTGACGAAAAGCGATGTAGGTTTTCGGGGTTTGGCCTCGCAGCAGGCCAGGTAAATGAACGGATCTTTACCTTCTCCAGGAGCAGAATGGGCATCTCTGGCGTGGCGAGGGGTGAAGGTCGTTTGCGAATCAGGAGGACAGAGAAGACAAACGGAATTGATATTGATGTCATCGAGGACCTCAGCGTAGAAGTAATCCTCGGGATTCCTGGCGAATTTCGGGTACTTTTTGCAGAGGGCTTGTTTGAATGTAAAATTGAGCAGCTCGATAACTGTGTTGGAGGTGGAGCCAGAAGGTTTGTTATTGCCGGGAAATTGGGCTTTCCGTCCATTATTTATGTCGTATGGAGAGGTACTTGATCTAGGTAACTATAAGTCTCCCGGATGAAGAAGAAGTGTATGAACATACCGAAGAATGCTCCGTTTCTCCCGCCGTGCAGTTAAAGGCAGTGACTCGTTCGAAGAACTATCCGATGACCTACAAATTGTCAGGTTTTCGATGTGAAAACTGACTAAGAACGAACGACGTCTGGGATCTGGGCGGCGGTGAGTCACCGCCGTAATTGATCCAGCCTCTCGCAACGGTCGTACTCGGCGACAGACTGGAAGATGGAGATGTTGAGGGCGAAGTTTTTGCGGACGAGGTAGACACAGGACTGATAAAGGAGCGAGATGTGATGGAAGTAGGAGGATATCTAAAATGATATACGCGTGAACAACTGAGAGCTCGAGATTTCGGGCAGACGCGTACATTTCGCGTGGGTCTGGAGAGTGTTGCGCGTCATCTTGCCACATGCTTGGTGGAACGGAGGCCATCATCACTGTTACAGATACCTCAGGTGGCGGCGCGTGCAATGACACCACCGTATCGTTGGGCGACATGGTGGAAGAGTGTGGCGTGGATTCAGGGTGGGCATAGTAATTGTCGCCAGCGAGCGCGTCGAATCCCATATTATCAATGGATAGATTACAAAGGTCGCTGCCCATAGAGCTGCCTCCGACGTCGTCGTCCATGGACCTAGCAAGAAGTTGGAGCCCATAATAATGAACACATTGAATTGAACGACGGCTAACCTGAGGAGCCTACCAAAGTCAAACCCTGTGTCAACCAATGATGCGAAACCATCGCTTGCGTCGCCAGTAGCCATGTTGTACGTGTACGAGGAGAAAGAGTCGTCGTCAAACATCTTGAGAGTACTAGTGAACATAAATCGATGTAACATTGCCATCCCATTTATGAGGACGCTGGACCGGACCGCCGGGCGACAGTGAAAACAAATAATGAATATCTCCGGAAGGCAATCTCTTCGTGCCTTCATGCAGTGACCCGGTGCAAAGGTAACAAATAAACTTTTAGTAAATGTTTCCGTGCACAAGTTTGAACAAGCTTAATAGGAACCGAGAGTGGAATTGTGTAGACGTAAGACAAGATCGCAGAAATAGAGTGAAGGTAGACGATCGTATTCCTGATGAGGCCCGAGTCCTGACTTTTCTCCTGTAGATCAGCAGAATCTCTGCGGATACCAGTTGCTTGCTTGCAGATTACGCTGCGTTTACCAGCATTGGGGCATCTCTGCGTCTTCCTTTGCATATCTCCTAACAATTCCGTTGATTAACGACCACTGAATAACCTATGCTGTCTCATAGTCCGATTTCTTGAACGTGATAACGGCATAGAGCAGCGCCACCCATCCCAGTGTCCAGAATCCATTTTAGTGATGGGTGGTCCCATTGTCCAGCGTTGGTTCCAGTCCTTTGTTGATAATAGCCGTCGAGATAGCAACGAGATTCCAAGACTGCGATAGAAGTACTTTGAACAATGACAAGGAACGCAGATTGTGCGCAGACAAATGAAACAGGAATTAGTGGCTGTGCAAGCTGTTCCTTTTTTGGATTTGGATATTAAGATGCCGTCAAGCGCTTTTGCCCCCAGTGCCAGCTTCTCGCCCATGTGGATATGTACGAAGTCAATAATCCTAAATAATGGTGCTGTCCGTTTTTCTTCTTGTTAAATACGTATAATTTCCAGATATCGGAAAACAACCAAGACTGATATTTACTGACAGAAATATTCTCGCTTTTGGCATTTTCTCTCGCAACGCTTTCCGCTGCATGTGAGGAATGAATTGGCGATCTCTTCATCCCCACGGGATAATGCTTTGCTTTCATAGTGGAGCAAATACGTGCGTGGTAGCGGTGCTTGCAAATGACTTCTATTTCATCTAGATATTGTAGATTCAAGTGCGTCTGCATTGATCTTGGAACGTGATGGGCTACACTCCAGGACGACGCTTTCGCCGTTGCCAGCTAGGCGTGAGGTATTGTAAGTCGTCTGCGGGAATCATTGACGACTATGACGTACGATCTACCATTACAAGACATCTCTTACAGGTCTCTGCCGTCTCGTACCCTTTGTTTTGCATACTTCTACCGTGCTGGACTCCTCGTAGTCTATTTCCCAGACGGTGCACAGTTGCGACGACGGGTCTGTTCTGCTTGGGTTCTACTCTTATATCCCGACAGCTAATTTCTCCTCTTTTCGCCCACGATTTCGTCTTTATTGCTCTGGTGCTGCGAGTCTTCGTCCTACCGCGGTGTATATCGCTATTAAACATTGTGTCTGCCTTTTCGCGTCTGATGATAGCGTTTATGGGTGGTCGAGCTGCGCCATCTGCTGGATGCTTGCATGCGTCATTTCACAGACCAGTCATATCATGTGCTGTTTTATGGATGTGGTTTCAGCAGTCATCAATTACAATCCGATAAATCCTATATGAGACCGCTGAACCTAGTGATAAATTACCTGCAGAATCAGTACCGCTCCAGATATCTACGAACCCTAAGTTCATATTATTCTGCTTGTACCGCTGATCTACTTATAGTTTACTCTGATCTTCATTGACGTTCCCATCTCCGAGGCTTGTGGAAGCACCTAAATAAAGCTATGGAAAAGTTTGTACTAGTCCAGTCCTGTCAAGAATGTTTTACGGTTTTCTTGGAGTAAAAAAGTATGTACGAGGTGTTCGAGAAGCGGAGAAATATCTAGTCCTTTGTTTAGGCTTAGTAAGGCCCAGTAGGGGGGCATATTCATAACACGTACGTGCCAATTTTTAATTAGTTCATGCACTGAAACGTTCGCAAAGAATAGATGCAAGGATCGACTTGCTGTTGAAGCCAGGAAACGAGGTGTTTAGAAGTCATGTTCGGACAATATCGTTGGATGAAAATACATAACTATTTGGGACAGCCTGATAGTTAAAGCCTTCTAGGAGGAAAGGTAATTGTCACTCCAAGGACCTCCTTTGCCCAGGCTGATATTTATTTAATAGAAAAGGTTGTGGCAAAAAGCCTTTTTTTTCTGTCAACTCTCTCACAGCTGCAGGACCTGAGATGACCTCCCTACCCCGACGTGAACATCCAGGTATGTTCCTTTCAACGGTCAACGGCATGTCTGCTGGATATTGGAGTATCTCCAGAAATTGAACGAGATGAGGAATTTATCACCCTCGCACATCCAAACCGTCAGTCTGTCGCGTAGTGGATTATGGCTGACCTGAGGGTTCGATTCCCACTATCCGCATGACAGATTATTTCGAAACGTTTTTCTCTTTTCCACGTTCACTTCCCAGTTTAGAGTGTACTCGTTGCCTTATTTTTAGCAATGCACATCGAGACCTGAGGACGGTGATGCAGCGTATGGATTCTATAAATAATTGTTCCTTGCGAGGACATGTTCTCTCGGCCCTGTAGTCATTGTCGATAGTTTACTGATTCGTCCAGCCGTCGCTCTCAAGTATTTTTGGGATTTATGGTTAGAAGCAGCAAGAGCGTATGATCGGAGAAGGAATGTTGGGCCGGTCTCTGGCCACCCCCTCCCCCCCCCAAAAAAAAAGAAAAAAAGAAAATCATAATGGGGTTGTGGAAGGAAACGACAGACACACTTACTGGCGGTTCTGTAAACTTTACGCCGTTTTCCAGCTGTTTTTCTTCTTTACATAATCTCCGGATGTACTTGGTGTAATCATTAGCGCGAGGTTCGATTCCCTCTATCCAATCCGAGAGTCAGATAGACCAATGTTCACTTTCTCTTGACTTATGAACTGCACCGAAAAAGCCCACAAAATTCCCTGCATGCGTGCGTCCTCCAATCGGGAGGAGAGGAGAAGAGAAATGTGCAGTCGAGAGTGTCTTAGCTTGAAAGGAAGAGGTTTTGCAAAGTTCTATTTGTCAGTTCATTCTATGATTGACATATAACTTTTGGATCAACAGTGTAATGGCTGGATGGGTTGGCCTTTCCCCCGCCCGAAATTATGCTCTCGGGACCACTTTTTCACTGTAGGGTTCGATTCCCTCTGAATGAATGGTGCTGAATAAGGCCTCTATGGATTCCCATTTTTTTATGATGAGATCTGAGTTACAGCTTTTCTGCTCTGGATCAGCAGAATCTCCGCCATCACTAATTGCTTGTACCTCTGCTCTGTTTACCAGCATTTGGACGGCTTCTCCTCTTCTTTTGTATATCTCCTGTCATGTTTTGTTCATTACCCACCATTGAATAACCCATCCCGTCCAAAAGTCCGATTTCTTGAAAATGATAACTGACATTGAGTAGTGCCACCCATCCCAGACTCCATGTTAGTGATGGGTGGTCCCATTGTGCCGTGTAGTTCCAGTTCTTTGTTAAGAATCGCAGTCGGGATTGCAACCAGATTCCAAGACTACCACAAAGGTTCAAGCTCAAGTGTGAACAATAACAAGGAACGCAGATTGATTGTGCGCGGACAAAAGAAACGGGAATCAGTGGCTGTGCAAACAATCCCCTTTTTGTATTTGACGTCGACATTAAGATGCTGTCACGCGCTTTTGACCCTTGTCCAACGCGATTTCGATGCGATGTGGATATGCACGACTCAGAGTCAAACGTAAGTCATGGCGCTGCCCCCTTTTCTTCATGCTAAATCCAGGTATCGGAAAATAACCAAGATTTACCGACAGAAATATTCTCGCTCTTGGAATTTTCTCTTGCAGCACTTTCGAGAAATGAGCTGGCGATCTCCCATCGGGACGGGAATAGTATCCAACAGTGTTTTCAGAGTGGAAGAAATACATCCATGGTAGTGGCGCTTGCAATTAGGTCTACCTCGATGTTCTTTTGGATATTATGCTTACAGTCACACTGAGGAAATGGAAAGAGTAGTTGAGAACGTTGGCACCGTCCGTTTCCTCCGAGATCACGTGTTGCATTGCCGTAGATTCCCATTTGTTCGTAGCCGTAACCGAGACTATCACTAGCTATTCCCGATTCCCTCTCTTGGACCCAGCAATGCGGTTCCATAGTCCTTGCCGATAGTTTCTGTTTCATCTAGATATGGTAGAGTCGAGTACGTCTGGGTTGGTTTCACAGCACTGATCTTGGAACGTGATGGGTGATACATTCCAGAACGCTATCGTCGGTGCTAGCCAGGCCAGAAGATAGATTTAAGTTGTCTGCGGGAATAAATGACCACTATGGCGTGCCATCTACTATTTCAAGACATTTATTATAGATCTCTGACGTATCGCTCCTTTTTTTGGATAGGATGCGCGACTCCTGGTAGTATATTTCCCAGACACTTTGCGCCGCTGCATACATGCGACGATGGGTCGGTTCTACTCTCTATACACCGACAGCTAATTTATCCTCTTTCCACCGTTACGAGCTGGAGGATTTTGTCTCTATTGCTTTGACGCAGCGAGTCTTCATCCCACCGCCATGTATATCATTGTTAGACTTTGTTGTGTGCCTTTTCACGTCTATTTGAATCACATGATAGCGTTTATGGGTGGAGACGTCATCAGATCATCTGCGCTGCGCCATTTCTTGGATGCAACATGTGCCACTTTTTGGACCAATCATATCGTGAGCTATTTTATGGACGTGGTTTCAAATTGAACAAACAGCCATCAATACAATCCCAGAAATCCTATATAAGACTGCCCAACCTAGAGAGAAATACCTACCAAATCACTATCGTCGAAACATCTACCAACCTTACTTACCAACCAAGATGATGTACAATGTGCGCATTACCCTCATTGCACCGCTCTCTTTGTGCTGATCTCATTATACTTTACTCAGACCGCCGTGGACGTTCCCATCGCCGAGGCTTGTGGAAGCACTTCATGCACCTGTAGCGCGTGAGTACTTGGTAGCCATCGTATTTCATCCGGCTTATTGATGGATGGATGATTGGCAGTTGCTCTTGCGTTGCGGGAGAGTGCAAATGCTGTTCCTGCAAAAACTGAATGAATTACTTCCTGTGGATTGTGATAGTTCAGAGTATGGATAGCAACGACAGTTATTTAATTACTTTGAACCGAATCAAAATTCTTTCAGCGCCTTAACATAAGTTACATAATTGAGTGATAGACCTCTTTAATTGTACGGAGCGTTATACCTGTCAAGTCTTGATTATCGCAGGGTAGTAATACACTGAAACCTTCTCAAAGAAGACATGGAAGGTTGTACTTCTGTTAAAGCTAGGAAACGACGTCTTCACAAGTTATGGTCGTAAGATATCGTTTCAGGATGGAAGCTAGTGTACACGGGCTAATCTTGGATAGAGATACATAATTATTTGGGACCGCCGGGTACCCAAAGCCTTCCGGAAGGAAACTTAATTGTCACTACACCAATCTCCTTAGTCCAAACCACAGCATGAAAATGTTCCGACGAACATACCAGGCAAATATCCTAAGCCGATTTGTCGCCACTTCTTCTCAGTATCAGGGTATCTCCTGACGAATTCTCGTACTCGCATTTGTCCTTCGTCAACGAAAGACTGTGGTATCCATCCTTCCCGCTTCATCATCATCCACGCATTCTGGTTCGTGGTTCTGGGTACTAGAGATAGTGCGAGAAGCTCGCGGATATCACGTACATCGATGGGCTGCTTCGCCTGTATATGTAGAGCCGCAGAATTCCCGTGATCCATCCATCCCTGCAGTTTCATGAGGAGAAGCAGGATGAAGGGCATGACTGGAAGCTTCTCGAGTTGCCAAATGATGCTGGATGGAGGGATCGGGGGAATGTTCATTGATCCCGGGACGAGAACATCGACTTTGCAGCAACGCCTCAGGTCCCGGGAAACTCTGGAGGTCCCGGAAAGATCGTAGTAAAGAAGACGATAGTTGGCGAAGGGATTCTTGGAAGAGACGACGTAGAATTTGTCGTCGGTCTGAACAAGAAGATCTTTGAGATCCTCCTGCTCCCATAGTCCGCCATACGGGTTTGGCGATGTAATGACGATGTCGATGTCCTATCAGAGTGGCCTGTGAGAACTGGATATCAATGCTAGGGCAGCAAGACGTACGTTCGGTACCCGAGTGGTCCCATAGCACAAACATGCTACACTTCCGAACAGACAACCCACGATTCCTAAAGATAGGAAGGCATCTATAGCGGCGTGAGCGGTCTTCAGGATTTCTTCTGTCGTCAGGCCTTCAGAGCGCTTCAGAGACATTTCTCTCAGACTGAGGGAGCACGGGGGGTAGGGAGGTGCTGTCCCATCAGAAACGAGTCATCGAAGAATTTCGTGGGAGTAAGGCAATCTGGCCAGAGTGCAAGAGGCGCCCGGCCCGACGTATCCGAATATCGGCACTGAAGACGTGACAAACAGTGGCACATTTATTAGCTTTTCATTTTCTTCTGCGGTATAACTTCGGATAATTGCATCAGTCTGTCTCTTGACGTTAAGCTTATCCAGCTATAGAGCCTGCCCGACGCTCTGCGCGGCGGCAAGTTCCATGGGGACCACTAGTTCTTCCTTTCCGTTGATTGCCTTTATTAAATTGGTCCTGAAAAACTGGAGAAGGTTTCGTTGATGCGTTACTCGATTCGAAAGTCAGGGTATTCATCTATAAACTGAATGTTATCAGTAACTGGAGTCCAGTTAGGACATCTCTCCATTAGCGCAAGATTTCTCTCACTAATGTATGCTCCGTACACCCGTTCGAACATCGAATTCATGACCCGAAGACTTATTCCAGATTTTTCTTCCCATTTCACCATTTAGGTTTCGTTCTAAATCGGGTCAGTGTCCCCCCCTGTCCTCCAATTGCATGTTGCCATCAAATTCCTCCCGTTCGAGCACACCAAAACAAAGACATCTTATCACGCGAAACAACTTTCCGAGGGCAGTTATTTCAGCTATTTCGTAGGATGGCAACAAGCCCTGTCGTCGATTGTCCTGCGGGTTAACTTTCGCGAGGAAATCTTACCTTAGATCCGCGAGTTCTCACCATATACAGCTATCTCACGGAAATCAATCCATCAATTTTCCGGCACGCAGATATAAATGGGGGGACAATCGAACATGCGACCCTAGTTCCCTTTCTTTCTCTTTCTCTATCTTTCCCACACCCTCGAAAAGCTTCTTTCACTCCCCCCTCGTTCACCACTCTCACTTTCCGATGCCTGCTGAGAAAAAGATGATAAACGTAGTCTCTTCTGTCAAGCATAGTTCTGATGCGTTCCAGGACTTGAGGGCTTGTGATGTTTGTGGCAAGAAGACGAAGAACCTGAACCGGCACCTCCTCATCCATATTGACTATGATTATGATGATCGACGATGAGTCTCGTTCATATTTCGAGCCATCAATGGTAAGTGGACGCACCAGGCACGAATGCCCTTGGAAAGGCTGCGACGTTAGGACGACCCAGGCGGCAGGGATGAAGGTCCACATCAACACGATACAGTACGTGTGCGGTTTCTTCTCGGAGTATCCTTCTGCTGATTGGGGCTCTGAGGTGCCGTTGGGGAATGGATCTATTGGGGGATTTTATGCGCATTGCTATAACTACGCGCCAGCCGCCTACAACTACGGGGCTCCCTACGAGGTTGTGCCCAGGGCGTTCGCAGGGGAGCGTTCATATCTGGGAATCATACGCTGGGCGGATGGTTGACCACGGGATATATGGATTGTGTGTATATGAGGACCGGGTGAGGTGGCGTTCAGTGGCCCCAAGCTCTTCCACCCTATGGCGTGGATATGTCGTTGCCTGTCGACGAACTCCTCGAAGGCTTCAATGGAATGAACTTTTCTTCACCTTCCTGTATTTCTTGTTCCGGTTCCCCCCCCCTTTGTATTGCGTTCTGTGTAGCGCTGTCGCTGCTATGATGTTGTACTCCCCTTGTATTGCGTGTGGAATACGAAATTGTATTTCTGGGTGTTCGCTATGAAGAGCACAAGCTGGAGGGTGTGTTCTCTGATTCTAGGATCATTATGAACGAGAAACTACGATATCAAGTAGAGCAGCTTACTGTCACGGCAGACTTGGGCTTCACTACCGCTCCCCAGTCCAACCTTTAACGTGCCTGTCTGGTCGGTGCCAGGAGACCGGGATCGATCCCAAGGTCTTCCTTCGTCAGCAAAAATTCGCCGTAGTCCCCAAATCCCTTTGCTCCCCAACACTGTCATGACCACCAATTCACGCCCGAACGACTTTCCGGCGAACAAAGTACAGTTCTGGACCCGAAGTTAGCTGCGACCAAAGTGTATCGCGCTACATTCAATAGGCCTTGTTCGCGTGCATTTGAATCACTCGAAAGTCAGGTCGTCTGCGCTGCCCCATTTCTTGGATGCGGCTTCAGATGAGGTAAACAGCCATAAATACGATCCTGTATAAACCCGCCTAACCTAGTGAGAAAAACCCTGTTGAATCACTACCACTAGAAGCATCTATGAAACCCTACTTATCAACCGAGATCATGTTCCCCGTTCGTATTATTCTGCCTGTGCTTTCCTACCTGTGCTGATCCATCATCTATACTTTTCCCAGAAGACCCTTGAAATTCCTGTCTCCGAGGCCTGTGGAAGCATTTTGTGCACCTGCAGCACATGAGTAGTTGGTGGAAGTTCATATTGTATCCCACTTATTATTTTCAGATATTCTTGCACCGCCGGCGCGTGTAAATACTGCTCCTGCAGGAATTGATTCCCGTCAGACTGTCGCAATGGATGGCAGAGGAGAATTAATGAGCTTGAGTGGAATCGAAAGCTTTCGACTCTGAATGATCTGCTACTTATGGACCCGGGCCTGGAAGCAATCAGGATAATTTTCTGTCCTTTTTGCTTTCTTCTACTGGTTGGTGATATGTACCAGGCAACCGTAGAGGTCCTTATCCCCCACGGTTCGATTCTAGTTGCTCCTCCCTTGATTGACGTGTACGTGGTGCAATGGTACATTTCATGTGCGCAGGGTTCGATTCCCTCTGTTCTAATGGTAGATAAACTTGCCACTTTTTTTCACATCCACGTTCCCTTCCTAATTATTTACCTCGACGGCGTTGGAACCGTATCGCTAGGTCCAAGAGAGGGAATCGGCAATGGATAGTGATAGTCGCGGTTGTAGCTACGGACAAGCGGGAATATACGGCAATGCGACACGTGATCTCGGAGGAACCGGACCGTGCCAACGCTCCCAGAGTCTGAATTTATCTTGGTCAGAAACTGACAAACACACACACATTCACGCGAAACCCTGCATGTGTTGAGAGTGGTTCTCCCCTATAGAAGGAGGAGAAGAAACTAGTGCGTTTGAAAACAATTTATTGAAAGAGTAAGGAATCGGTGGAGGAATCGGCTGGGCAACCTCTTCGTCAGTTCATTCCCTGATTGCATATGACCTTCGAAAGCAACGGGTGCAATGGCTGCCTGGGTTCAATTCCCCATTTCCGAATTATTCTCGACGAATTAGTCCACTTTTATGACACGGTTTGGTTTTACCTTTCTGTTCACGGGGCCTAAATAACGAACGCCTGTATATAAGTAGTGTAATATATTATGGCGTAGCTTAGGGTTCGATTCCCTCTACCAGAATGGCGGATTGCTGGAATTGTGTTCCTTTTTTCACGTTCACTTTTCAGTGAAAATGATCTCATTCGCTTTATGTTTTGGTAATGCACATGAAGATCTGAGTATGGTGATGCAGCATGTATGGATTAGAATTCCGTATGGGTATGTGCTGTAACGTCTCTGTAGTCAGAAGTTGCGTTGGTGATTTATCAAAGTTTTTATCTGTATTCGGAGGGAAATCTGTCACTAAATGACAACAACTATCAATCAACGACTGTTGGAGTTCCGGCTGCCAAAGCCTGTTGCAGCACCTGTAGTATACTCGGCAGCATCATATTTTTTCTCTGACTGATGACAATTTCTAGCTGTTCCGCAAAAGAACCGAATACGTAGCGGGCTGCGGGAGGAAGAGAAGAGTCTAACCGACCTGAACTGGGGCACATTTTATCGTACCCAGCCAGCGTGTTCCATCATGACAACTTGTCACTGCCTGCTGCTGCACACACATATAACAGCAGTGTACTGGATACCGTTCGTTCCTCCGATAGCTTTGGGGTTGATTCCCTCTATCCGAGTGTCGTGGGAACTCTGGACCGAGAATTAGGAGCAGCTACTGGTGGTTGTGTAACCTCTACGCACTTTTCGAACTGTTCCTCTCCCTTCTTTACATAATCCCCTGATATACCTGGTGTAATGGCATCTATCATTATCTCGAGTTCGATTCCCTCCGTCGCAATCGAGAGTCAGCAGGTTGATTCTCTTTTTTGGCATTTTTTATGCTTACTTTTTGTTTCTCTTCATGCAAATCTCCAACTTGTGAACTGCGTCCCCCCTTCTCCCCTCACGGAACTTGATGGATCATCGTCCATGGTTGACTTTCTCTTCACGGGAGGCTTAAACAATGAACACTTGGATATAAGTAGCGTAATGGATTATGGCTCAACCTCAGGGTTCGATTCCCTCTATCCGAATGAAAGGTGGCTGTTAACTTTTGAGTTTAGAGTGCACTCGCTCCCCTTCTTTTTGGTTATGCACAACGAGACCTGAGGATGGTGATGCAGCGTGTCGAGAGTTCCGCACGGGGATGTCTCCTCTCGGCTCTGGAGTCATGAGGATAAAACTTGAGGAGGTGACGTCACTGCGAGAGGTGCCGGTGATGCATCTCGAGTGATACCGGCGCCGATTAAATCACTAAAGCTCCGACGAACGACCAGCTGATATTTGTCGATAGGTTCCCCCCTGCGCTTTTTGACGACGGACGAACCTCATATCACGTACGTAACCACGAGAATTATTGCTCTGGAGGACTAAATGATCATGTAGGCAGTCGTATCTATGAGATACCACGGGATGGTGATCATTATGTCCACGGAACGCGTGAAAACTCGAGAAGACAAACCTGTATGCTTCCTTCTCCCCCTCCTCCCGTAGGCCTACAGCCCGTACCTGTACATGAGGGGGGCAATTGATGGCGCTCTGTGTCTCAACTATGCTTAGTTGTATTTATGTATCATCAGCCATCCTGTAGGCCTAGTCAGTTGCCCAAGCAGTGCGCTATTTTATGGATGAAGATAAACAGTCGGCCTATACACGACCACTCGATCTAGGTGTATGAACACGTAACGACTTCTCCACTGAGCATGGACGAATGCTCCCGTGACCACCGACTGCCTCAACAGGAGGGCGCATGTAACGCCCATATCAAAACACGCCATAAGAACAATCAATCATCTTCACCGACAGCGCGGCACGCACGTGCAAACCAGTATTAATTCCCCAGTCGTAAATCCATCTGGCCACCTTGTGATGTAGAATTTTTTTATCCCGCTTCGGTTTGGAACAGAGAGAAAGGCGATGGTGTAGATCAGCAGCAGATCGTCGGCGAGCAGCATCATCCAAGGGTGGGCCGATGACTAAGCAGTGTTTATTGCAAATTGTCCCAATTCCACGTCATTTGCTCTGAGTCTGTGCATCGGCCTTGGATTTCATTCCCAACTTTCCATCCTCACAGCACTTTTATCAGACGGCTGCACGGACATACCTTAAACTAAACCCGTCAGTTCGGTTCTCAGTTATGAAAAAGTGGCCCACCACAGGTTCGGAGTTCAGCAAAGAATTGACAGTACTCGGGGAAAAAGGGGGAGGTTAAGGTTGTCGTAGAGCGTATGTATGGATCCCCCCTCACATCCGACGAGCCAGTAAAGAGCCGTCCTGAGACTGAAAGCGGATCAGCGTAAGGATTCAAAGAATACTTGCAAGTACTAATTTACTTCCGTTACCAAGCAGAGATACGATCCAAAGATATTCGCGGTGGACACGGCTTTCTCTCTAACATCAGAATCTCGTCCCATGCTAATAGAGCGGGCAGTGTAATTCCCAGTCCTTTGTTCAGAACAAGAATAAGAGTAGCATAGCCATCTAGATTCCAAAGTAAGGTGGGGGGATTGTGCGTGGACAAAAAAAAACAGGGATTCGTGGCTCTCATCCCATGAACGCGATGTGGACATGTACCACTCATTCAACTGCAAAACTGACCTTACTTCTTGGAAATAGATGCCTCCAAGCTGACGCAAACCAAACTTCTGATTGTGTTCACCCTGAATCCTTTGTCTCAGCACTCCTTTGGTGGATATTGGTTGGAGCCGCCATTTCACTAGGGCTCCGGCGAAGAAGTGCTAGAGACGACTGAGCCCGATGTACACTTGAAAGCCTTCATGGATCTGGTATCAGAGCTGACTAAATCACTACACGGCAAGCTGCAACGAACTAGTTTATTGAAAATCGCAGACGAGAACATGATATGTACGTATCGCGACAATTATTTGCTGGAGGAGGAATAAATGACTACGTAGAGAAAATACTAATGAAACAAGGAGAGATAGAATACTTATATCCAGTCCAAATAACGCGCCCGGACCCCACCTACTTCGTCCTCCTCCGCTTCCTAGCACCCCCCACCGTCATCGCCCCCTCCTCCATCTTCATCCTCTCCTCCTCCCTCCATGCCTTCCTACACTCCTTCTTCGCCCCATCATTCACCTGATGCCTCTTCAGTGCATCCACCCGCGTAAACCCCTTCCTGCACCCCCCGCACACGTAGCGCCGTTCCGGGCAATGTCCCGCCGACTCGGCGTGCCGAGGGAAATCCCCCCGGTTCACGAGCATGTGGACGCACCCCGGGAACGCACAACGGTACTTGTGCTTTTTTTTCCCCTTCTCCTCCTCCTCCTCCTCCTCCCCCTTGGGGTGCTTGGATGATCGGAGATGCGCATACAACATGTCGAGGGAGGGGAAACGGTTATCGCAGTGGAGGTAGAGGCAGCGGAGCTCGGGCGGAGGAGAGGGAGAGAATAATGTTAGCGACGAAGAGGGCGAGAGCGAGGCTGCGACGGGAGATGCCTCGGCGCGTTCACGACCACCACGAGGTAGCGGGCGGATCTCGCGCTCTTGAGCTTCAACTTTAACGACCGGCAATGGTGAACGAGGAGGAAGGGGGCCCGGACAGTGTCCCAGATCAAGATCCAGAGGCTTGTCCTGCTCATTCAGTATCGCAGGAGCGGCCAACTCACCATCCTGCGGGTACGATAAAGGAACGAGAGGAGGAAGCCCGCTCCCAGGCTCCGCATAATGCTTCGGGTACGCCGCCCAAAATTCCCGAGTGGGTGCCGGCGCACAGAACGTCCACCCAGGGGAATGCTCGTGCGCGATCTCGCCATTGACAAACTCTATCCGATGGACGTCTTCTCCCGTCGTTGGACGTACCTGCGAATAGAGATCGATGAACCTCCCCAGTGCTGGCCCGTCGTGCCAGAGGCACCATGGGGTGTCCCCGCTGTACGAGCAGAACCACCTATTCGTGCTGGGAGGAGCATACGCACAAAGTGTGTCGTTCCTGTCGGGAATGACGCCGTCTGCAGATACTTGCTGTATGGTCTCCCGGTTCGCCATGAATATGTCTTCCAAGCCAGTGGAAGACATACTGAGAAAAGAACGCAGAACGAGGGGGACCGATGTGGGGAGGGAGATTGTCCTCCTGGATTTTAAGCATTTCGGTGGCAAATGGAAATCAAGGTCGAAGCTCTCCGATAAAGGCAAATTCCCCCAAGGACAATGTAACTTGTCTTTATTCGACGCCTTAGCGTGGCGGAATTTTTCGCATTGGTCATTCAAGACAAAAACTTTGACTGACAATGCCTTGGGAAGAGCTCGCAAGGTAATGTAGGACGCGCCAGTCGGGTGCATTCCGCACACGCTAACGCGAAAAGGAAAAAAAAACACCAAAAAGAAAGAATAAGGGCAGCTGCGTGCACGCGACGCGTCAGGGTCAAGTAATTTTTGAAACCGCCGATTTGGAGTCGGAGGGGGGACCGAATAGCACCCATCGACTTCACATAGTCAAAGATCTTCCGTCTAGATCGCCGTTTAAGTTTTAGCTTCGTCGTTGTAACTTCTCATTAGAGTTGGATGTTCCTTCATACACAGACCGGGCCGTCGCAACGTTTGAAATGTTCGTTGTTCTGTCAACATCTGCACGCTCGGGGAGAGAATACTGAACCCGAAAACATTTATGGGATCATAACGGAGATCTGTCATCAAGATCGTTATGTCCCTCTTAAACAGAGAAGTGATTGAACTTGGACATACTTGTTCCCATAACAAAGCTGGCATCAGAACGTCCGGGCATCATGTCCTGATTTTCGTTGGCATTTCTAAGGCTATAGGGAACGATGAGACTTGAACATTGCAAAGTGAGCCAACAGCCTACCCCAAATTACATAGCAGAAACCGCGTCGACCGCAGCGTCTCACTCTGGAAGTACGACGTCTTGACATACAAAGAGCCGAGAAAACGAACGTACGTACGGCAGAACGACGGAACGACGGAACGGTCCAGTACCGAAATTCTCCTTCTCAAACAAAAGCATCATCTTATAGGGCTCTGAAGTCGCTGTATTGCGACTGAAGACAGGCAAACGGCGAAGTGGATGTATGCGCCAAAGTATTTCGAACGTCTGGAAGGATCTCAAGATTAAAGCGAAATATAAGACCGTATAAGCGTACGAGGACAAATAACTGCCAGATTTCGCTCTTCGCCAAACATCGGGCTGAAGCAAGCGTTGGCCTTTCATAGTCTTCCGCCATAAAAGTGGTGTTGGATGACGAAAAAACGAATACACTGGCGCATCTGCCAGACATCAGCGCAGAGCGACAAAAAATACCGAGTTCGCTTACTCGCGCGCTAGCACTCATATCCCCGTTCAAAATGTGATTCTTGGACTTGAAAAGGGCTATCTCAGTGGCATATCATTGACGGTAGCTCCATGGTAATATTATTCGAGAAGATTCAAAAGAAATACCAGGGCAAGGGCTTACACAGAGGACAAAACCCACATAGAAAAGGCGGTATTCAGTGTTCACTGCGGCTCTTCCACTGGAGCACAATGAGACGTTACGTCCTCCAGATGTATTTTCATAGTATAAAATGGTGGCGGTGATGAAGCAAGGAAGAATGCAGTCCAGATAATGGCGGGAGAAGGAAAGGAAGGGGGCGTGGGAAAGACAATGACACGAACACGTGGGTCTGCGAGACGCGACTCGGACACGACGACCCGCCTTGTGCGGTTCGTCAAACGGCTATCGCCTCTTCCCACCTGTGGACTACCATTTTGTCACGCGAAACCTTGACTCATGCTCACAAAATCTGCCCAACTCGCCGAATTGAATAACTTTACTCAAATCCAAATGGTAGGCTACGTCTTTGTCATCATCCGCTCATCTTTGCGGGATGTCATTACAGCTTAACCCTACGTTCGCGTAGGTCGTGTCGTATGGATCCTGGAACCTAACTCAACTAGAGTCTTGAGTTTTAATGCCGTAAAGGCTGACGCTGTATCTCGGCAGCCTGTAATGATCCCCAAAGAATCTTCATATACTTCTTCCGGCATGGACACCGTAGGACTCCATCTCCCAGCGCTATAACTACCGGTGTGAATATTACTCCCACTGATGTGAATCATGCTGCCAAAGCTTGCCGTTGTCATGGGTGCCACCGGAAAACAGGGCGGCCACGTCGTCGCCGCGCTTCTGAACCATACAAAGTACGCGCGGCTATTCGTAACATAACCAATGACAAAGCTAGATAGCTCTTGTCGCAAGGCGCCGATGTCGTTTACGCAGACCATGACGACTACGAAGTGTAGGAAACGCACTACAGGTCGGCCTCTCCTTCGAATTTTGACGGAAGATCTTGGGATTCATCCCGCTCGCCTCATTACGACAGCACAGGCGTTTGAAAGGTTGGACTGGGGAGCAGTCGAGAAGCCCAAGTCCCCATTACAGTAAGCTGCTGTACTTGAAATCGTAGTTTCTCCTTGAGAATGTTCAAATCAGCGACCGAACCGCCAGCCTTTGTCCTTCATCACGAAGGCCCAGAAATACAAATTTCGTATTCCACACGCAATACAAGGAGAGTGCAAAATCATAGCAACGACAGCGGTAACCAGAGCACAGTACAAACGACGGAGGAACCGGAACGAGAAACACAGCAAGGCGAATTTTTATCTGATAGAGTGAGATAACCAGTAAGAAGAAAAGTCCATTCTTTTAAAGCCTCCGAGGAGTTCTTCGACAGGAAACGACGTATCCACACCATAGGGCGGAGGAGCTTGAGGCCACTGAGCGCCACCTCACCCGGTCCTCGTATACAAACAATCCATATATCCCGAGGTCGACCATCCCCCGAGCGCTTGATTCCCATACATGAATGGCTCCCCTGCAAATGCCCTAGGCACAACCTCATAGGGAGCCCCGTAGTTGTACGCGGCCCGCACGTAGTTATAGCAAGGCGCATAAAATCCCCCAATCGATCCATTCCCCAACGGCACCTCAGAGCCCCAATCAGCAGAAGGATCCTCCGAGAAGAAACCACACACGTACTGTATCGTCTTGATGTGGACCTTCATCCCCGCCACTGGGTCGTCCTAACGTCGCAGCCTTTCCAGGGGCATTCGTGCCTGGTGCGTCCAATTACCGTTGATAGCTCGAAATATGAACCAGACTCACGGTCGATCATCATAGTCAACATGGATGAGGAGGTGCCGGTTCAGGTTCTTCGTCTTCTTGCCACAAACCTCACAAGCCCTCAAGTCCTGGAATGCATCAGAACTATGCTTGACAGAAGAGACTACGTTTATCACCTTTTTCTCAGCAGGCATCGGAAAGTGAGAGTGGTGAACGAGGGGGGAGTGAAAGAAGCTTTTCGAGGGTGTGGGAAAGATAGAGAAAGAGAAAGAAAGGGAACTAGGGTCGCATGTTCGATTGTCCCCCCATTTATACCTGCGTGCCGGAAAATTGATGGATTGATTTCCGTGAGATAGCTGTATATGGTGAGAACTCGCGGATATAAGGTAAGATTTCCTCGTGAAAGTTAACCCGCGGGACAATCGACGACAGGGCTCGTTGTCGTCCTACCAATTAGCTGAAATAACTGCCCTCGGAAAGTTGTTTCGCTTGATAAGAAGTCTTTATTTTGGTTGGCTCGAACGGGAGGAATTTGATGGCAACATGTAATTGGAGGACAGGGGCGGACACTGACCCGATTTAGAACGAAACCTAAATGAACTCGAGGTGAAATGGGAAGAAAAATCTGGAATAAGTCTTCGGGTCATGAATTCGATGTTCGAACGGGTGTACGGAGCATACATTAGTGAGAGAAACCTTGCGCTAATGGAGAGCTGTCCTAACTGGACTCCAGTTAATGATAACATTCAGTTTATAGATGAATACCCTCACTTTCGAATCGAGTAACCCATCAACGAAACCTTCTCCAGTTTTTCAGGACCAATTTAATAAAGGCAATCAACGGAAAGGAAGAAGTCGAGGTCCCGATTGAAGTCCCCCCTGCATCAGGCTGGATACGTGGCTGGATACGCCCAACATCAAGGAAAGCGAAGTACGTCGCTGCCTCACATCGTTGTACCACCAAACTAGATGATAATACACAAATGAATCAGGGGAGGCATTTTGTACAGGTGTCTATGAGTGTGCCTGAAATCCTCCAATTTTGGGATCCGTACTAAAATAAAATACACCCGTCATCATATACATATTTTAATCATGTCGAGGCGGTATCATAACCCTCAATCTGACGTATCTGTGAAGCAAAATATGAAAATAGTAAACACAAAAATTCCACGAGACACGTACCGCTCCCATCTCCCTCACTGAGTATCCTCTTCAGGGAACGACACTTCGTCAGATGTCTAGCGACCGTTTCTGGGCGAGAAGATGCTGAACAACAGTACGGACATCTGAACCTGTTCTCATTATGATAACTCGAATTAAAGTGCCTCTTTAGTGCACCGGACTTGACGAAAAGCGATGTAGGTTTTCGGGGTTTGGCCTCGCAGCAGGCCAGGTAAATGAACGGATCTTTACCTTCTCCAGGAGCAGAATGGGCATCTCTGGCGTGGCGAGGGGTGAAGGTCGTTTGCGAATCAGGAGGACAGAGAAGACAAACGGAATTGATATTGATGTCATCGAGGACCTCAGCGTAGAAGTAATCCTCGGGATTCCTGGCGAATTTCGGGTACTTTTTGCAGAGGGCTTGTTTGAATGTAAAATTGAGCAGCTCGATAACTGTGTTGGAGGTGGAGCCAGAAGGTTTGTTATTGCCGGGAAATTGGGCTTTCCGTCCATTATTTATGTCGTATGGAGAGGTACTTGATCTAGGTAACTATAAGTCTCCCGGATGAAGAAGAAGTGTATGAACATACCGAAGAATGCTCCGTTTCTCCCGCCGTGCAGTTAAAGGCAGTGACTCGTTCGAAGAACTATCCGATGACCTACAAATTGTCAGGTTTTCGATGTGAAAACTGACTAAGAACGAACGACGTCTGGGATCTGGGCGGCGGTGAGTCACCGCCGTAATTGATCCAGCCTCTCGCAACGGTCGTACTCGGCGACAGACTGGAAGATGGAGATGTTGAGGGCGAAGTTTTTGCGGACGAGGTAGACACAGGACTGATAAAGGAGCGAGATGTGATGGAAGTAGGAGGATATCTAAAATGATATACGCGTGAACAACTGAGAGCTCGAGATTTCGGGCAGACGCGTACATTTCGCGTGGGTCTGGAGAGTGTTGCGCGTCATCTTGCCACATGCTTGGTGGAACGGAGGCCATCATCACTGTTACAGATACCTCAGGTGGCGGCGCGTGCAATGACACCACCGTATCGTTGGGCGACATGGTGGAAGAGTGTGGCGTGGATTCAGGGTGGGCATAGTAATTGTCGCCAGCGAGCGCGTCGAATCCCATATTATCAATGGATAGATTACAAAGGTCGCTGCCCATAGAGCTGCCTCCGACGTCGTCGTCCATGGACCTAGCAAGAAGTTGGAGCCCATAATAATGAACACATTGAATTGAACGACGGCTAACCTGAGGA